CTCGTTCTACCTTCGTTTTGCTTATGAAGTAGAATCAACCACTACATACCTATGGAAATACAAAAGGCAGAGTCTCAAAACACCAACAAGTGGTCTAGTTCCTTCTGGGAATGCATCTCCACACAAAGACATGTGGATCCTGCTGATCTCTACCTACATCCCTATGAAACCTGACCAACAAATCACCAACAAATCATCTAGGCCTACTGGCATCGTGTTGCCCGTGAGCCCATTTACGGAGAACCGCCTCTCGTCTCGAAGCCCTTTAATGATGAAACGCCGCGAGATCCGTCAATGCTTTGGCATTAGTGGCTCCAGCTTCAACGATTGTATAGGGGCCTGATTTGCCCGTGCTGTTTTCTCTTCCAGCAGGAGAAGGAGATGGAGGCGCAATATACCCGTCCCCAATTGGGCTATCAGGCTCCTGCAGTGATGGAATATCCTCAGTGAGCTCTGGAGTGCGTATTTATTTTTCATTGATTTTAGTATTCTCCTCCCCGTGGGGCAGATTGGGTTGTATATATAGACTATATTGCTTAGATAACACAAAAATCATAAAGGCCTAATGGTAGGGCTAGCGGGGGAACCATGCTCTACAGCGCAAGAGCGAGAACGAAAACGCCGGCTGCACCGGCCACGCCCATAGCAACACCGCCGCTAGGTGCAGGGGCACCACCAGTTGACTTTGCGGATGAGGCAGAAGCTGACGCAGCGCTCGAGCTGGAGCCAGAACCGGAGCTCGAAGCGGTGGCCGAGGAGGAGTCGGGCGAAGTGGTCTGGGCGGCATTTGAAGCAGTCTGGCTGACAGACTGCCCAGTAACCGTAACGCTAGACCCCGTCTCGGACGCGGTGTCTTGGGTAGTCGCTGGGACGCCAATAATCTGGGCATCGAAATTCGAGGTAGCCCACGCCTTGACACTGTTGGGCAGGTCATTGAACCAAGCTGGGAAAGTCCCAGCCGCAGCAGCACTCACGACGGAGGAGCGGAAAGTGGGATCCGTTAGAATTTCGTCCTGCCATGAGTACGGGATGGCTGTCTCCATGACCGCCAACACTGAGCTGGGGATCGCAGCAATCAAAGCAGCGGCAGAGGCAGAGGCAGCCAAGGCGTCGGAATTAATCTCGGTGCCAATTGAGTCTGCGGTGGCCGTAGTATCTGGAGCAGGGGTAGCCAGCGCCGAGGCTGCGAAGAGAAGAGCGGCGAAAAACTTGTGCATGGTGATAGTTCGCAATAAAGCGAAGGATAGAAGTGCGCAGAAGAAAAGAGTTAGGCTTGACAAAAAGGGGAAAAAAAGGAAATCAACTAAGCGTTAAATTTCTGGGATAAGAAGGCTTAAGTACGTCTCATCTCGGTAAAAGATACATCTGCCCCTAGAATTGCCGGGGCCCTGGATTTTGGAAGGGTCCGTGGCTTCGATCCAGCGCTGGACAAGCAACCCAGACCGAGAACGCCATGACTACCTGGCGCCACAAAGGGGCCAAAGTTCGCTGGCTCGTATCGCCGGCCTGATCGGGGAAAGTCCCGAATACTGTAAAATTATGCTCCAGCGATGCTAAGCTCATGGCACCGTTACAACTTAAAAGGATGCGAGGCCCTCACATTGGACTTCGTGGACGGCAAACATCGAAGTTGTATCGTTTATATCAGCGTCGAAATTACGGCCCCCTTTTTCTCTTATCTCCGCACCCGTCACTTTTTGCGTGCAATCCAGACTGGCAGCTTTGATAAAAAAAGTTATTCACTGGGGAGCGATTCATGCATCACTATGCATGCCAAGTCTGGGGTTGATGGGCTATATAGACTATGTCCACGGTGTTTGATCTTAACGAGTGCGAATGATTGATGGAAACTGGGAAACAGACGTGTAAGCAAGCCAGACAAGCCTTATTACCCCCCTTACACCTTCTTCTATCGAGGCGCAGCGACGTCGCAAGTCTAACCACCTCGCTAATCTGAAGCTGTCGGTATTGCTTGGTAAAAGCTTATATTTCGATTACCGACCCACGCATTCTAGTCATCGCCATCTGTCACAATATTCTCATTATTTCCCCAGCTATGTTAGAAATCGTGCTATTCTGTCTCTGGTTAATCTACAACCACTGGTTCCAGAAAAAGTATTCCCTATACAACCATAATATAATAGCTATTCTTTATGCCATTATCGCAGGATTCCGCCAAGAATATGGCCAGGGGTAGAGTAATCATAATAGGCATAGTGCAAAATAGAGTTTGGGAAACTGATTTCGAGCGCGTCTGTAGCTTGACCTAATTTCGGTGCTATATTGCGCGGAGATTCTAGCAACTCTCAGTAGTGGTGCTGAGAGGGTAAGGAGGGACACAGAGGTAGAAGTGTAAAGGAGCAAGGTATGAAGTAACGGTACTATACGTAAAGCAGTTGTTTTGGAATTAAAATGGAAAAGGATCTTGTCTTATTAAAGATACTTTTTACGCCGGATTTAAAAATAGATTAGCGTGGCTTCGGGTACAAACAGAGAAACAAAGCGTGAGTGTCCCGGGGGGGATAATATGTTTTCGAATTCTCCTATAACCAAACGTATTCGGCCGTAATCTATTATTGATGAAAGACGAAGGGAGAGGATGAATTCTCAGCATCCAGTCTTCAGGGCGAGCTGGAAGCCCAAGCCCTTCTCAGCCCTCCGTCGCCCTTCGTACTCGTCAAATCCGCCAACCCCACAGTCCAAAGACAAACCTCTCCGCCAAATCTCAACCACCTACTCCATCATCGCTGCTAGATCTCTGTCATTCTATAGAAGTGCTTACCGGTGTCAAGCCCTTCAACTGGCCCAAAATGGCCTCAGCCGAACCGCTCCTCAATCAAGCCGTGACCGTAACGCAGTCATTGTCAAGATGTCTACGTTAGGCATTACCTTAATTTTCACGTTCCTTTAAATAAAGATACAGCCGGACGTACACAGCTGTCGCTCAGCCCGCTCACGTCACGAAGGATAAAATTTGGATATTTGTTTTGATGACTAGAGCCACGAAAAAGGAAGCCTAACATCACGAGCGGCGACAAGGCCATGGCAGGCCCCGGCGAGGCTCCTAAGTTCGTTCCAGGAAGTGGTACACTCTAGTTATACGTACAAGGATACATATAGTTGTGGTAGCCTGCATATCGCTTCGGCGAGGGGTCAGGGTAAATGAGTCCACACACACACATACACACTGTCATAACGGCGATTCTGAGAAATCCAATAGAGCAAGGCCATACGGCCATCATTCCTTAGACATGCTCATTCAGATGAGCGTTCCCTCTTCAATTTCTATCAATTTATAACCGTCAGCGCGGGGTTCGGTACGATTTTAAATACCACGGAGACGCGTACGAAGGGTTAATTGGGGTATATTGAAATGGCCAGCTACTTCGCGAATGGAAGGAATTTCTTGCTTTTTAATAGCCTAAGCCGGTAATAAAAGCCTGCCTTCTTAACCAGTTAAATTTCGAGAGGACTGAGTAAGAATTGGTAGCACAGTGAGTGGTTGAACAAGGAAGGTCTAATTAATTGACGCGTTTTACGATATATGCGGAACTTGGTAGTGAATTACGTTGGGGCTAACAGACAAGGCCTAAAACCTAACGCAAAGATTGCCAGCCAGTAGGGCTTTTCGGTAAAGGTGTGGTATGAGGGACTTTGGAATAGACCTGCTATGTGCACTTTACATCTAGTACTGACAGTTGTAATTTCTAGAAAGGAGCTCGCGTGGTTAATATGCGGATATTGTAGAGTATAATGCATAAAAATCCCGATGTCAGCTTTTGTTTTGCTCTGGCGATGCCCATCATATGATTTCAGCTTCGCTCTGGGAATCGGCTACAGTCATGGCGATAAGCCCGTTCACGCCCCACATGTATACAAACAACTACTATTCGAAGCACTCGAAAATGGGGAGAAAAGTGGTGAAACCAGAGAGGTCAAAGTAGAGCGAAAATAATGCATAAAACGGTATGCACGCTACGAGGATTTTTGTAGAGACTATCCAATACTTCATCTGTGGCACTGTGTACACACTTATGACCCTTGTTGATATGCACACATCGTTTGTGCAGTTCAAAAGCCCAGGGGAAGATTTCAGGCTCACTGCTATGAAAGATAGGTTCTAAGTTATAACAAACTGTTCAGACAACAATATGCTGCGTAGCACCAGATCATGATTGGAGAAAATCCATTACCCGTGTCTCAGAGACAATACATACTTGATTTGGACATCCCGAGTCTTGGCCGTGATACTTCTGCGCACGACCGTGGGGTTATGACGTATTATTCGGGTCGGGCAACTCTTTATCTTCTCGGCGTGTGTATGTGCGTGTCTCCATCTTTCCCAAACTCCACATTCGCGGGGTTAAATGTAACTTATTTGGTAACTTACATGTACTAGTTACATTCGGGGTTTCTCCTGTGACGCCATGGTTGTCCCGGATCTTAGTCCCTGCCCCCCTGACTAGCCAATGGAATCATGAATCTGCCAGCGGAATCAGGGAAATACCTGGCTAGCGCTTACGAGTTGTGTGCCTCTCCCGCTGCCGGGCGCCATCATCTACTCTTATTTCGACGCCTGGTAGCATTTGGTTGGACAAAAGGGTATAGATCTAGGCGGGACATATATTTCTAAGGGCGAGATACAAATCTCCCAGGCTTATACATGCGTAATCCATGTGTTTGTGCCCCGTAGAGACGCCTGGGGCCAAAATATATGCCGAGAGTATATGATGTTGCTAACCCAACATGGCAAACCCGACTAGCACTTACAATGTATAGTCTGATTAGTCGATTAGTCGATTTATTGTAGTCCCATAGGTTGAAGTTACCTTCACATGTCCATAAAAGCTCCAAGACTTGCCCAGGAAACCCAAGACTCATGTTTACTCCCTCCCTTGCCACTAAAGTCCTTGACGAGTCTTATAGTCCTTGTCGCTCCTTAGCTTGTCTTGTCACCTCTTGGCCTATCCTACCAACAATTGGCAACTGGCTTCGTCGCTATGTTAGGCATCCCGAGATATTTCGGCCTCCGCGGCAATGCACTCAACTTGGCAATTAGTTGGATTGCCGGGCTTGATTTCCTGTTCGTTACATATTTCACATGTTCAAACCGAAACACAGACATAGCGCAAAACAAGCCACTAACTATCCTATCATCTGTCTTCTAGACTCTTCGGATACGACCAAGGCGTAACAGGCGGCCTACTCGATCTAGAATCTTTCATAAAATACTTCCCAGATATAAACGATAAAGCAGAAGGAATCAGCGACGCCGAATCAAAAGCACGATCAACATACCAAGGAATAACCGTCGCAGCCTACAATCTAGGATGTTTCCTAGGTGCAGTGTTCACCATTTTCGTGGGAAATCCCCTCGGCCGTCGAAAGACCATATTTTACGGCTCTATCATCATGACTATCGGCGCGCTGTTACAATGCACTTCATATGACCTGCCGCAGTTCGTTGTAGGGCGCATTGTTACAGGCTGGGGTAATGGGATGAATACTTCTACTGTTCCGACTTGGCAGTCTGAGACGGCGCAGGCTCATGCGCGTGGCAGGTTGGTTATGATTGAGGGGATGTTAATCACGGCTGGGATTATGATCAGTTATTGGATTAACTATGGTGTGTCCATGGACTCTAAGAACTTTGATTCTTGATTCCAAGGTGGCTAATGACTAACCACTATAGGCATGGCATGGATCGGCGACAACGAAGTCTCATGGCGTTTCCCGCTCGCATTCCAAATCGTCTTTGCCCTAATTATCTTCTCCGCTATTCTTAATCTTCCTGAATCTCCTCGCTGGCTGCTAATGCAAGGTCGGGAGGAAGATGCGCTTCAGGTTCTGGAAGCTTTGAACGATAAACATCGCGAAGATCCGTTCATCAAGAATGAATTCGAGTCGGTTAAGCTGACTGTCTTGGAGATGTCCAAGGGCTCTTATGCTAGTCTGTTCAAGATGTCCGAGTACCGCGAGTTCCACAGAGTGGTGCTTGCATATGTCAATCAGATGTTCCAGCAAATCTCTGGTATTAATCTGATTACATACTATGTGCGTCGTCTATGGTATAGGTTTCCCTTTTCTGTTGATACTGACTTGTGCAGGCACCACTTCTATTCCAAGATATTGGTCTTGGTCATAACAACTACCCTAAATTGTTGGCAGCTTGCAACGGGACGGAATACTTCCTAGCGTCGCTGGTTCCCATTTTCATTATTGAGAGGATTGGTCGACGCAAGCTGATGCTTTTCGGAGTAAGACGATTTCATTCTTCTTTCACTTTAGTGCTATATCTGTCATACTGGCGTGACTAACGACAAACCTGTAATAGGCAGCCGGCATGTCACTTTCTATGGTTGCACTAGCCGTTTCACTGCAACAGTTACAAAAGAGCCAGGCAGAAGGCAAAGGAAATACAGCTGGTCCCGCACAAGCGGTGTTCCTCTTCGTATTCAATACCTTCTTTGCTATCGGCTGGCTAGGCATGACTTGGCTTTATCCCGCTGAAATTGTGCCACTGAGGATTCGAGCGCCAACGAATGCCTTGTCTACGAGGTGAGTGCAAACAACATTAATCCTGATCTCTCGTATCGCGAAAGGGCTACCGCTAAAATATTTTCTGTTTCCAGTGGCAACTGGATCTTCAACTTCATGGTTGTGATGATCACACCTGTGGCATTTGCAAACATTCAGTGGAGGACCTACGTAATCTTCGCCGTTATGTAAGTTTTTATTCATCTCGAGCCCCCAATTTGTTTTTCTATCTTTTCCTTAGATGGAGTACCAAGCTAAATAATATTTCCAGAAATGCCGCTATTTTCCCGGTGGTATACTTCTTCTACCCAGAGACGCGATATCGCTCGCTGGAAGAGATGGACGACATCTTCAAGAAATCAAGCAATGTGTTCGATGTCGTGTCGATATCTCTCAACGAGCCGCACCGATATGATAAGGACGGTCAGCTTAAGCCGGAGTATATCGACGGTGTTATGCAGCGAAAGAGTGTACATGATGAGCAGAAAGTCGAGCATTCGGAGGGCTCCTCTTGAGACAATATTTGACGTTTTTTGTTGACTGGTGCTGAATGTAATCTAGGTGACGGTAATACTGCCGTCTCGAGAAGTGATCGACTCCCGGAGTACAGGGTGAGTTAGTCACCCCGCTGCCCTGAGCGACTCACGGAGCGACCCTAAGCGTTGAAAACAAGGAACAAGTTGACAAGCTTCTACTGGGTCCACTGCTTAGAATTGAGCATCACGCAGAGACAAGAACTGTTTTGTTATATTCTCTGAGTATAGATATTGATTAATCGGACCCTGTTTTTCATGTGGTGATTCACCTATAGTACCTGCGCTTTGAAATGATGATCCAGGTACAAAAGGGCTTGTCAACGCGCTCCGATAAAGACGTCCATAGTATTGCGGGGTCACACCCGCGTCAACGGATTTGCTCCGAGTGGGGGTTGGTTATAAAGCTTCTTTCTTCCACATTTCGATCCTTTTGTTATTACTTCACCCGATACATCATGTCCGGCATCCCCAATCTCCCAGAGACATACGATGATCTCCCCGACAAGCGTCGCTTCTGGCCTGGAGCCCCAGGCTCGGAGGAAGAAGGTCTTGGAATGCTCCGACTTCTCACTCCAAAAATAGTTGCACAGGCTGCGCAGTCCCAAATCCAGACCGGCGAGCGAGTATGCCTAAACTGGAATATGGAGAATCTAAGCCCACCAGGTAAACAACACACCAAGAATAGAACGAGGTCCCATGGGAGAGCTCATATTCAACCAATGTAAAACAGGATTCGGCCGCAAACCATTCGAACACCGTGTAAAATGGGTCGCAGAGGGCGTTGCATTCGACGACGAGTACCACTTCAACCCACAACAATCATCCCAGTGGGATGGATTGCGACATCACAACGCACCGGCGCCAACACCGGAAAACAAAGACCTACGCGTATTCTACGGCGGCACAACGGCCGCTGAGATCCAAGATGAGAACTCGTCGCGCATTGGAATCGGGCACTGGGCAAAGAAAGGCATAGCCGGTCGCGGCGTGTTAATCGACTACGTCTCATACGCGAAGAAAAAGGGCATCAGTATTAACGCGCTTACACGCCAGATGATCTCGCTGGACGAAGTACTGGAGATAGCGCGCGACAGCAACATCGAGTTTCAGAAGGGGGATATCTTCTTTTTGCGAGTTGGATTGCCGGGGACGTGGGAGGGTATGTCGGGCGAAGAGCGATTGGCATATTCTCAGCAGGGAATGCCGCAGCATGCGGGGATTGAGCAAAGTGAGCGGGTCCTGAGGTTCATCTGGGATAATCACTTTGCGGCGGTTGCTTCTGATGCAGTTAGTTTTGAGGTTTTTCCTCCTCTTAACCCTGACTTTGATTTGCATCATCATCTGCTGGCTGGGTGGGGTGTCCCTATTGGGGAGATGTTTGACTTGGAGGATTTGGCTGCGACGTGTGAGCGTTTGGGTCGTTGGAGTTTCTTTATTTCGAGTAGTCCGTTGAATTGCTCTAGAGGTGTGTCTAGCCCGCCTAATTGTATGGCTATTTTCTAGATAGTTGGGGTATAGCTGAGCCATTGGGAATAACAGACTCGAATCCTTACTATATTCAAATCAGGTCGTTGGGGGTCATTAATATACATTTGTCAAATGCATACCCAAATCCACATGTACCCTCTTTACCTAACTAATGTAGGAAAAGGCTTGTTGTACTTTCCACAAAACAGTGGACAGCAGATTGGAAAACAGCAGGCCGAAAGAGTAAAAGTGACACAATCGCGTGACCATTATGAGGAGTCTATGGAGGTCAAGACAGCATAGTAGGTGATAGCCCACTGTGAAAGTCCCCACCAATATTATAAGCAAGACTGGCAAATACAAGTTGGCTGCGTTCTCCAGCCTTCATTCGTTCCATCCCTTGGGCATTGGGCCACCGGATATGTTAAAGTGCTACGTATCCCGGTTTGAAAATAAAGATTTATCCACGGCAGAGAGATCTTGGCCTCGACCCTTGTTAAAGACCCTGTGGTCCATTCTCAAGAGAAATTTGTTGTCAACACTGTGCCTTGGTGATCGACGCATACCAACCGTTTCTGCTCTCACCCCTCAATATTTTCCTCTCATTGCTCCTATTACAAGTAGGCGCTCTACATTCCACATACCTTAAATGGTTGTTATTCTGCCCACCAAAAACTATGTTTACCTTAAACAAGGAGCGTCGCGTTCCACCCCTGCTTGGGAAGTACTTAAACGCCGTGGGACGCATTTACGTACTCCCTTGAATGACACGTCTAACGCCTTTCCTAGCCGGAGAATTACTTTCTTTACAAAAGACTCACAATTTTTGACCAAAATGCACTTCTCCAAGGTAAACTCAGCAAATACACCGACATATATACGTCACTAACAAAGCCTAGACCCTCGCCACCGTGGCCACGTTTGCCATGAGCGCCTATGCCGCCCTGCCCGTCGCCAGCGTTGATTTCCAATCCTGGGAATCCTGCGACGTCGGCGCCCAGGTTTCCGGCCAGCCCAAATTCGTTGCCCGTGTCACGGCTACCCCATTGACATGCGACAAGACCCCCGTCAACCCTGACTGGAGCATCGACAACTACTCCTTTAGCGCCAAGCTCGACACCAAGGACGCCGCCTACTGCCACGGCGTTATCATCTGGAACAATGATGGCTGCTCCGGCAAGCCCACCACTTTCCTTCCCTTCGACGACAGCCCCTTCGCTGTGGGCAAGTGTCTCCCCGACATTCTGGACCCTGGCTATGTTTCCTTCAAGCTTGCTTGCGACTTCCCTGGCGCCCCATTCTAGATTTGATTAGTATCTAGTGATGATGGTCGGGATTGCTGATTGGATTCTATGAAGGTCGTGGATTGGCGATGGATACATACTTTTCCTTTATAGTGTCCTTCTCTCCTTTGTGTTTCTAATAAATCTTTAATCCGAGGATGTATCAATGGTATATGGCTGTCCCTTAATTAAAATCAATATCTGACGCCCGCTTCTGCTCCTGCGTTGTGCTATGAATGCGTCGATTCCCGTATACTTCACTTTTAGGTTGGATGATGAGACGACGACTTGTTGTTAGATAGTCAATAAAAGAGCTTATTAGAAGTTTATGCACTGCTTTTTTACTTCTATCCTATAAAGCTCAATCTAATACAGACGATATATATCGACATAGAACTTGACCATAATTGTACTCAGGTCTTGAATATATACCTCAGCGTTAACCATTTTTTCGGTTATCCATCATATTTTCCGATTTGAGTTTTTCAAAAGTCAGGTCGAAGATCTATTCGGGAAATTGAGATAAGCTAATACCTAAACTAAAGGGCAAATAAGCAGCCAAATATCCCTTGGCATGAGGTAAAATAGCCCCCAAACTTTGCTCTAACAAATTGCCGCAATTGGAACCGTGAAATGTAAACTGGCCGTGCAAACATTTCTCAATTAATTGCCTAGGTGCACACTCGCGTAATTCTCGCACTGGAGGTTTCCATGTTCAACAATAGCCGCTATGCCTCAGATTAGTACGTTGGCGCCGGGTAAACCAAAAAAAGGGATTTAAGCAAAGAAACGCCTTGCGAAGGCACCCTAAGATCTACAGGACTGACTATAAATAAGTACTTAGCGGTATGATACACCTGTTAAATATCCCAGTGCATGTCGAGACAGTTGGGGGCGGTTCGTGCCGTCTCATACCTGTGGGGCACAGGGTTGAGCCACCCACGGCCTCTACACCGGTTTCATATTGGCCGATGTTGTTTATATTTTGCTTATTTCTATTCAAATACAGCTACATAGTGACTTGAATCAATATTAGAAGAATAACTCCCAGGAAATTGCGCTAGGGAGTGCCTCAATTCCGCTTGAATCTCTCTGCGAAGATCCCCTACCAGGAAGAGGTGTGAGTTTGGCCCCCTTATGCCTGGGTGGAAGATAATTAAACATTTGCAAACATGTCGACATCTAATTGGCCCCAAAATAGCCTGATGCTCTACCTGCAGCAGCTAGCGCAGACCCCCGGCCCCATGGCCCCAGTCAATAAATGACTATTTTTGAATACCGTAATGAGGCTCTAATATGTACACCGTGGTACTTCTAGGGCTATGCTAGACGGGCTGTGAGCCACGGTAAACAGGGAAAACGGTTGAAGCTATGTTAGTTCTCATTTCACTTGGAGATAAATTTGCTGCTACACCCACAAGCTTTTCACCCAGATTCACTTCCTCTATACTTCACAAGCTGTTACTCACCTATAATCTTCCAACATGAGATTGGTTACTTCAGCCTGTCGGTTCTTCCAGGTAAAGTGAGCTGACCTAGGTATTTTGGCCATCTGTTAATATTAATAAAGCTCATCTTCACTATCGTCGTCCTCGGCCTCTCAATCACTCTCGCCAAAGGCCAACAACTCGGCTCAGTGCCCTCTGAAACAAGCTATGGCGCTTTCTCTGGTGGTATCGGTGTACTTGCTGCACTGATTGGCACCGTCGCTATCCATATTGACTCGTTGGATGGGATCGTCACCTGGGTCCTCGACGGCGTTTCCGCCCTAGCATTGCTTGCTGCCGGTATCGTAAGTCTGGATTATTGAAAAGCATCGCACTTAGTGGTTGCCACATCAAGGAGTAATAGCTGACGAAATATTCCATCTTAGATCTTCGCCGTTCGCCTTCACGGAACGAGCTGCTCCGACCCGGATACCTTGTTTGGAAATGTGCTGCTCAGCGGCGGCTGTATCACAACCAACGACGGAATATATACTGGCTGTTATTGGGATGAGAAGCACCTGAAGTCTAGGTGTACCTCTGCTACTGCAGATACCGCGTTCATGTTCTTGGGCTTTATCATGTGTATCGGTGTGCTGATTGCGTCTTTCATCTTCCGCAACAAGCGCTAGATTGAAGCCATGATTGGATTCTTTATATTCTGTCCTGCCCTATACTGAAGCCCAACTTAACTTGTGTTGCTACTTCCTTCTCGATGGCCGCACAGCTCGAATATACCCCCCATATGAGATATAATGATATGACACAGCGGTGGATTTTGGTTCAATTTGCGTAACGATTCTGCGGACGGTTAATACTGCCGAATGAACTTATTTTTCAAGTTCCAAACCTCTTAAACAGAAGTACAGCAGGGGTTCTAGATGTGTATACGGTGAAGTATGGACAGTCTCTACAAGATTGAGTGCCTCCGGTTGGAGTGGTCAATCATGTTAGACTATGTAAACCTTGAAAGCCGAAGGTGTGAAAGGATGTATGGCCTATGACTGTAGACACAACTGATTCCAACCTGTGCTCAGATAGAGATAACCTATTATAACCGCGTATTAGATAGAATATCAACTGAAGCTTTGCTTTTGAATACTCTTTGTGATGAGCCTTCTTCATCTCATTCCTAATTTGTCCTGCAAAGAGTGAAAATAGAGAAGAGATGAGGACCTTTGTCGCCTGCACGAAAAATACAGTATAAAGCATTTTCCAAACGTATCAACCAACTGGTCGCAGGCTAGCCAAATAATCAATGTTGAGTACTGAAAAGGAAACGCTCATAATATACAGGAGGATGCTGTAGTACGTAGATATGGCTAACCCAAAAAAAAAAGCAGCAGCCATGAGAAGCAAAGAAAAGTTAAAAAAAGATCATGCACGCTCGATAGTGAATTGCAAAGAAACCTCCCATTTCTGGCCACCAGTGCCATATCCACCACCAAGTCTGTTCCGAATCAAGCTAGAGATCTTCTCACGCAGCCGAGCAAGATTATCCTCAGTTCCAGTAACCCGCAACTTGAGATTGGCCATGCATAGCCCGTAATGGACCTGCCAAAAACGGGCGTCATCGATGCCAAATACAGCTGGGTCGGCTTCAATATCCTTGATCACATCGGAGACGCCTTGGCCGGAGTAGGACATCAGAAGCATAGAACCAAGAGTCTTCACCAAGCGCACTCCCATGAAACACATCGAAAATGCGATAGTTCCGGATAAAAGCTTATCGAGCCAATCGTAGATCCGGATCGAGACCAGAGGCAACAACAACAGCAGTGTTGAGCATGAAAGAGTCAAGAAATGAGATGGGTTGCTCAGAACCGACGGGAGAGACTCAATGTATGCAAAGCGCATAGCCTTCCCAATGCGAGCATGGTTCTTGAGTCCAATTGCCGAGACAAGCGTGGAAGAGATCGCCAACACGGCAGTGATATCCACACTACCCAGCGAAACACGGTCATGCTCATGCAAATGATGAGGCTCATGGCCCGCCTTCTCAAGGAAATGCTGCAGATTATGCGAGATAAGGTCCAGCCCCATAAACAAGAGGAGAACGCACATGGCGAACCCAGCCAGGACTTCAGCACGTTCCAGACCGAATGGGTGGCGGATACTTGATCTCTTCCACACTTCGAAATTACCCAACACATCCACTGCAACGCATAACAGGGCTCCGAGTGAATCGAATAGGATTAAGTGTGATAATGCTGTCATGGCTAAGGAACCGTGCGCTGTCCAGAGGGTGTACGCCGCAACGAACATGTGGCAGACACTCCACCAGAACCGGGTCTTTTGGTCTTTTGACATGCTGGCTCGGCATTCTTTAAGTGTTGGCATTGGGAGGGAGTTTGGGAGGGCTAGGGGGGCGCGAGGGGGAGGCTCGAGGAAGATCTGGTGTGAGATGCTACTGTGCTTGTACTTGTGGCCGCGACGTTGTCCAATGTTCTGAAAGAGAATTGATTAGTATCTTCCTATTCAGATAGTGGAATTGGGATTGGATTCACCGATTTCACTACTGGGCTCTTGGCCATAACAGTAGTATTGAAATTGAACGGCCCCGCCGCAGTCGTGTCGCTGGAGCCATTTTCGATCGGCGACACTGCGTCTTCGGGCGCAGGACTTAAGTTGAAAGATGATTTCGTAGGGCTTAAACGGTCTTTGCTCCCGACGTCCATCACACCCTTTGGGAATGAGGCATTGAGTGGCGACAGGGAATCGCGATCGATGGGTATCCCTGAGTTGATCTCGGAGGCATGTTGATCATCCGCTGGCGGGGTGGGGGTGCGCGGGGGAATGGGGAGCGGGAGGTTCGAAGCCATCGCGCTGGCTTTGCGAACACGGTTTCGTTATGTGATAGCTGCTATATACACATGGGAAGGTTGAGGCGAGGGTGATGAACCCCCCGGATGATCCCCGGTGTTTCTGTCGATCCCATCACGTGATAGATCTAAACATTTAGCGTGTTCCCATATAGACAGGATAATAGTTTGTAATTCCACCTCTTCTTCCCTTATCCATCGAAAATTCATCATGGGGATTTGTGATTGTGTTCATTTCAAAAGCTCCCTATCTCGTTCCTTCACAGCCTTACTCTGGGAAGCACTTCGAACCGTCACTTAGAATGTTTCGTCGGCTTCAGTTCCGCGTACTCTGCTAGTGACCACGTAAGTCACATATGGCAAAACGCACGAGGGAAAAGATAGCCACTAGAGATCCGAAAGCAGCCTGGCCAACAGCTTCATAACACATGGTCTTGTAGTATGGAAAGTGAGCCTCTCTGTCAAAAATCTCAAAGGAGTGTTGAAAACCGTGGACGGAGCTGGCAATGTAGCTTTCAACGAGAAGAACCAACCCAGGGCAAATTGGAGGCAGCCAAAGTGATCCAGCACGTGGTTCTTCTTTAGATCCTGTTACACTGTATCAGTGAAATTGAGAACACGTCCTTCCTCAACATGGAATGGGTTGTTCGTATACTCAAGTTCTGAGTCGGGACCTTCGATTCATGGCGATATCTAAGAGGAAGTACCGCAAAGCTGTCACACTTTGTCTAAGAGATGATATACTGGGAAGGCAGACTAGGAAAAGCGATCTCTCTGGATGATGCTAACGAAAAAGAGAATCTAAGAAAAAGATCCCAAGATCAAAGAGAAAGCAATCGAGAGTCAGGTGTTTTGACTTGCTCAGTCATAATTTACGAGATTACTTACAAGACTAAGTAATTTTGTGTACAAAGACAAAAATGACTCAGTATGTAGAGAATTTGGTTGACAGCCTGAATGGACTAAGAGCAGATACTATGTTCTAACCTTTGCCCTGCATGACAGACTAAAAGCTGCTGTTGCTAGCTATCATTGCTTATATACCGAGAAGTGCCCCCTTAACCTCCTCACCGTCCAACTGTATCTTGAGCAGTTTGGTCTCATTGCAAGCGTATATAGCGCCCTTTTCGCCGAAACAAAAGTTAGAAACCCCACCGGGTATATTAATAGTGCCTATCAACACACCACTAGGGTCCCAGACCTCGATGCCGTCAGTACAACCAGCATAGACATTGCCATGGGTATCGCATTTGATTCCGTCCGGTACTTTTCCCGGGGCATAAGCGAAAACCCGGCGATTTGCCAAGAATGGTTCAGAGCAGCCCTTTTTAAGGACAACATCGAACGCATAGATGTGTGAAGGACCGGTCTGGAGCAGCGGCACTGATGACGAGCCGTGGACTGCGCCTGTATCTGTCACGTACAGAGTATCGAGTTCCGGTGAAAAGCATAAGCCATTTGGTCGAGCAAATCCGTCTGCAACAGCTCGGACAGATCCCTTCCTAGGATCGTAGCGGTATACGTGGTTTGGCAACTGCGGTGGAGGTCGAATGCCCTGATGAAAGCCATATGGAGGGTCTGTAAACCAAATAGACCGGTCATGGGGATGGACGATCACGTCGTTGACAGAATTGAACGGGATTCCATGGAACGATTCGATCACAGTTTCAAAGACTGTATCACCACTGGCAACGGATGGAACCGCAAGTTTGATAATCCCTGATGGATCTTTCGGGTCCCTCGAGCCCTGTGCGCAAAGAAGGATGTTTTCCGAGTCAAAATTGACACCACCGTTTAGCATTGCACCAGTAATAGTTGGGAATGTGATATTCTCAACTTCGGTCACGTGTGGTCCGGTGACGAGATTCGGCTCAGCATCGTAGACCCTGGTGAGCTTGACAAGCTTGTTGGCAGTTGCTGGGTTCGCTTGGTCGGAAGTAGTGGCCAACTGATTTGAAGTCACGAAGACGCTGCGTGTGGGTGCATGGTAAATACACGCTTCATGGTAAAGAGGTAAATCACCTCCATCCGCCAGAATGGAAACTTGAGGGTTGGCACCTAAAATCTTGTCGAAATTTGAGGGTTGATGTTTATGAAAGTTGACTTGGATGTTGGCCATAGCGAACAACCTTTGCGGGGATTCAGAGTACTCTCAATGTTTTGCACTAAAATTATTGAAATCGTTCTTCTCATGTATACAGAAATTCAGCATCATAATCATTATTATGACCCGAGCGGCTATGCATATGCTTGGCTAACATTAAGGAAAAAAAAATGAGAACTCGAGTTGGGCTGAAACTCAAATCCATAAGCAATAGCCGTTTGTTGGATTAACTCAATTGCCGACATACATTATCCATCCAAATCGGTAATCGGTAGGCAATATAATGTGCCAACTTACCCCGCGTTTTAAGACAAGACCCAATCAGTCCCAGCAGTGAGACATGCGTGAAGCTTATCTCCAGAGTTTATCCATGGACTATAAAAGCTTGATTTATAGCTCTAGGTGCGACAAACTACCTGGTCTCTCGATCTCTCCGCATAACATTTCAGAGCAGTTGGCAGGATAAATGTATATCGATGTAGATTCTATCGGTAAAAGCTCTGATGTTCTCAGGGGTTGCTCTGCTCATCTTAACAATGCCATGGCATTTTGCTGTTTCGGCAATTGCAGGTCATTGGTGCGAAGTTAGTTTGATGGCTTGATGCCCCAGACTTTAACACCATTGTGGCTCGTATGCCACACTCCAGATCCGAACGTCTGCAAAGTTGGTTTCCTGCCACAATAACTTGTCGGTCGAAACAATATTGCCGAAGGGAACCAAGAAGTATGGTCTAAGCAAAGTTTGACGCCACCCCCGGTATTGCTGGCCTTCGAAATGGCTCTAGAACACCCAAAGAAGCCGGAGATTATTTATCCCCGACTCTTATCTTCTATTCAACCCAGTTCAGTCAATTGCCGATATAATGATGTCTAGCGGCCCGCTATCGGTGACTGAAATGATAGCATTTGGCACTAAACCTACACCTTGGCACTCTGTGGGGAGACCAGTTATCTATGCGGTCAGGTGTCTAAGGCGAAGGTTTGCGCCCTGCTCGTATAGTATAGGGCTTCAGTTTGAATTTTCGACCTCAACGGGCCCAAACAACTAATGTAGCCGAAGACTTATTTCCCGTAACAGGACACTATATTAGGATGTACATTTCTCGGCATTTCGCTGCTAAAGCAGTTCACTAAGCTACTACATTCCGCGACAAACTTTTAGTGACTTTCTCCGAGTTGTATTTAACAATTTGTGATATACACTGCATCACTCGCACCGGAGCTACAGCATGAAACTACAAGGAAATAACCTCTTTGCTGCCGTGACGGCGTTGACGGCGCTTGGTTTCATGCAGATTGGGTACGTCAATGGGAGCTTGGCTTTGCAGGTTTCAATAGACATGATTGACCAGATATAGGTATGACAATGGCCTCATGGGAGGCCTCGTGAACCAAAGTGCGTTCAATAAGACATTCGATTCGCCTAATTCGACCATGGTTGGCCTTATTGTTTCTATCATGGAGGTCGGCGCATTTTTTGGGAGTATATGTACTGCGTTCATAGGCGAAAACATTGGACGCAAGAAAAGTATTGCTATCGGTGTCGTCACCCTGATCGTCGGATCAGTTCTACAAGCTACAGCTTATCATCGAGCGCACCTCATCGTCGGACGGATTGTCTCTGGCATTGGCCTTGGCATGGTGAACTCGACAGTCCCAGTAATGCAGGCCGAGTTTGCTCCGAAGGCTTCCCGGGGATTGTGTATGTGCTACCGTCTGCCAAATACCGCGATACTGAATACTGACATGGAACAGTTGTCTGTATGCAACTATCCACCCTTAATTTTGGAATTCTCTTAGTGTATTGGATTGATTACGGCTTCTCCGCACAAACCGCTAGCTACTCCTGGCGTGTACCCGTTATCCTCCAGTGCGCATTTCTTTTCCCTATGCTTGTACTACTGCTCCTTGTGGACGAGACCCCGCGGTGGCTTGCAGCCCATGACTACCATGACGAAGCATTGGATGTCCTTCGCCGATTAAATCATGGAAAGATGCCCGACTCTGATATACTAGCCCTCCATGAAGATATCGTTCGCACTGTTGCCGTTGAAAAGGCTATCGGAGCTGGATCTTGGAAAGACCTTCTCAAGAATGATAAGATCCAGAGTCAGAGGCGATTCTTCATTGCGTGTGCCATTCAGATATTCCAGCAACTAGGCGGAATCAACGCTATCATTTACTACTCTGGGACATTGTTTGAGAAGTCTGTTGGATTCTCAGCGCATATGTCTAGCTTGATGTCGGGCTTTCTGCAAACATGGTTCTTTGTCGCCTCCTTTATTCCATGGTTTCTCATTGATCGCATCGGTCGACGTCCACTATTGTTGTCGATGGTTTCAGTCATGGCCGCTGTGATGGTTGTGCAGACGGCTCTCATTTACCAGGTTCAGAATAGTACGGCCATCGCTCACCAGTGTGGCATTGCAGCAGCAGCAATGCTTTTCATATTCCAAGGGGCGTTCACTATTGGTTTTCAAGCAACTGTTTGGGTAAGTCTACCTCAGACGCAGTAACTGTTCTAGCTAACCAGTTCTTCAAGGTCTATCCATCAGAGATCCTACCTTTACGGCTGCGGCAACGTGGATCGTCAATAAGTACAGCCGCCAATTGGATTTGCAATTATCTTATTGTACAGATAACGCCACCAGCAATCAGCAATATTGGCTGGAAGACCTACATTATCTTCGCTGTATTGAATACTCTCTGGGTCCCCATAATCTATCTCTTCTTCCCAGAGACCAAAGGTCAGAAAATGTGTTATGATTTCTGGACCAATGCTAACAAAAGACTAGGCCTTCAGCTTGAAGATGTTGACCGACTCTTCGCAGGTGATGACGAGCATGTGGCAGCGGAATTGTTTGCTGCCAAGCCTGCTGTGGAGTACGCTGAAATGGCGGGGAAAGAAGCGGCTTAGCTTTGCAATGTACAGTATGTACTCGTCACATGAGGAGGATAACAGGAATCTCTGTTATGTACTCGCGATCACCTTGTGTACCTGACGGTAGGCTGCAATTTTTTGTGTTCAAAGCTCGGAACGGCTTTATGTTACTTGTCTTTGCAGTCAGTTCGTCTTATTATTTTGCCTTAAATGTCAGATGCGCCATTAGTTTATTGAAGGTTCCCGGCAGATGCCAAGCCAAAATGCATCAACCTGTCTTGGTGTCACGGTCTGTACTGTATCCGGCCAATTGGAGATATCAATGACTCTGTATTTTATTTACCCCTATTTCACACTATTTATGGGTCTATTCTAGTTACACAAGTTATGCCATCGGTTGCATAAACCGCACCTCGGTAATGCTGTCGTTCCCAGCTGTAAAGGGGCAAAGGCCTTCGGTAAAAGGTATTTACCTTCTAGATCGAGCGCCCTTTCTCTTCTGCTTCTCATATGTGACCTAATCGCTTACTCCTTTCCGGAGAAGTGCAGCCGATTACATCGTATTTTTGTAAGCGTTTAACGTCAGCTTTATGCAGACTCGGAGGGGTTCGAGACCTCACACAAAGTAGCGATTTAATAAATGAAGCTTACTTTTGTAACTTCATATATTTTGAAGGCGTTTTTGGCTCCCATTCCTTACCCTGGCCCAAAGAATTGAAGGAGGTGGGGGTGGGTTTGCTGTTCGAAGACAAATATCAAACCTTAAGATCAGTCGATCGGGTCAAAAGGGCATTAAGCCGGCTGCTCCAAAGGCAATTTTTTAATAAGATGGGATTGAAAAGGGCTGGGTTCGTGCGGAAGGGCAGGCGTAGAGTAAGTCTAGTTTGTCAATATGGTTGATCCCGTTCCGTATCTTGATTATAACCATCCGACCTTAATAACGCTTTAAGGCCGCAAATCAGCCGATATCAAATATAATACCGGCGTTCGCAAATTTCGTCAAACTTTGGTGTTAATTGACTTTCGTGGCTGTCGGGTATCGAGAGTCGGAACTTCCCCTTCGTACGAGAAATGGTCGACGAATTAAACAGCTTTTCGAGCCAATGAAGGCCAATTTTATTAAACGCTACCCCTTCAAATCTCCAATTATTCGGGATGTTATCGAACCATGTTCCGATTGTTGCGAGAGGGTGGTGGCTTTGTATAGACAACACTTCTTTGTTCACACGCCCAGCTCTTGTGAGTTGTGCTCGATAGAGAAATCCATTGAGTTGGAGAATCATGGGCTAAAACTCAAACTTTTAGTAGAAGCTGACTGGACTGTATAAACAGAATATTTTGGATCCTTAGTTACTAATAACAAATAGTTTAAGCATTTTCTTCGTTTACTGACAAATTATGTTTTTGGCATGAATCATCGCTTTTGACGCTTTGACACTCAAACTGAGTAAATAGACGATTTGTTGAAGGTTGGTGGGTTGGGGGGGAGGCTATTTTTCTTCTGAAGTTTATCGGCATTAGAACCATGTCTCCGCGCACACGGCGGTTGAATTATGGTGGTAGGTCCTATTCCAGAATACTTGTATGATATTAGTCGAGCTGGCGAGAAGTCACTCCATGAAATGCCGATTGGTCATCGCATTAGCCGTCACACGCAATTTAGCTTTGTTTTGGGGGGCCGCCCGGTAGGGGGGAGGGAGACATGGACAGACCGCAAATCCCATGCTGACAACGGCAATTATTGGTGGATAGCTTAGAAAAAGGGTGAGGAAAAGCTTTCATAGAGTGGCCGCATTTCCCAAAGGTGCCGGAGCCGGCCATACAAAACGATACTTATTCAGTTTTCTTCCCTGTCTTCGTTCCACACCTGGGACAAGTAAAGCAGACATGGTTCTCAACAACGACCTCAATGGAAGACTTGCCTTAATTACGGGTGCTTCAGGAGGGTAATGTTCTCGTTCATTCATATAATGCTCGTCGCTAACAACTTGCCAAAAGCATTGGAGCAGCTTGCGCCCGTGATCTGTTCGCTCATGGGGCACATCTAGCATTGACATATTCCACAAATAAATCAGCTGTCGAAGCCCTCATTGACGAGCTGAAAACGCAAGACCCATCCCGTCGGGTCACGTCTCATAAAGTGGATGTCGGCAATGCGGATGATATTGCAACCCTTTATGAACAAATCCAATCGCTTCACGAGCAGTCTGGACCGGATATCCTGATTTCAAACGCAGGCTACGGCAAACGAATTTCAAACATTGTCGACATCTCGCTCGAAGAATTTCAAAAGATGATACAAGTCAATCTTTTGTCCTCCTTCCTGCTGTCTAAGCTCGCTGTCCCATACATGGTCTCTCAACAGTGGGGAAGAATCATCTTTATGTCATCGATTGCGGGAATCGGGGGCGGAATAAATGGTTGTCATTACGCTGCTAGCAAGGCTGGGCTCACTGGCATGATGAAGAACTTAGCTACTAAACTGGCTCAGGACGGGGTCACGGTTAATGATGTGGCACCGGCGATGATTGGTGATACCGGAATGATCCCAAACGCCAAATCCCTAGAAGGGACATCTGGAGATGTGTCCAACATTCCGGTGGGTCGGTTAGGTACACCGCAGGAATGTGCTAATGTGGTAACGATGCTCTGCAAGACCGGTTATATGACTGGACAAAGTATTCTGCTTGCTGGCGGTTTGAAATGACAGATAGCTTACACCGCTACGACGGGGCTTGGTTGGAATTCTCTTTTGTCTTTTACTTATAGCCACATCGAAATCTTTTGAGACCTAAGAAACGTCTTGTACCTACTATGAGGATGATTGGTTCCACTTACGGTCGTTATCTAACGCAATTTTGATAAGCTTTACTGAAGCCTTTGGTATGCTTGGTATTTCTTTTAGACGCACTGTTCTCGCGCAATAATGCGGTGAAAACTCCATTTGTCTTTGTTCATATACTACTAGGTTCTTGCTAATTGTGCTCTCTTGCCAACTGTGGACCTCCGAGTTGAGATTTGTAAAATGATACTTTAGAAGAAACCTCAGTTGCGCGAAAAGAGAGCAATAACGTTCAAAATAGGAGGAATTTGGCGCAACTAACTCTGGATTCGGCTTTGTGATTGGGGAGGCGATGAAATAAGAGAAGGGAAATCTAATACAGGCAACTTCAAAGGACCTATTTACGTTTTCAAAATGAGGAAGGTGTCAAAATGGATTATAGCCAAGTGCTTCATTGATGTTTCTTTATCACAAAAACCACTTGAGAATCTTTGACCCACCCGCAAGGCTTTCTATCGGAATAAGCTCATACGACACGGCTCCGCTACACAACGTCTTTGCTCCCTGCGGGAGTCCTCTCGTGCGTGTCGGGCTCCTAGAGTAGATTTCCAAATAGCTGAGTATTGACAAGGTATTAGTGCGTAACCTACTGCAAATGGCGGAGGATCCGATACGCTCTGGAGCAAATATTACTGCGGCCTGAAAGGTCTTTCATACGGATGACCGTGTTTTCAATCACCTCCCGCAAAGAGTCCAAGTCGTATGTTGAGTCAATTACCGATGATACATCTTGAAGACACGAATTGAGGGCCACAGCAGCGTGGAGTACTTTCAGACTTGTCACCCCACTGAGTAACCGGAGATAATTTCGCAGTAGCGGAGCTTCCTACAGCCCTGTGGATAGATATCAAGGCTTTACTAGAGCTGTTGCATATTCCCCTGGATGTCGGAAGAAACAAAGGTGATATAGAATGGTGGAAAGGTCGGTGTAAAAGGAGGTAGAGATGATGTGCGTAAGTCTGCAAACGTACCAATATGCGTAGCTAGTAGAATCCAAAATGCTTGGGGAGCCGTCGACCATATAAGTCAAGTCCCATTGTTTTTGTTCCTTGGCTATCGCTCTATCGATTTCAAGCATTAAATGTTGATGCAGCCGCGAACGGCCCGATATATGACGACAGATCTCAGTAGAAAGCCGGAAAAGCCGAACCTTGTCCAGCATGACCGACAGTTGCGTAGGCTCGCCACGACTAGACGGATGCAAATTGCTTGATATCAGAATCATTGACATTGGCAGGTAAGGAGAACTTGATGGCGAGAAGATATGACATATCAACATCCCGAAATAGCATGCCCTGATACGTATGTAATGTTAAGAGTCCAGCGTCGCCATCTTTCTGTCTCAATGGGGCTTAGGCCCACATTACACCCAATGCGATGCCAATGTCCGCTAACTCCCTTGCCACTTTACTGTGTTACCTCGTTCCCAAGTAGTCGCCCTACTTCTTCGGCAATACACATCACTCTCTCCTCGGTCAATCGCCTTCCTATGATCTGCACTGCCACCGGTGCGCCATGATACTCTGCCGGGTCATCTGATACGCCGTTAGTATTTGTCTTTTATAGAAGCCGTGTTACTTACATTCAGCCTGCACAGTCTCGTCAATATCTGACAACGGCTTCAACTTCTCGTTTTTGATATCGATAGCCTTGTCAGCATACGTGACTGGTACCACGACGCTAGTAAAATCGAGAATGTTGATAGCACTGGCGTATCCGTAATACTTGAATTGATTATGTCGGATAGCCGCGGTAGGCGTAATAGGAGCAATGATAGCATCTAGCTCTTTGTCTAGCTCCTTTTCAAATTGACGGATTTTGGAAAGATATTCGCATTGGTAGTCCCATTTCTGAAGCTGCACATCCCAAAGTTCATTGACGTTCATCTTTGGCAGGTTTGGGCTCACTAGATCGGCGATATTCGGGATCGCTGGCTCTCCAGAAGCTTTGAGAACACCGAATATATCCTAAGGAGTATCAGTGGCCGTCTTTCCTAAGTATATTAAAAGACTTACAGTTCCCCCGTCAGATGCGTAGATGCGATTGGCAAGACTAACACCATGTGCATGCTTGTAAGGTTCCCAAGGATGGACTGTATGCCCAGCTTCACTGAGCTTATCGACAACAGTTTGAACTGCTCGTAGAACCGGTGGATGAGGCAGAACCTGTGAGAGCGGGTAAGCGGTCTTGCAAAAGTTTGTTGACAAAGAGAAAAGCTTACGTTGCCGTCACATGAATAGTAGCCTAGAGTCAATCCGCTGGAGGATATCTTGGCCTTGATAGCCTCCTCTTCGTCTCTTCGCCACGGCATTGGAATAACCTTTGAGTCGTAGGACCAAGGTTCCTGAGAGAGAACAGATGTAACAAAGAGTCGCATGTCAGCTACGGAATGGGCAAGTGGTCCACATACGCTGTGGATGGTCTCTTGCCCTTCCATGCTGTTGGCCATCTTAGCGTAGGGAAGACGGCCATGACTAGGTCGGAGACCGTAAAGGAAATTAAAGGCTGCCGGAACTCGTATCGAGCCACCTGGTTGTTCCTTTCAGCTTTTTATCAAACATAAAAGAAGGCTCAAGTTGCATCTACTCACCAATGTCAGTTCCAACCCCTATCACACCACCACGCAATGCGACGATAGCACCCTCTCCCCCGGAGCTCCCTCCACAAGACCAGTTCTTGTTCCGAGGATTCGTGGTACGGCCATGGATGTTATTGATAGTCTCGCACACCATCAGACTTTGGGGTACGGAGGTCTTGACGTATAGTACCGCACCAGCGTTGAGAAGCATGGTCGTAAGGACAGAATTATCTTTATCTTTCTTTCCAATCCAAGAAACGTAACCCATAGTAGTGTCAAGACCCTGTTCTCATTAGCTGTAGTCCATGATAGTTGTATAGATTGACTTACCTTTACGCGGAGTTGGTCTTTCAATGAAATGGGCAGTCCGTGCAATGGCCCGATTGGCTTCTTGTGCTCTGCAAGGTAACCATCCAGATACTGCGCTCTGGCTAGCGCTATATCTGGGAAAAACTCATGAATGCAATTTGTCTGTAGTGGATTAACAATTCTTGTTTTTCATAGCTTCGTAGGGCACTCGACTCACCAACTGATGCGCCAGCGCGGCTCTCTTGCAAAAAGCCCTGGTGACCGCAACCGAGGTAAGCTTTCCAGTAGCTAGCTTTTGAACCAACTCTGTAGCTGAGTATTCAGTAATAACCAGTTCTTCCAGTGTGAGGTGTCCACTCGTCCTTGGGAATGACATGACAGAGCCGTCAGCGGGGTGAGTTTTGATGCGCCATTCTGGAGGAATCGACGCCTCAAGGTCACTCCTCTTCTTCGTTGCGAGGGATTCCCAGTCCATATCGGAATTATAAGCTGATGGATAGGCAGGCGGATGCTATTGCTATTGAAAGAAAAGGGAAGGAACATATAAATAGCTTGAAATTCTTATGCGGGGTCTGTCCAGTAACTGACCGGGGTTTGAGTTCCCCCGGGGTTTGTGTCCCCCAAAAACTGAACGTAACAAGCTAGGAACGGATGGAAGTAGCCGAATGGATTAGCGTTGAGATAGGAAAACAGTACGATACCGCGTGTAGACATGAGACAGGTACTTAAATCATTTCCTATCAAGTCATTGCGGGGCATTCCTTTAAGGTTTCACTTAGTATTAACTCTCCAGTATTCCTCATGATTTTCAGAGCTGGTTTGCGCTAGTTAAGCATTCTCCCTTACCGGCAATTGCTAACCGTTCGGTCGGATGCCAGTTCACTCCCATATCATGTCGCAACCCACGGGAGCGTAAGACTAAATTGTATAGTGCCCTGTGCGCATTACTTCTAAAGATACAAATCGAGATACTCGCGGTAGGTAGTCTGGAACTAGTGAGAAACTCGCATCCACGTCGCGTTCAAAGGTCGCAATGTTGTTGCACATCACACCCATAATTTAGAGTGTCGGCAATGCTCGCAACTAGTGAACGCGTTCTGGTTTCGGCGATAAGATTCAGATATTACTCTCGGCCCAATCCATCGCGCCAATTGAGAGGTTCCGGTCGTCCGAACAGCATGTGGAGTCCGATACGTATTAATAACTGGGGATGGGGATAACGAGATTTATCTCCGGTCTCCAGTTTTAGATAACCGAGTGGTTATTAAACAGCCCTTCCGTACTTCGTAGTAGAAACACTGGTTCTAGAAGAGCCCTGACCTGTTACATCCTAGGATAAATCCGTAACATATTGTGAAAATTAGAAACACGGCTGGGTTAATTAACCTTAATATCACAACAAGGAGATACAATTTTAGACTCTATTCGATGAGTGGACTGATATACGGCAATGGATGGATATGGATCTGATCACTTGGGTAGGGATGCGTCTTCGATTTCTAGGCTCCCTGCTAAAGTTGCCAGATTCTGGATGGAGCTTTCATCGTCTTTGCAACTTGGTCGATTATTCACACAAGGATATTGTAGAGCGTAGTCATCTTGCACGAGGTTACTCCGGTAGAGCGTGTTGCGAGGGGTAAATAAGCCAAGTTCTGTAGTTTAATTGACAATTCGATTCATGCATTCATGTTTTAGGCCCAAATAAAGCAGAGCCTTTTTGAGGGCCGTATTTGGTGATCATTGACCACGACTTTCAGGTATAATCAGTTCGTCCAACGCGCTCTTTCCCTCTCTTTCCCGCTCTCTCTCTCTTCTATTTCTACTCTGGACCTCGGCTGCAACCTACAAGATGCACATCCATGTTTCCTCTATCATTTTAATCCATATGTGTATATTCGCAAACATCCGGTAGTATTTGCCCACGATCATGACGACCAATATCTGCCAAGTATGCTCTAACTTAACCCACTTCGATATTAACAACACGAGATAAGATTATTAGCATATCGCCTATAATGCCTACGGCGGTAACCTCGTCGCTAGCACTAGCGATAATAACGCGCTTCATTCTTTATCGCTTCGTATGGAATCTGATGATGTCATCGCTACCTCTAAGGAGTGCAATTAGGTGAGATCGATCAAATATTTATATTCTAGCTTTTAGCTTTTAGGTAGAAACATTGACGCTACTAGAAACGAATATAACCAAATTATTCTTACAGAATTCGAGCTCCAGGACATCCACGATTGACAAAACTCTGTTGGTTGTGGTATAACTTAATGTACAGATTTAAACTATTTCAATGTACCGTTTGATCTCCCTATAAATAAGTTAGCGTTGCATCAGTAAGCACCATGAATTTTCCAACTTACCAATCAGTGACAGCCTCCCTCCACTGACCCAGCTCATGCTGTCTCGTAGCAGTGAAGAAGTCCACAAACTCTGAATCCAAAATCTCACGAGCAATGCTGTTAGGTGCCGAGAACCGATCCAAAGCCTTGTCCAAAGTGTTGGGCAGCAGCTCTGGACGAGGGTCCCCCGACTTGCGCGCTGACATAGGCGGGACCTTGATTTCAAGCTTCTTCTGCACGCCCCTCCAGCCAGCTGCGAGAATGACGCTGAGAGCGTAGTGAGGATGTAAGTCCGCACCAGGGATACGGACTTCAAAGCGTGTGGCACCCGGTTTGCAGACTGGTGGTGTGATTAGACGAATTGAGGCAATTCGGTCCTCGAGTCCCCAGCTGATGTGTACTGGTGCCCAGTAGTTCTCGACAAGACGCTTGTATGAGTTGACGGTAGGGGCAAACAGCGGCATGATATCTGGGAGGGCGTCTAGGAGACCGGCGAGGAAGTGGCGACCTGTGTCGGAGAGGTGGGCAATGTCTGACCACTGAGGGTTGGCTTCGGGGGTCTCGCGCGCAAAGAGGTTCTTACCCTCTTTGTCGGCGAGGGAGATGTGAATGTGTCCTGAGCTGCCAGGCATGCCATGCATGGGCTTAGCCATGAAGCAGGGTGTGACTCCATGATCCATTCCCAATGACTTGGTGAGGAGTCTGTCTCTTGTTAGTCATGGTTAGAAAATATAATTGGATTGGTAGCACCCACTTAAACATTGCAACCTTGTCGGCCATTTCACTAATCTCTGAAACCTTCAGGGCCTGTGAAATGTCAGAAAAAGTCTCTTATATTTTGGAAGGGCAACATACAGCTTCGTACACACCGGGCCCGCCCTCAGTGTGCCACCCTTCAATGCCGCAATTGACCTGCGCAGCAGTGTTGAAAATATCATAGAAATACTTCTTGTTGGCAACAGGGCGTGTTGAGCTGTAGCAGAACATGCCAGCTGTGATGGGTCGAAGGGCACTGGGGGCGTTCTTCTCCAGGAAGGAAGCCAGATTGGGGTGGTTGGAACCGGCGCTGCCATATCCGTCTTCGGAGGGAGTCTGGAAGTTCATGAACTCGAGTTCAACTATAATTGTTAGAGTACGTCAACCTGCATGCAGTAACCGTGCATCTCACCTCCAGCCAGAGCTCGAATTCCCTCCCCTCCAAGCCGATCACACAAACTCCTCAACATACTCCTTCCATCGGCCAATACCGGATCAGTATCGTTGAGGAAGCGCACAAGGAAGAATGGAATATTCTCCTCCCATGGCAGACGTCGGAATGAGTTCAGGTCTGGAATGGCGAGGAAATCCGCATAACCTGACTCTGGGGGCGCGACGCGTGCTTCGGTTGTCCACATCATATCATGCATATCCCAGCCGAAGAGGGCAGAACTGAAGCCAAAGCCCTTTTCTGCGATACCGAGGAACTTCTCCTTGGCCATGACCTTGCCACGGAGGACACCATCGCTGTCAATGCCGGCGACCTTGACCTTGATGTCGTCGGCGAGAAGAGTGGGGAGGGATTCAACGGTGATCATGGTGGGTGTAATCATTTTGAGAACTTGTGAGAATCAATTGAAGAAAACTGAAGAGAAACAGATCTCCCACTTGCCACCATGGCTCTATTATACAATTGCGCGAATTGCGGGCCATTGGGGATGCTGCGGGTCAAGCTTGTGGTTGTCATTAATCCCGCGCATCTTTGGTCAACGATAATCCCCGCGGTAGAGAAAGCGCGCACCATGTCGTGCAAGTGATCATCGGCAGAGGGTCACCGGTGAAGCTATGGCCATCGGATAATGTCGCGACGGAGATGCTCCGCGGTCCGCGCTGTGGAGTTGGGGTAGCGCGCTTATCGTGCCGTTATCGGGCAAGTATTCAAAAGTTGGACTTCAAAGCATTCCACAGTTTACCTGATTGTTTCAGTCACAATTCTGTATACACACAATGTCAAACCATCTTCGTGTCGCTGTTCTCGTGTGTGACACTCCAATTCAGCCAGTCCTCGAGCAATATGGCGACTACTATGCTATCTTCCAAGCTCTGATGAAGCAAGGCTTCAAAGACTTGGAGTTATCAGAGGATATTGATGTGGAATTCAGCGGTTACCATGTGGTAAACAATCCTGAGTTCCCTGAGCTGCAAGACTACGATGCCTTGCTCATGACCGGAAGCAGTGAGGTCTCCTTGCAAATATAAACCTGGATTCTAGCTGACTGGTTATTAGAACATGATGCCTGGGCCAAGGATGACTGGATCGTCGATCTCACGAGCTACGTGAAGAGTGTGTTTGAGGCGAACAAGCCCGTCGTTGGCATCTGCTTCGGACACCAGATTCTCGCACGAGCACTCGGGGCCAAAGTGGGAAGAAGTGAAATCGGATGGGAGATCTCTGTGGAGGAGCTCAATTTGACCGATACCGGGAAAAGGTTGTTTGGAAAGGACACACTGGTACGTGATAAACTCCACTGTAATGTAGTGGCCTAACACGGCGAATGGATATAGTCCATCCAGCAAATGCATCGAGATATTGTCTTCGATATCCCGGCTGGCTGCACCAACCTTGCGACAAGTCCGATTTGCGGGGTCCAGGGTCTTTACTTGCCAAAGCGGGTGTTGTCGGTGCAGGGGCATCCTGAGTTTCACGAAGGAATCATGTCTAGTTTGCTAGAAGTGAGGCATGCAAGCGGTTTATTTAATGATGAATTGTATAAGGATGGGTTGTCGCGCGTGGGGAATCCCCATGATGGGCGATTGATAGCGAAGGCAATGGCGAAGTTCATTGTGGAGGCGCAAAGTAGCGAGTCATAATAAAACAGAACGTTATTACACCCAAGATAAGCCACCAAGTCAAGGCCCAGTCCCGACAGATCAAGAGTCGGATCTACAACTGCCCGGGACCACCCAAGACCGCGGTACGACCTCCGCGCTATAAAGCCCACCACACCCGTCACCCACCACCCACTCCCTTCCATTCTCCAACTTCCATCCTCACAATGTCTAACCAAATTCGTACCATTTCTCCCTCCACACACGAGGTCATCTTTGACCAACCTGGCACTTCACTCGAAGAAGCCATCCAAGTCGCTGCAAAGTCAAAGAAAGCCTTTGAAACTTGGCGTACTTCTTCATTGGAAGATAGAAAGAGTATCGTGAAGCGAGCATTGGATATTGTCGCAAAGAACCGCGATGAATTATCTAAAGACCTTACCACCCAAATGGGCCGGCCCATTAGATACTGTGCAGCAGAGATCAACACGATGCGTCTCCGGGCTGAATACTTGATGGAAATCGCTGAAGAGAGTCTCTCAGATTTGCCTGGTCGGCCTGAAGCTGGTTTCCGGAGGGTGGTGAAGCGTGTCCCCGTTGGGCCGGTCTTGATTGCAGGCACTTGGAATGTGAGTCAATAATACCCTGCATCTACCTAGAGTCACCGCTAACTAGTCTGTAGTACCCTTTCTTGACTACAATCAGCGCACTCGTGCCCGCTCTTTTGGCTGGTAACAGTGTCATCTTCCGACCTTCGCCTCAGACCCCACTCTTTGGAAACCGAATGTTGGAGATCTTCACAGAGGCCGGACTTCCCCTTCACGTTCTCCAGGTCATCCATATCGGAAATCTAGATGTTCTCGATCAAGTGGTGCAAATTCCTCAGATCCAGTCTGTTTCTTTCACCGGCTCAACTGCAGGCGGTATCAGATTGAGAGAGGCAACCGCCCGCCATATCAAGCCTGTTAATCTCGAGCTTGGTGGAAATGACGCTGCCTATGTTCGGGAAGATGTCGATGTTAAGAATGTCGCGGAAAACCTTGTAGATGGGGCTATTTTCAACTCCGGACAGAGCTGCTGCTCCATCGAGCGGGTGTATGTGCACGAGAAGGTTTATGATGCCTTTGTTAGTGCGGTGCAGGACGAGCTGAAATCGTGAGTATGATAACCCTCGATAGGAATAATGTTAACATGCAACGCAGTTATAAACTCGGTGATCCCCACGACCAGAGCACAACCACTGGCCCGGTCATCTCAGCCCAAGCTGTGAAGAATATTAGTGCCCACGTCCAGGATGCTTTAGACAAGGGAGCTGTCAACTCGACACCTGAGAACGTTAGCTTCCAGGTGGCCAGCAACCCCCAAACACAGAAAGGAAACTTTATCGCTCCTATCGTGCTGACTGGTGTTAACCACACGATGGCTACGATGAAAGAAGAAACCTTTGGTCCCGTTATGCCTATCATGAAGGTATCCAGTGACGATGAAGCCGTGGCCCTCATGAATGATAGTGACTACGGTTTGACCGCCAGTGTCTGGACGAAGGATATGGCTCGTGGAGAGGAGCTGATTGAGCGTCTTGAGGCTGGTACGGTGTTCATTAACCGCTGTGATTATCCGTCTCCGGTAAGAAGGCCCAATTAACCCATATTATGAATATCCTGAAGCTAACCTCTGGGTCTAGGACCTTGCTTGGACTGGTTGGAAGCAGTCGGGGTTGGGTTGCACCCTTGGTCCCCGGGGCTATGATGGTTTCACCAAGCTGAAAAGCTACCATATGAAGGATGCCTCGGCTTGAATCGCTAGTTCTGAATATGCTGGGATATGTACCTAGAAGCGAAATTTTGGTTCAAAGGAATGAATTATGTGCCTGCAGATATGACCGTAACAAACGACCACCCTTTAGTCTCCTCGATATAGATATCCTGTCGGAGTATACCGTAGAGATTTGGTAGGCTAATTTAATTATCAATGTATAGTTCTTGTCGCACTTAGACAGCATAAAGACGTCGGATATAAGCATTATAAGCACTCCTAATAGGCTTAGCGTGATCGAGGAAGCTGTAGTGTGAAGAATGCAGCCATGTCTTGGCAGAGTATATATTTACGTGCCAAAATTGTCGAATTGGGTCTGTAATCGTTGTCGAACGCAGAGGGTGAGATAGTTATCGTGTTAGAGCCAGGTCCACACCGTTCCCAGACCTGGTTGTTGATGCGGGTTATTGAGAGAGCCTGGTCAAGAGGGTGACATGCTAAATGCTCTAGTCTATATATATGCCACCGTCTTGGCTAGCGCGGCGTTGTCAGGTTGGATCAATATGAACTCTCATCTCTTAAAGGCCCTCCATGCCCAGAGATTGAGATTGACCTCCCAGACCTCCATCTTTCTACATCCTCACCATCTTATACCCATTATGCAGGGATGGCCAAGCCACATAAGCTTTCATCGTATTGTAGATGAAATCAAAAAAATTGATTGTATTATACAAAATACAGAAAGCAACCACGGAGGGGTATCCAAACTTTAACTCTCGCTGCGGGGTTTACCCGAAAATATCATCGAAATGTAACATGTCAGTAGCCGCCATACCGACATCTCCTAATAGACTGAACAATTCTGAATCTGGCGTGGGGAGCTCGTCAAACAAGGTCCCTTCACCCAAGGGTTCCCCTTGATAGACGATGTTGCGGGTGATTTCCTTGCGATTGAACACGGGCGCCGATGTCTTAGACTGTGACGCCTCGCTAATTCCAGCAATCTTTTCCAATAACTCCAACGTGCTCCAAATCTTCCGATCCAAGTCTTTGACACAGTTCTGTAAGTTGTGCAGTATATTAATCGCAGTCTGAAAGGGCTTGCTACACATCGATCCGTATTCTTCTGGACGATGTGAGACAATAAAGAGCATGATGGATAGAGACGCTAGAGGCAGTTTGACCGCCGTCGGCAACAAGAGTGGGCTGATTTCACCAGCATCAGCCATTTTACAATGTAGATCGACCGACTTCGCAGCAGCCGTCAAGAGAGATTTGGCTGACGCTGGATGGGAGATAAGATCCCGTAGCGAACCGAAGGCGCCGATCTGTGTGAGGATTTTGATGTGGTGCACGCGAAGGTGGCAGAAGTGTTTCAGTCCAGTCTGTAACCATGCTGGTGGCATTATGATTGGCTCTAGAGACACAAAGTCCTCTGTGGGTATTCTGTCAACGACTTTCTGTAATTGAAAGGTGAGGAATTCAATCCGTTCGGCGTTATTCTTTGACTGTGATGACGGAGCGTTGACGAGAGTCCATATCTCGGAGAGGTTACTGTCCAAGGAGATCATAGTTGATAGATAAGATCCTTGTGGTTCCTGGACCAAGAGATGTCAGCTGTAAGAACGTAGCCACCCAGAGCGTAATGTGCTGATAGAGAGCCATACTATCCTAAGTACAGAGAGGCCTCGAGGTCTCTGTCATGAAGTGTCCACGGCATACCCGAATAGAAGCTGCATTTCCTGTCTATGCGATACACACAAGCAAGCAGGCGCTTCCAGTCGATAATTCGCTGTGGATGCGCCTTGGCAACTTCAAAGAACTTTTCTCGATGTAGACCGAGCTCGAGACACAATCTGGCGGCGACACCAGACATCCGCCATGCTTTGACGGGTCTTTGCTTGAGATCTAAATAGATTGACTGCGTTGTAGCGGAAGATTCCCTTTCGTTAGCGGTGTCAGTGTGTTTGAAGACAGGCGTAATGGCTCACCAGCAGAGTTGCCATGACCTCAACCTGAGGCTTCTCTTGATCGAAACAAGAGTCTACACTCCACGCCAATTGGGCTTCGAGGTCAAAGGCTAGGGGGTTCTGTGTGTCACCTCTTATAAGCAAGGCGATTGCTGAAACTGCTTTTGTGAGCTCTATATCGATCATATCCAGCTTGGAAGTAGCTCCGGTCGCAGCATGCGTCAAATGTGAAAAGATGGCGTCGAGAGCTCCATAGCCCAGTTCCAGGCTGACGCAAGGATAGATAGGATAGACCTCGTCCTTGAATATTGTAAAGAGCTGAGTGACCTTCTCGTGACCAAGTTCCAAGACGGGTCGTGCGGCTTGCAGTAAAGTGATCAAATCATCGGGGTATTTCGATTCGTCATCAACGACCGAATGATGCCCACTTGCCGAGTCTTGAGGAGGTGTGAGGTCCCTTGCTCTCAAAGCGTCCTGCGTGAGGTTCAAGGTGTACTGAAAATCCGTATGAGAGAGGGGTTTGCTCGGTCGAGGAAGCTCATCGCTGCAGTGTCTTCGTTGTAGGTAGGCCCCGCGTGGATGAACCAGGCCAAAGCGCCCCATCGATTGCTGCATTTGTTCACAAATCCTATTCATTCGCAAGACCGTGGATTCCACCCATGAATCTATTTGGAAGATCATTATCCGGCCCGCGCTGGTCCTCTTTTTACCACCAGTCCTCTGGTCCACGGTATCTTTCGGGATAGGAATCGGGATCTTCGTCATCATGGGCACCACAGCCGCAACGGCTTTCTCACAGGTTTACCATTTTGCAACCTGGCAAGTGGGAATGGTTTGGATTGCAGGCATTGTGGGTAACATTCTAGGAGTACCCTTTGGTGGTTATTTCTCGGATTGGGTAGCCAACCGCGCAACCACGAAGAATGGCGGAGTCCGCGAGCCAGAGATGCGTCTTCCCGCCGTGAGCGTCGCTATGATTACCTATCCTGCAGCACTTCTTCTCTACGGCCTGGGGATCAATTACAAAGCGCATTGGATGGTGCCTATATCGGGCATATTCTTGTGTAAGAACTTTCGTCCAGTCCATTTCAATGGGAGCTTGCTGATTTTGGAGCTATAGTTTCGTTTGGAAGTAGTGCTGCGATCGGCATTAGTGTGGTCTATACAATCGACTGTTACAGGCCGATTGCTGAGGAGGTTGTGGTGAGCCAAGTTGCCTTCAAATGTGGGTTATTCGCTTCTCTCCCTAAGGATTCTAAAAACATTGATGCTGACCGACGAGCGTTCTAGCCATCATCACGTTCCTCATGTCCTTCTACGCTAACCCATGGGTCAATCGTGACGGCTATGCAGGAGCATTTAGTGCCATGGCAGCGCTGAGTTTCGTCGTCTTGGCTATGTGGATTCCCTTGTACATCTGGGGTAAGCGAATTCGCCGTGCTACTCTCAAAGGGCGTGTCATGCGATACGTCCACTGGGCTGTGGACCGAGAAACTGGCGAGTAGGCATTTCTCTCAGTATGCGGGTGCATTTCCAACAACTTGCTGTGGGCAAAAAGCTACTGCCTGCCGTTTTTTCTTTTCTTTTTTTTTAAAAAAAAAGAAAAGAAAAAAGAAAAAAGAAAATGTTCACGGCGACCCCTCAAGAAGATCCCGAAGTTTCCCTATGCTGCCTGTCTTATATTTAACACTCAATCTCTGTTCGCTATACCAAATTGATAGGCAGAAAACTCTGAGATTGAAGGATGATCCATTCTCTGTCGGAGGCTATGTAAGCTATGGAAGCACTTGGAAACTAGGTCTGCTTAGGCCCTACCTAAACCCGCGGGACTTTTTAGAGATCTGGTCCTAAGTAGACTGCGACTGTTAAGACCCTCATCGACAGGTTGCCTAAGCATTGCCTGAGGAACAAGGATTGGGACGTCTCTATAAACTTTGAGGCACACTAACTGCCCCGCGAGGCCTAGGGCATTAATGGAACGCTCACATAACCTGACTGTCTAATAAAAGCCTCATTTAGGACAAATTAAGAGCTCAAGCTGATCTTCCTACCAAGGTCAGCGATTGATCTTTCTATTATCACCAAGTCACTCTTTCTTATTACACTTTATTATTCGAGTCCATCCTGCTCCTTCAGTACCTGGTAGGGTCAAACTTATAAACGTTCTACTAGTGTCTATTCCTCATGACCTTATCAAGCGCCGGTCCATGGCGCCCCGTTCAATCGCAACCGCGGGCTAAAATCCGATACATCGAGTGACGCATTTGATCTATTCTTAAGACAAGGAAAAGCTGAAACTGAGACATGAGCAGTTATTCAACCAAGCCCTCCTTGATGTCTCGCAATAATTGCCTTCTTAAACCAGCTTCGAGCAAAATTACAAGTTACTTTTCAGAAAGAAAGCCCGCTATCAATGGGAGAAATGTACGTATCCAGAATGTAAAGCCATTTCAATACTAATGCAACCGAAACTCATACGGAAAACTTGAATTATATATATATTCTTTGGTATTGAACTGTATGGTATAAGAAATCATACAATAGGGATCATTCTATAGAAGCCTAGGGGTTATTGGGCTAGTAAAACAAATGATAGTTCACTATATATACGTTAATAGTAGTTAGTATAAAGCTACTAGAGCTATATTACACTAAGCTTAGCTTATAAAAGAGACTCTAAAGTACGTATTCTCTGAAAGTACTTGGTGCTACGGGATTCATCATTATAAAAATCGTAAATAGCCCCTCTCTATCCTAGCTCAGCCGGAAGAAAATATTTTATATAAAGCCGGGGAAAAAAGGGAACTGACCTTTTAAAGGGAATAAAGGCCCTATACGAGCCCTTCTTATAGAAACGATTGAATTTATAAGAAGGGGCCCTAACGAAACTGTAAAGCGTATGTGGTATTTAAGAGACGAGTTCCTACAGTTAGCTAGTAAGTTATTAGGAACGAGAAATATAGAGTACTATCGGTATTTTAGAGAATGGTTCAGAATTAGAAAGGAACTGGGAAACAGAGCTTCCGGCAAGCGGGAAAGCAGTAGTCCAAATTACCTCTGCAAACTATACTATATCCTCGCAGGTCCCTACACCATCAGGATGCTTAAAACGGAACGTTCGATGGATAGGACGATCAGTTAAGAAGTGTGGCATGCAGATTTACTGTTTATGAGTGATTAACGGGTTTTAGGGGATTTTCGGTGTTTTCCGACATAGTTCTTATGACATTGATAGCTAGTCTGAAGGGGATTCCTGCCGGGGGGCCGCCGGGATGGTGTGATGGCCTTCCTTATCTGTTTGCCCACGACCCAGCCTCATATTCGTGCTTCCTCCGTCTTAATAGCCAGTGATCAATATCCATGCTTCTTTCCCCCTTCCTTGATCAATTTGGACTTAGCAAGAAGAAAGAGACGACTGCCCCTTACACGAAGCAGTCGTTGTCAGCTTCGGGCTCTCTCTTTTCTCTGATTTATCCACTCCCTCAAACTCCTGGCACACATGCTTGACGCTGGATCCACACGTGTTGCTCACATCTGACGTATCGCCGTAGTTGGAGTTGATTCCCACCAACGTTTCCACGCCCTTGGCCTTGACGTTCTTGATCACCACTTTCCGTGGACTTTTACTCTTGTTGCTACTGCAGTTGCCGCATGATCGATACAGCTTGCCTGCATTCACCACAGTGAATCCATCGATGGTGACGGTTCCTTTGCCGTTGTGCTGCACCACCTTGTCTTTGGCCTCTTGAGCGCCTCCACCTTTGATGAGTGCATTTCCGGTTCCGAGGATGGAAATGGCGTCCTATAGGGGGCACATTAGCACTAGTAGACCAAATAGGCATGGTACTCACTTCGCAGACATCACGGAACCAGACGTTGGTTAGCGTGCAGGATCCTTTGCAGTGGATGCCTTCGAGTTGGTTCTTTCCAATGATCACGTTGCTCAGGGATGCTCCATTTTCCAAGATGAACACGGCACTCTCGTCGCCTATTCAATTAGCTCCGTCTATTTTGACACATTTCTTATGTAGACATACCGGTATCATCATCGCTGTTGCAGGCTCGACCACGATCGTACTCCCGATTGCCCAGATCAATACTGCCTTTGATCACACTGGGAGAAGGCAAAGAGACAATACTACCCACACGAGAGGGAATGTTGAGTGTCTGAGCACTGGCAATGCCAATGAGACAGAGGATGATAGCGCTGGAATGCATTTTGCTCAGTTGATGGTTGATCAAATCGAGGGCCAACGAGGGGCCTTTTATACCTCTGGAGACCAAAACAATACAGGACTTACTGTCTCAGTCCCATATATTGCCGCAGGACTCCTCAATATCCGTGAAGAAATTTGACGACCTCTGACTGGATGGGTTCGATGCATTACCCCACGACTCCCACTAGTTCTGCAGGGTCCAGGTCCCAATAGGTCCCAATTTGGCCTGGATGCATTCTATCTGTACCTTTTCGTGGGAAAATAAGACAATTCCTAACATCTGATTTTCCGTCTTGGCTCACACTCGTTTCATTGCGTTGTCTAGCCAATACCAAGGCACATTTATAGTGAAAATGCCAAAAGCCAAGATTCCTAAACATTGGCATTGTGGCTGTGCCTGCAAACTTGAAACTATCTGCGCAATTACAAGATCCACCAACCAAAAAAAATTTCATGATAATCTGCGTCGCTGGCATCTAAGGCCCCTTGGAATTATCATCATTTTCTTTTCGAATCGACCACGGATGTCCCAATTCCTCAATCCAAATTTCGGACTATTTTGTCGTATTCTGCAGTCCTCGCCTGGGCCTCGCCCGTTTAGCAAGCTTTCATAGATATCACAGGAGTTTGTTAATCTGGAGTGGTAAGGCTGCGGGAGGGAAATGACTGCCTTCATGGCTAGGGGGAGAGAGAGAAGCTATGGAGAAGCTATGGAGACAGATATGACGGCCATCCATAGATAGTCCTGTCTATATAGCTAGAGCCAGACTTATTCCCTTATTGAGGGATCCGGTCTTAAAACCAACTGGAGTTCATACCTTCAACTCACCGTACCGGCCCCTATTTTGTGAGGACGCCAAAAATGGCCCTAAGTGCTAGCACCCATTGGTCGGGAGACGATGGGGACGTTAGCTTGCTTGGATGGCTATAAAACCGCCACATGTCCCTTCTCGTTTCACTTGCTTGTCGGACCTTAGTAGGATTTGATTTTGACGGTCCCTGCCATTTCAGCTTTGTCTATCTTTGCTTGGCCTCTGCGTCTTGATTCCTTCCTGTCAACTCTGCCTTCGGTCGTTCTTTTCTCATCAACAACTTACAGTATGGGCCAACCCAATCCATAAGATGAGTCGCAATCAGAGGCAGACCCAAGCTGGACTGATCTGGAAGTACCAGATTCTCCAATTCTTGCCTTGGGCTCCAACGTCCTCCGCCCCCCAAAAAAGTCCTGGCTTCCTGGCAGATGACAGCGAATCTGAATGATGACACTGACGAGGAGCTTTACTAACGCAAGACATAGGTACTGCCGAGACAAGGCTACTGGAATCGATGCACTACCCAAATGGAATAAACCACAAAGAAGAGGCCCTTATTCGCGTGATGCCCAATGAAGTGCCTAGAATAGAAGTTTGGCTAGGACTGTCAGCGCCTGAGAGGTATCAAAAGCCTAGCGCTCTTGAGGCCGGTTGGAAGGCTTTTCCGGGCTATTAACCGAAAATAGCCCGAAGTGGCATTAGCCAGGAGTATAGTGAAGATATCCCCTCGCACACCATACCGCGAGAGTATTGAGCTAATTATAGACTAACGAATTCGAAGTCTTGTAAATAAATATGGGCACAATTTTTATGGTTTGCTGAGTACTGTTTTTCCACTACAATACATAAGCAATTTTCGGCGGAGGTCTAAACTGTCGCAGCATAGTCTGCCTGTCCGCCAAGTATACGCATGAATGCCATCTATCGATTTGCACGAATAACAATATTCTGTTGCTCACTAAGTGTCCGATCTCCTATCGCGATGCATAGGTGGAGCGTCCCGAAATATGAAAAGTCCTGTCGTACTAGGCAGGTTGGATGATATTTCAATGCGCGATTACCGCAATTAGAATGAAGGACATAGCTAGAGGATAAGCAAAGTAGAGGCCCAAAATTCAATGTATATCAAGCAATCGGGACATGGGAATCACCTCGTAGCGAACCTCTGGTCTTGAGGATGTTTTCATATATTTTTCTAAATAGTATAGATTTTTATGGAGGTATCGTATCCGTCGCCTGGACTCTTGGAATTGTCATGGCAGTCATCGAGGAAGGGGAATTGTTTTCAAGGCAGCCGACAGCAACTCCGTCAATGTCACCTATAAACAGTACGATGATATAAGGCTGGGTGATATGCCGGAGACTATCACCAAAAACATGGCAGAGGCGCCCAGGTAAAGCATGCTCAACGCATGAAACGGGGTATCTAGTGATTGACTCAAGCATTGTCCCAAGCGAACCGCCTTTGTCCCCCTACCTCGGGCACCATTTTCATGAATGATCCCATATTTTACAATATAAAAGATCTTTTAGTAAAATTTTCTTACGATGCGGGTAAGTTTCCTGCCTCATGCTCCTTCTAATGGTGGTATCTAATGCTAGAGCTAGGGCCGACCCACCAGCACCACCGCACAAGGGCAGACACAAACTCCGCTCAGAGATATTCAATACTTCAGTCTCTTGACACCGCGATGCATGAGGTGCGGGGTGGTACACTGGAGTCTTCTAATGTTCAACGTAATAAATTGACTTCTTCCAGTGAGCTGTAGTGACCAGCGTAGCACGGCCAACCAAGAATATGGCATTGAGGGTCAAGTTTACATAAACTCCCAGAGGACTAAATAGGTATACACACGGGTATACAGTTTTTCTTTCTCCCTGTCAATATGACAGGTCTACAGACTTGTAATAAACCTAAAGCTCTCGGGCTTGTAGTTTAATGTGTGGTCATGGAGTAAGAGGTTATGTGCAATATAATTGCCTGCCATGATACCTCTGGTGATCAGTTGCAGTGTTAAGACAGATGGGCCTCGGGCACACATACCATGGGCTTCTAACTCCTAAAACATATACGATGGCCGGTGTTCACCACTTAGGCTTTTCTACTTGGCAGCAGAACCATTTCAGGGGCCATAGCATTCTCATCCACAGCGTCGATATGTATGTATGTCCATGTCTTTATGACCTAGCTCCGAAACACATACCTGTAGAGAGATATCAGGAACTCACCGTCTGAGCCTGGTCTGGTATCTACGTAGTCAGCATAACTCTGAGTCCAATGGAGAAATGCGGCAACAGCTAAGACTGGTAAGTCCTATGAAAACAAACTACGTAGAGACACCTAGGTACTACAGTAGATATACATAAAAGCAATTAACCACCCAGATACGCCATAAGGAACACACAGACACATAACTATCTATCAAATGTTCCATAACTAGTCTCCCCTCCACCAATAATATTTGCCCCACAGCGCGCGGTCCCGGACCGCGCTGCCCCAGACCGCGCCAAAAATACGCGCACCAGTTCCCGAAAGAAGTTCATGCAGTTAAGGCAATTTACCTAACAGCTAAAAGCTACCCCTCGACCCCGCAGCGCGTGTACATATGCTGTAGCTCACCGCGCCGCCGGCTATCGTGCGGGGCAGACAGAGCGCGATAGAGCTTCACGGGGAAGAACCCGAGACCGCGGGTTTATGTGAAGAATCACACCCGTGATATTATCGGGTTCCAGAGTGAGGGTCTTGTGATAACGTGTGGTTATCTGGTTCGATTGAAATGTGGGGTGTGTAAGCTGGTGAGCTATAAATTTAAGAAATGGAGGGTCCTTAGTCTTTAGTTTTATTATCTTCGTCAATTTAATTTATCCTCTTCTTTACTCCTTCAAATTTAATTCCACACTATCATCATCACTATCAAAATGGTTGGCAGACTCGAAGGCAAGAACGCCATTGTCACCGGCGCAGCTGGGTACGTATAACTTCCCTTACCTTCAATAGCCACCTATAGCCAAAGCTACGCTAACAAGCCCCCCAAACAGCGGCATCGGCCTCGAAACAACAATCCTCATGCTCCGTGAAGGTGCCTCAGTCCTAATGACCGATATAAACGAGTCAACCCTGGCAACCGCCCTAACAAAAGTAAACACCATCGTGCCCGCCTCCAGCCGCACCGGCAGAGTCGAAACAAAAGCAGTGGACGTATCCTCAGAATCTCAGATCGAAGCCGCAATTGCACACCTGGACTCCTGGGGCGGCCTGGACGTGATCTTCAACAATGCGGGCATCATGCACCCCAAGGACGGCGATGCCGAGGAGTGTCCGGAGGATATCTGGGACCGCACGATGAACATCAACGTCAAGGGCGTGTGGTTCGGGTCGAAGCATGCTGTGCGCAGTTTCCGGAAGCATGGCAAGAAGCGCGCTTCTGTTATTAATACTGCTAGTATGGTTGCGCTTGTTGGGGCTGCTACGCCGCAGTTGGCGTATACCGCTAGTAAGGGGGCTGTCCTTGCTATGACGCGTGAGTTGGCTATTGTTCATGCTCGGGAGGGTTTCAGGTTTAATTCGCTTTGTCCGGCGCCTCTTAAGTATGTTGTTTTACTTTCCCCCCCTTTCCTGGTGGTATATTGGTGATGATGGGACTGACGGGTTTCATAGCACGCCGCTTTTGCAGGATTGGCTTGGTGATGATAAGGAGAAGCGGTTCCGTCGTGAGGTTCACTTCCCCAGTGGACGGTTCGGAGAGGCTATTGAGCAGGCGCATGCGGTTGTGTTCCTCGCTAGTGATGAGAGCAGCTTTGTCAACGCGACTGACTTTGTTGTTGATGGCGGTTTGACCAAGGCTTATGTTACGCCTGAGGGACCTGCGACGGAGGCACCGAAGAACTTGGCTCAGTCATAGATTATAGATGGTAGATTTGGAATGCGCTTTGCTAGTTTGTACATAATATAAGGAACAGAATGACGATCAACATCATGCGAATGAAATCCAAATCTGGTTTTGCTGCATTGCCCGACAAATATTCCATGGCCCGGCTTCGGACATGGGCAGCAGCCACATAGCCTCGAGAAGAAGTAACGTGCGATGCATATTTCCAAGCCCGAAGCATTCGGTCATGGCGGTTAACCGCGCTCTAAGTTGGGCTTGCTGGTCCGGAGCGACGAGACACGAACCTACTACAGCGATGGGCCAACAAAGGCCCGAGTTGATGCGCTCGTTGGGTGATAGCTCACTCAGGTATGACATGGCCTCTGTGACTGCATTTTCAAGCAACCCTCTGTAGATTCCATCAGGCGTATGTCGGAATCCCTCAAGGGAGGTGTATAAATAGATGAGAATAGCCTGTTGGAAAATCAAGCCAGCGACATGGACCTCCGGCCCGACAGAAGGATAAGGCGACCAGCGCAAAACCTGAGCTTGGATAGAGGCGAACATCGCGAAATCATCAGCTGTAGGAACGGGAGTTTGTGCATCATCCATGATCCACTGTCGGCCGAGATCGAAAATGCATGGGATCAGCAGCAAAAGTTCCAGCCAGCAGCCGCATAGATTGCCCACGTATTGGGTGCGCAGTAGTTCTCGCGACCGTTCTTCCAGATCGAGGTTCAGGAAGAGTTGGCCACTAAACCGTGCATCGATTGAGATCATGCTCACGGTCGCAGTGTAGGTGTAATATTCGATGACGAAATCTTTCAAATCTCGCGGAACGGCAGAGTCACTCTGTGCAAGTAGTTTGACCAGTAATGAATTTGCCGCGGATAGATGGTCAAATATCGTCCCGTTCATGTCTCCTTTTGCTGTCTGTTCCTTATCAGCTCAGTCGAACACTTCGTAGGATGACAATTCCTACCTCAGTAAAACACATCAGAAGCGCTCCCACTAGAAGCATTAATGGATTAGATTCTTTTCCATCAATGAAATCCGTAACTCCCCGACGGAAATGTTGTAAAGCCTTGGTATAGTGACTGTGGGCAATAGTGTCGGACTCATCTCGCGATCGAAACGCGCGGTGAGCGGCACTTTGCGTAATAACCAACTGCAACAGCAAATCACTAGAAAATGCCAGCGGAACAATCTGTACAAGAAATGGATTTACAGGCGTTGAACCATTCGCCATACAGTCGGCCGTCGTAGCCAAATAATGACTAAGAAGCTGATAGGACTCGGCATCGTAACCAGGCAACAACGACAAGCTGCGCGGTAACACATTTCGCATTGAGAAAGCCGCCACAAGCGAGTCCCCAGTGGGAGTCCCTGAGATCGGGCGTTGGGGACTGGTCTCAACAGGCAGCGCGGGCTCTTCCAGCTGGTCAGCGTCAGCGCTGGCAGACTGCGCACTCGACGAGACAGATCCCGCTCGCGACAAAGGACTTCCAGGTAAGACTTGGTCAGGCGATTCAATGCTTTGCAAAGGACTCGGGCGGCGGTTTGTTGCATTTTGAGTGCTGGTGTTATTAGGCGCGGAACCTCGCCTGCCAGGCACATTGGCTGGCCACTGGCAGTCTAAGTGATTCCGTCGGCACCCGCCACAAATTGGGCGTGTTTCATCGCATTTCTTCTTGCGTCGTCGACAGGTCCAACACCCTGTGCGCACTCGGACTATTCGCTGTACACGTTCCGGCATGGGAGATGTGAGAGGGAAATGGGAGGCGATAACAAGATGTGGGGTAACGCCCGGAGGCAACTCAGGTTTCGATTTTGGGGGTATATGCGACAACTTCAACTACGCTCTAATTTACAGCATTTCCAACACTAGGCTATTACACTTTGTCACGAATTCCTTCGCCTCACTTTCATCGTGCCAGGCATCGTTATACGCAGCACTCAATGACATACGACCGCGGAATGTGCCCAAGTATAGACCCAATCCGGTTCCGAGTTCGTCGCCAGTCACCCATGGGTCATCTAGTTCGAAGCGACCATGCGTTGGAGAGAGAATAGTTTCAATCACGCCCAGACTGGCGATTGAAGCGGATGGTGCATGGTTTGGCGGAGGAACTGGAGGATCTTCCGTTCCCGGGGGATACGGGGGAGTAGAAAGAGACCAATACGAGGGAACTAGACGGATGTGTTCCTTGTCATCTCGCATAGTAATGTAGTAGTCTTTTACATGCTTGACTGTTTCTGCGAACTCTGACTTCTTTTCTTCGATTGTTGGATCGGAGTCTCCGAGAGCTGGCACCATCAAGTCAATTGCAAGACTCTGGCCAGAGACAGAGTGGTACACAGAGGCAGCATGCTCCGGTGTATTATATGGTTGCCTGCATTGACCGCGCTCGTTGATTGGAGAGTAGCTGATGTATCTCACTCTTCGCTCCTTGGGCTGTCGCGTCTGCAAGTCACGAACAATAATTGCGATTGCTGCATGGTATACATGCGTGATGCTAGCATCAAGTTTCTTGCTCGCCGCCAACAAGCGTTGAGTCTGCTCTTTGCTAAGAGTCAGCGAGACTCGCTTGTGGCACCCTGGGACGGTCGGACCCGATTGATGAGGAATTTGAGCAATCTCAGCTTCCTCAAGAAGAGAAGCATTTCTATCCAAGATACCTTTGAGCGTAGCATCTTGCTCGGGAATGTCGAGATCTGGGATCGAAGCGGCAGTCTTCAACGGCGGACTGAGATTCTTCCATTCATCCCGGAAATCAGGAATGCGGAACATCTTTGGGCGATCCAAAGCCTCAGATGCATATTTGAAAAGATTGTTCAGGAGATGGAGCGACCCAATACCGTCAATAATATCATGATGCGAGCGGAGAACGAGGTCAGCTTGGAAGTGGTCGTCGGCTGGCGCACGTTTGACAAGGAACAAGGTCGGCAGCTTGGGCACCGGGGCGTTCGAATTGCACCATTCCTGGCCGAACTGGCAATTGGAAATAACCTGGAATGTGTTTTTCAGCCAGGTGGATTCCCCCTCATCACAAAAAGTTTCATAGACTTTATGGCATTTCTTCGCGTCGTGATTGTACTCGACCCAGGATGCGATGGTGGGATGATCGTATCGCAGTCGCAACCATGCTATCCGCAGTGCATTGAGAACGCGACCTTCGCTTGTTTTGGAGATGGAATCGGTCGCAATGGAGAAAGAAACATGAGCGGTCAAGGCGAAAAAGACACGGCCGCTTCCTTGGAACCGTTTTGCCAGCGTGGTATAGAACTGTTCGACCTCGTCAACATCGCGCTCCCACCTTCCAGGCTTCGTTTGCCTCCAGGTAAAGGGTTCATATGGTGGCTCCATGGTATACAGTGTCTGAGGGAATAGTGAGTCTTGGAAATTGCACCTGAGAGTGTTGACGCCCCTTAAATCATTTATGACGCAAACACAAGGCTTAGACGGCATCCTAACACTCCCGAGTCCCACCTACCAAGTTTCCCTGCCCGCCGATGCTTGGCTTCGTTTGTATCCATTGTTGGGACACCATTGAGAGGCTTGACCGCAAAGTTTGGGCACATGTGCTTGCCATTTGTGTAACTTTGTCAAAGTTAAGAAGCTACAATAATCTCAATCTCAGTCACAATGCTTGGGTGGTTGCCCGAGATTAGGGATATCCAGTGTCATGCCAACCCACTTAAAATAAATGTTCTCCGGGTCTCTAAAGCTCATTAAATGCACCCCGCAATATTGATCGGGTTCAAGGTACAAGCCCCGCTGAACATTCCCGCTGCCCGCAATTGACGGGGAAAAAGCAATACAACGCTGGGCAATATGCTTCACGTCAGTCTAATTTCATCCATGGATATTCTCTAGGGTTTGTTGTGCAGTCTATTTCCAGGTTCCCCGCATTTCATGAGATCATAGGGTACGGTGTTCGGAACTTGCCGAAATGGTATGTTCGCCTACATAGGACGCTCTTATTATGAAATATTTCTTACCTCTTAACCTTCATTTGACTGCTTAGATTTGGATAAAAATAGAGCATCAGGTCCATCACCGCGTAAGTCAACATCAACAAAATATTCCAACGCCTGCAATGCTTCAGCCTATCACACCTGCGCTGGCTAGGGTCCCCTACAATGAGTTCAAGGATGTGCTCCAGCTTCGGGATCTCCATATCAGGCAACTTGTTGTCCCATCATGAATGAAGTTCTCACCACCCGTGATCATATAACTATAGCTGAATGAAGGTACAAACTACAGCCCTTTTGTCCTTCCCATCCAGGTCGTGCGTTACCTTGATCACAGCGGTACATGTTCCATTATGCATTTCTTTAAAGCGAATTCTGATCACCCAGAAAATACATGATTCTCCATATATGAATTGAACTATACCGGACTTTTTCGATAAGGTATATTGACTCAAATGTCGAATTCGCTTTTAATCACTTTATCACGTTAGCAGCTCATGACATGCATAACTTCTGTGAACAAACCGGCGGTCCACAGAGAAACATCAGCATCGGACCTCCGAAATCAGCGGAGGACCCGACGGGAAATTGAGGCAGACACCGGCGATACCAGCGGACATAAAATCCCCGCCCACAAGCTTATAAAGCAACCGGCCAATCATAGATATCCCGGAGCCGGGATTATGTCTGGACTAAGCACCAAAGGAGGCCACAACCATGCCGATCCCTCACACGTGACCTGTGTGCCGAAAACCCGATAATTGACACCTGAGGCCACACGTCCGTCTGCAGCCACTTTCGTCCCACGACGGTTCAAGCCGCCCAATGCGAGGAAATTTTGTGACATGAGAGGGGCAAACGGGTATCAGGTCGTGTCAAGCTTTGACTGTGGGCCAATAGCAGCATGCGATATTGCAAATTGGAGGTCTCCGCTCTGTTAAGTCCTTTATTATCGCCGGTATCCAGGTTTCCTCAGAGGATTTATGCCTGGGCCAAAGTGTTTTCCGATTTCCGATATAAATAGACGTCCCGTGATGTTTGGTCCCTTTTTTTGACTTCTGCTAGCTCAGTGTCGTGTGCCTTTCAATGAATATTCTAGTCTGCTCACTTCTATTGCTTTGAATAAGTTACATGAGGTTGCAACATGTCTCAAGATAATAAAGAATCTGGTCCGGCCAGGTCCCGGTCGACGTCGATATCAAGTTCGGATTCGGATTCCCGTGTATCAAGGACGAGATCTCCCTCGCGCAGTTTGGCCGGCTCTCTCAGGACGAGACTGAGGTCTTTGTCAAACCCTGGGTTGGCACAGGTCGACCGGGTCTATTCCGGGAGACATATGAACGATCAATCTGTCTACCACAGTGATGGATCTAACGACGATGAATCAACACTCGAAGCTGAAGAGAGGTCCGATACGATTCAGGAAGTGAGGAACGGCGTTGTGAACGAACGTGATCTTGATTTGGAAAAGGGCGATGCTCAACAACCTGAGCTTGAGAAATCCAGGACGGAAAAGTCGAATCGGTCGCGCCATGATCCGAAATTGGTATGTTGGCAGTGTTGCTTTGCCAGGCCCGATATCTTCTATTAGAAGCTAACAATCGCAGGTAACCTGGGAGGGTCCTGAAGACCCAGACAATCCTAAGAACTGGAGTCCTAAGAAGAAGTGGGCAGCTACTATTACAGTATCACTATTCACGTTTATCTCCCCGGTTTCTTCTTCGATGGTTGCGCCAGCTCTCACATCGCTCGCTGCCGACTTCAACGTTACGGACCAGGTTGTCTCCCAACTCATGCTGTCAATCTTCGTCCTAGCCTACGCTGTAGGCCCGCTATTCCTTGGTCCTCTCTCGGAAATTTACGGTCGAACAATCGTTCTCCAACTTGCCAATCTTTTCTTCCTAGTCTTTAACATCGGATGTGCGGTTTCAAAGAACAAGGTTCAAATGATCGTTTGTCGTTTCTTCGCTGGACTAGGAGGAAGTGCCCCACTCGCCGTAAGTCTTATCCCTTCTACCATCCCATATACCCTCCTAATACCCTTCAGATTGGCGGCGGCGTCCTCTCAGACTGCTTCCGCGCTGAAGAACGCGGAAAAGGCATCGCAATCTACAGCCTAGCACCCCTCCTAGGCCCAGCCCTAGGCCCAATCGCGGGAGGCTTCATCGCCGAAAACACAACATGGCGCTGGGTCTTCTACTCAACATCAATAGTAGACGGCCTAATCCAAGTAATGGGCCTCTTCTTCCTGCGCGAAAGCTACGGCCCCAAAATCCTACTCGACCGAGCAGTCCGCATCCGCAAAGAAACAGGCGACGACTCCTACCAAACAGAAGCAGAGCGCCAAAAGAAGACTCTCCCACAAGTTCTCCGCGGCTCACTAGTCAGACCATTCAAACTCCTCCTCACCCAACCAATCGTCCAAGTCCTCGCCCTATTTATGGCCTACATCTACGGTATCATGTACCTCGTCCTTTCGACATTCCCTTCCCTCTGGACAAGTCCAGAATATTACAACGAGTCCATCGGCATAGGCGGCTTGAACTACATCTCACTAGGTCTAGGCTTCTGGCTCGGTTCCCAGATCTGCGCACCCCTTAATGACAGAATCTACCGCCGTCTCAAAGCTCGCAACAATGGCATCGGAAAGCCAGAGTTCCGCGTTCCGCTCCTATTCGTCGGTGCCTTTTTCATCCCTTCTGGTTTGTTCATATATGGCTGGACAGCGCAGAAACATTGCCATTGGATCGCGCCTAATATCGGCGCTGTGCTCTTTGGTACTGGTACTATCGTTGCTTTCCAGTGTATCCAGACCTATATGGTTGATACATATACGCGTTTTGCGGCTAGTGCCCTTGCAGCAGGTGCGTTTTTGCGGTCGTTGGCTGGATTTGGCTTTCCGCTTTTCGCGCCGTATATGTATAATGCATTGCATTATGGTTGGGGAAATAGTTTGCTTGCTTTTTTGGCTATTGCCATTGGAGCTCCTGCGCCTGTATTTTTGTGGAAGTTTGGCGAGATTTTGCGGAAGAAGAGTACTTATGCTGCTGGATAAGCTCGATACGTCGACATTAAGTGTGATTTGAGGTCCTTTCTGCATTTATGGATAAGCATTTGTGTGAGCGTTTTGTTAAAAGTTACCAGTGAGATACATCTAATTTATATTTACTATCAGCTCGGTAGTCCAAGTGACATGAATCATCGCATTGTGCCCAAATATGTCATAATGACAAGAACAAATCTCTTTTTCTTCGAGATACAGTCTCAGGTAGGCATATAAGTTCCAACTCATGTAATCAATTGATATATCCGGTGGAGGCCTGCTAAGGCAGACGCGTAAGTCCAGTGTATGGACTTTAAACACTGTGGAATCCTAAGTTCTAGGAAAAGAGTCCCATCAAATAGTCTATCAACATGGTATTCATTCAATATTTTAGAAACATGGACTAAAAGGTGCAGATGTACAGATGAAGCAGTAATAGCGGCCCAACGTAGGTCTTAACAGTCAATTATTTACGCGGTGATACCGGACTCCGTCTTGCCTTGCTTCTATTCAATCGTTAGCAGAAATTCAATGCAAAGAGAAAAGGGAATTATCATACCAGAGTACGGTGGTATTTGATACCAAGGTTCAGACCTGTGGCCGAGTCATATGGCACAGGGCTGGTGTAGTTGAAAGTAGGCTCAAGACCGTGGTAAGTCTTCTTAACGACGTCGGCAATGCCGTGGCCAGCAGAGCACTTGCCCTTGACAGTAGGGATAGCCCACTTGGGGGAGTAGTCGTTGACAGACAGAGGGCCAGGGTAGGTCTCGTTGAGGTAGGCATTGGTGGTGTCAACCTCCCAATTGACGTATCCGGTCTTCTCGGCAACCAGCTTGAGCAGGTTGGCACCGCAATCCCAGCGACCGAGCGAAGGGAGACCCCAGTTAGCAGACAGGGAGGCGATGATGGAGTAGTGGGTGTAGAAGGTGTCATCGGTAGTGCCCCGAAGGTGCTCGGGGACGGCACCACCAAGGAGGACACTGTAGACGCGGTTAGGGACGGAGTAGTTGCCCACCTCGTCGAAGGTGAGGAGGACCAGGTTGTCCTTGGTGAAGTAATCGTTCTTGAGCAGGGGAGAAAGGAAACGATTGGCCCATTCACCGGCAAAGGTGACGTTGGTGTCGTGGGCATCGTTGGTCATGTTCGGGGTAATGAACATGTGCTGGGGAAGACGGTGGTGCTCAAGGTCTTCGTAGAAGGTGGTGAAGTTCTTGATCTGGCGGGGACGCACGGCGTCGTTGGTGACGGAGTCGAACAGGACCAGTGGGTTGTGCTTCCGCACGTACTGGTTAGGACCGCTGAGTGGGTACCGGAAGCCCTGGTAGCCGGCATAGGGTAAGTCTTCCTGGTATTCACCCCAGGCAATGTGCTTGGTGTCGAACAGATCGGCAATGGTTGAGACATTGGCGGGGATCTGGTTAAAGTTGTCATTGTCCATGCCAAAGTTGTCACCACCGGCGGCGGCGCAATAGTTTGGCTCCGAGGGGTGGGTGACGGCAAAGTAGTTGGTCAATAGGATACCCTCCTTGGCAATGTTGGCCAGGTTCTCATCCAGAGCGGCAGTATCATAGTCCTAGAAAATGTAAGCACATGAACACATTCCATGAATGGAATGCTGGGCAGGGCATACGGTATTCTCAAGCCAGATGTCCACGAAACGGTCAAAGGCCAAACCCTTCACGTTGGATACAGGCGAGTAAGGCAAGGCTGTCGCACGAGCGGCATCAATCTCCGCCTGAGTTGGGTTCTGCTCAGTGATAGTCTTGGCCGCGCCGAGGGCCAGAGCCCCGATGAAAGCGAGAAGAGTCTGCTTGGTGAACATGACGACCAGAGATCGTTGGCGAGTTGTACAGACGATGCGATGAGACAGGAAATACAAGAGCAGATCGGGCGGCACACGCGATCTTATAGCTGCGACAATGTAGCATTCTCGGCCGGAAATGTTGGAAGCGAGATTTGACGGGCAATTCCGCCCTGGAATGTGAGGCACATGGACAGTTCAGTGACCACGTTTCGATCGGCGCAGGGCTCACTGGCTGCAGTTCCCCTCGTTCTCTAGCCTGAAAGAGTCAAGGCCACTCGAGTTGACGGAGTGGGTTACTTGCGCACATATTGCAGTCACCTGGTTGGTCAGGTGAACCCCGGTACCTGGGCCGCCGAGGCACGTTGTTGGCGCCTGGGCGTTGACTGGCTGCTTGGTATTCTCCACTGTCAGTCATATAACGCGTCGCCATTACCGATGTCACTCTATAAGGACGAAAGAAGCTTTTAGGACTCTAACGGAGGCAACTTTCGATCTCGGCTTTTGGGGTTTGTAAGCTGCACGGACTATCTGTATTACCTTGGCAAAGAAGGTATCAACTGATGCCTTATTTCTCAGATGGATATGAGTGAGCAAACTTATACAGGATCGTCAATTAATCGCGTGGTTAACTTAAAACTGTGATGTAATAAGACATCGTACAGTCTTTGGTCGGTATCTAGGTGTCTGTTCGATTCCGCACCTTCCGAGGATTAACGCTTTTGCCGTGCTGCATCTGATTCTCAAGCTTTTCAGCAGAGGTTCCTTGTCTGTGAGATGTAGAAGTCGGTTTCAGCTGTTTTAGAGGCTTTAATTCAAATAGCTCGGCTATTAGTCGATTTTTTCTTGTTGCAGTTCAAAAAACCATAGTAGTCCTCAGATATACCTTGACTCAATGTTATAATATCTTCCATTTGGATAGCGCGGTACGCATCGAAGTAATATCTCCAGTAATAGATGCTCTATGCACAACATTCTGGTTGTTCAATTGTTCAATGGCTTAATTTATCGCTTTGGCAGGCTTACATTACCAAAGTGTGGCTTCGGGCTGGGAGCAAACATTTGAATACGGTCACCCTTACCGTCTGCACTACAACTCAAGGCAGGGAATGAGAACAGAAGAATCTATTAGCGAAATAAATTATAAATGATATTAACGCAGAATATCCGTCCCTTGTTCGTTATTCTTGACTCAATGACTATTACATAGCTATCTTGACAGGTAAAAGAAACAATAGAAAGAGAAAGGAAAATCAATAATCACCATCTATCAGGAGAACGCGGCAGGTGGCTCGTTCTCTACCAATACTGGGTCAGAAGTGAGCCAAGAAAAAGGTGCCCCGGTGTCATATGAATGAAAACGAGGAAGAAATTGTAAAAGGATGAGCGGCAGAAGAGAGACACCAGGGGCGAACGTGCACGCCGAGGGTAATATTTTGTACAAAAGAATCACAAACGCCGGTCAAGCATTTACTCGGGCTTCTTGCCAACCATGAGGTACATGGGGGTGAAGAGGTTCTTCTGGGCACCCTCAACCAGACAGTCACCGGCCAGGGCCAGGCTGTCGGCGGTCTTCTGGGAGCCCCGGGGGAACAGACCGATCTTCTCACCGGCACCCACGAAGCGGTGGGCAAGACCACGACCCCACCAGGTCATGCGGGCAATGGTGAAGAAGTCCCAGATCGAACCCATGTGCTTAAAGGAGCCCGCCAGCGGGTAGTACCAGGGAATGGGGTCGGGACGAGCAGCTAGATCCTCGTGGTGGGTGATGTTGAAGCCGGCGTTCTTCATAGCTTCGAGACCCTCGGAGATCTTAACCATATTGGAGATACCGTCACCCTGCTCGATACCGAGACGGATCCGGCGGTGCTCGGCGTCATCGTTGTTGTACTCATCAGTCATGAGCCACTCGTAGACGGCGAAAGTACCACCGGGCTTTAGGACACGGAAGATCTCGCTGTAGACACCGACGAGCTCGGGGGCGTGGACGGTAGCCTCAATAGCGTAGACAGCGTCGAAGCTGTTGTCGGGGAACTTCATCTGCATGAAATCACCCTTGACAAAGGCCATCTTGTCGGAGAGACCCTGCTTCTCGGCGTAGTGGATGGCGCGGTCGATCTGGTAGTCGTTGTTGTTCAGACCGGTAACGTGGGCACCGGTGAACTTGACCATCTCGCGAGCGGGACCACCGACACCACAGCCAACATCCAGAACCTTCATGTTCTCTGTGATACCAGCCTGGAGGGCGAGGTAGTGCTCGTGGCGGGCAATGGCCTGGAGGAAAGGCTCACCGTATGCGAAACGGCAGAAGTGGAAGGAAGAACCCCAGCCATACTCATAGAAGTCGGTGGCCAGGTTGTAGTAGCTGGAACAAGTTTATCAGTATCGAGTGTCGATCAACGGACAAGGGTTTAAAAACTTACTGTCGGGTCAAGGTAGCGTATTCAGCTTTGCGAGCCTATCGCACATGGGATGTTAGCCACATAGTCAATGCCTTGCGATTCGGAATTCATACCTCACGAATCTCGGGGGTCTCATCGGCGGCAGCCTTGTTGTCCCAGTGCTTGAAGTACTCGTCGACAGCAGCCTTTTGCGCAGCGGCGTCCTTACCGCGCAGGGCAGCGAGACCACCCTGGGCCTTGGCAGACTTGCCATGGAGGACCTTGTTGAAGGCAGCGTCACGCGCGACGTCCTCACGTTCGAGAGCAGAAGGGGCCATTGTGAAGAATTGCGAAGATTAAAAGGGGTAGAAATAGAACAAAAAGGGTCAATTTCCAAGGGAAAGACGACGGCACACCAATTAAACGGGAGGTACCAAGAAGAGAAGGGAAAGAGCAGGTAGTGAAGTAGAGCGACTGGAGAAGGTAAAGGGGGGGGAAATAAATACAGTCGAATCCGAAGCAACTTTTTGACAATCACCCACGGACCCCCTGAGACCTGGGGTGGCCACACTCTTTTGTCGGCGGGAGTTGGCAGTTCCGGGCTGTGGCGGTGCCGGACTGGCCAGTTTCCGGGCACGTGACTTACACCAGCCACACGCCACTTCAATCTTGATAATCCATCCTCTCTCAGACCACTTCTCGGACACCAACTCTATCGCTTCCGTCATGCCTCCCCAAATTAAGCATGACCTGAATCGCTCGGGATGGGAGTCTACCGACTTCCCGTCCGTCTGCGAGAACTGCCTTCCCGAGAATCCATACGTGCAGATGATTAAGGAAGACCATGGCGCAGAATGCAAGATTGTAAGTTTTTTGGTGCTCACCCTCCAAGCTACGCTTGAGCTCATACTGACTGCTTCCGGATAGTGCACACGCCCATTCACCGTTTTCCGCTGGAAGGCCGATCGGACATCGCGCCAAAAGCGATCTATTATCTGCCTGACATGCGCGCGCCTGAAGAACTGCTGCCAATGCTGCATGCTCGATCTTTCGTTCGGTCTGCCCATTGTCGTCCGTGATGCGGCCCTCAAGATGGTTGCCCCGGGTCCGGAAAGCTCCATCAACCGTGAATTCTACGCGCAAAACCACGAGAAGGAAATTGAAGAAGGCCGCGGTGCCATCGAAGAATATGAAAAGACCGACGACAAAGCTCGCGAGCTGTTGCGCCGCCTCGCCAACAGTGAACCATACTATCGCAAGCCACGCCGGATCGAGGGACCTGCCGAAGGAGAGGAAGGGGAGCAGTCGACATCGACGGAGCAACCCCGAACAAACAGTCGGTATGGAAATGGTCCCGGTCCTATTCGCACCAGTGAAAGCCGCGTCGGCAACCGCCTTCCAGGCCGTGGAGGCCGTGGTGGTGGTGGTCGCGGTGGTCGTCCATTCCCCAGCACCGCACAGCTGCCGCCCTCGGCTGAGGACATTCTTCCTCCTGCGGACCCCAATGTCCTTTCTCTATTTGTCACAGGCGTGGAGGACGACCTTCCCGAACACACCCTGCGCACGTTCTTTAGCAAATTTGGTCAGCTCCGATCTCTGATTTGCTCTCATCGCTCCCACTGTGCCTTCATTAACTACGTCACTCGTGCGGATGCCGAAGCCGCGGCAGCCCACTGCCAGGGAAAAGCCGTCATCGAAGGCTGCCCACTCCGTGTCCGCTGGGGTAAGCCTAAGTCTCTTGACAACTTGGATCGCGAGGAGAGAATGAAGAACGCCCGCGAGGGCCGCCAGACTGTGGGATCTGTTGGCAAGGGAAAGCAAACCGACAGACGAGCTGTGACAGCAGGAGAGAGCGCGGGCCAGGAACATCAACGGACCCACGTTGTCGCACCACCGCCTGGATCCAGCGAGGTCCAGTACGCCAGTATGAATGGCGACTGAACATAACCGCTGAACGAAAGTCGCAGAATTTTGCCATTGCTCAGATTGAGGTTGCATGTAACTTAGGTTCGGAGCGGGAGTTAACAAGGATTGGGCTTATTTTATGCAGATCTATGTACTTAAATCAAAAATACCCCGGGGACGCCAATGATAATAAAAGAGTCGGGTATCTTATTATACATGTCCGGTCACTGTCCTAGCTTTATCTGTAGATCCATATGCCTTGGCTTCCACATAGGCAATTAGAGAATAGGCTTTACCCAGACGCCTGGTAGACGTCTTTCTGGACGCTTGGTAGACTCGGAGATTTCGCTTGAACCAAGCAAGATGACACTGTATCTGTCATTCATGAGGAACAAGCCTTGTGGATCTTCACATCCTGCCCGCCAACTTTAATGGAGTCGTTATCACCGCGTTCGATCTGTTCGTGGATGTTGAGTTCTGTGGCAATTGCTGGGTTAGCCATCAATTGACCCCCTAAACCGCAGAGACCCTGGCGGTTAGATCTCAAGTCATGTATGTACATACCCCACTTCGCATTCTCATCATCCTTCTCCCTCGAGCCTTGCACGATGTTGTGGCGCAGAATGTTGGCAACCTCGATCGCATGGTTGATTTGCATGCCAGTATCGACGGCCGGACGGCGGTTCTTCTCGAAGGTCTGGCGGGCTTCCTGGCGAGCAGCAAGGAGAACGGGAAGGTCGTCTTCAAATAAGTTGTTAGTAAAAGGGAAAGAGTATGCCGAAATGGCACATCATGTTGGGCAAACGAACTGTGGAAGACAACGCGGGTAGCGCGGAGGAGTTGGCGATAGGCGCTCTTAGCGGAGACGGCGGTTGCGGTGGACATTATGAGTCGCTGGATTTCACCACAAAGAAAATATACAGAGGTAATGTATGCAACAGAAAGAAGAGAAGCGTGGCGCCCAAGTCTTGAATCTCCGGATCGTCCAACCCGTGATTGGTCAGAGAGGCGGCGATTCGGGGCAGAAAAAAAAGGTATGCAAAAAAATCAACGCGGGACATTCAAGGCACTCCACACACAAATTGGGACCATCGCCAATACCGTCAACAATGGCCTCTGTTCAAGTTGTCAACGCTACTCTCCCTACCCTGCCTCAGGGCTGGGCTGGTGAGAAGGACTTTAAGATTGTTGGTGCCCTCTCTGGTGCCACTCAGCGCAACGTGGAGCCTGTTGGCCCGCACTTCCTGGCTCACGCCCGCAGAGTAAGTTCTGCTTCATTATTTTACTGTTGTTTTGTCTGCTCAGAGCTAAAAGCCGTATAGAAGCGCAACAACCGCACTTTCTCCGAGGATGAGCGTATCCAGGCCCAGCACAACGTTAAGAAGACTGAGGTCGAGGAGGATGATGACATCTCCGAGGATGAGGATCCCATGATGCTCGCCCGTGAGGCCAAGGACTGGAAGGTTCGTATCTCAACAATTCTGATCTTATAAATGTATTCTAACTTTCTACAGGGCCAAGATCACTACGCCGTTCTCGGTCTATCCAAGCACCGTTACCGTGCTACCCCCGATCAGATCAAGCGGGCCCACCGCAAGAAGGTTCTGCGTCACCACCCCGACAAGAAGGCTGCCATGGGCAAGAGCGATGAGAACGACAGCTTCTTCAAGTGTATCCAGAAGGCCACCGATCTGCTTCTGGACCCCACCCGCCGTCGCCAGTTCGACTCCGTCGATGAGGCCGCTGAGGTTGAGCCTCCTACCAAGAAGCTGACCGGCAGCAAGTTCTACAAGGCCTGGGGCCCCGTCTTCGAGGCCGAGGGTCGTTTCTCCAACAAGCAGCCCGTGCCCCAGCTCGGTGACGAAAACAGCACCCAGGAGCACGTCGAGACCTTCTACAACTTCTGGTACAACCTCGACAGCTGGAGGACCTTCGAGTACCTCGATGAGGATGTGCCCGATGATGGAGAGAGCCGTGACCAGAAGCGTCATGTTGAGAAGAAGAACGCCAACGCCCGCCGCAAGCGTAAGACTGAGGACACCGTCCGTCTGCGTGAGTTGGTTGACGAGTGTCTCGCTTCCGATGAGCGTATTAAGAAGTTCAAACAGCAGGCTCGTGCCGGCAAGGACGCTAAGCGTCTTGCCAAGGAGGCTGAGATCAAGCGCCTGAAGGAGGAGAAGGAGAAGGCCAAGGCCGACGAGGAGCAGCGCAAGAAGGACGCCGAGGAGGCTGCCAAGGCTGACCGTGAGAAGAACAAGAAAGCCAAGGAGGCCGCCAAGAACGCTTCCAAGAAGAACAAGCGTATCCTCAAGAGCTCCGTCAAGGACGTTAACTACTTCGCCGCCTCCGGTGAGCCCACTGCCGCTCAGGTCGACGGTGTCCTTACCGATGTCGACCTCATCATGGCCAAGATTGACGTTGATGAGCTCGCTGTTCTCGCCGAGAAGCTCACCATCGCTGGCAAGGACGGTGCTGCCGTCAAGTCTGCCTGGGCTGGTGAGGCCAAGCGCCTTGTTGACGCTGGCAAGCTGAAGGACGGCGAGGCCAAGGCCTTTGCTTAAATTCTTTGCCTACTATATAGATGAAGGGTAGCCTTTGGCTTTCCTGGTCATGAATATTCACGCCACATAGAGTAGAAAAATGTTTGGGACTCTCAATTTCAATCCATCTTGATCTATGATCATTTCAAGATTGTACTTTTCTTTCGGTTCATATATTCTAGTACCGATGGATCTTCATACGTAACATCGGCATTTCACGATGAGTTCTGCCATGCTCTTCTTTCCACAACCTGAGATCCAGATGCAGTCCTAAACACAGACGTTGACGATGGCATCGGATGTAGAGACACCGGCTCCCGATCAAGAGCGCGCTTGCTGGATCGCTTCTTGATCCAAGGGAAGAGGTTGAAAATACCCCCACAGATAAATATACCAATCCACAAAACCAATTCCGTGCCATAAATGATTATCCCTAGAACATCAATAGACTGCCCAAATACTAAACACAGAGTCAGCAAGTACCTCTTCAACTTGAAAGCTTGAACTTACAAACAGAGACCAGGGAGAACAAATCCCCAGCAGCATCAATCCCAACAAAGATAAAGCTAATCCCCCGAACAGTCCGGTGAACATAGATATCCCAATAATGCCTTAGAACACCGGCGGCAAGCAGACAAGCACTCAAAACGGCCATAAGAATAAGAGGCCACTCAAGCCCCTGATCCTTTGCAGCGCGCAAAGCAAAAACAAGCCCTACTTCAATACCACCTAGTATCAGAAGCAGGGAAGTAACCGCAGCACTGCATTTCACGATCGAGTATTTCTAACCCAGAGTTAACGTTAGTTAATAAAGTCAGAATAAACCAATAGACAAATTAACACATATAACCTACCTTCCCATAATACAAACACTGAGCCCAGGTAATCAAACTCAAAGTAGTTAATATCTGAGGCTGAACCCGAAGCGCAATATTAAATTCTTCAACAATGTTGTACACGCCCAGTGGAACCCCCGCCGAGGCCCATAATAGCATCATGGATCCTTGGAGGCCTTCGGTATCATGTCTCCTGTAATTGATGATAATCTGAGGGAGAAGCTGGTGAATATACATGTAAGTGTGTGCCACTTATGTTTGTGTCCAAATTGGGGATTACATACCTGGATCGACCAGCAAACCTTACACGGGACGTGTTAGCTGGGGGTTGACAGGGGGTGGGTTGTCGGCATACCGCGCCCAGAGTGCCGAGCACATTTTCGGCTACTGGGTTGTTCATCTCCAGGGACTAAGTGATGTATATGTATAAGGAAATGGAGGATATCCGTATCTGATACGGATGGACGATTCACAACACGTGAATTCGTTGTGGGTCTTGTTTCCTGGAATTCTTATTGGTTCACTCTATATATTGTCCACCCAGAGCATGACAAGTTTTACGCCCTGCGAAACATATGATGTTGGTATAGGCATGCTTATGAGGTGATATACTAATATAGGGAATGTTTCTGCTTGTTAGGGAATTTAAATAAGCCGAACGGGTGTTTGTAGCTTAAATACTAGTAGGACTCACGGCTACCTCTTGCTGTTGACCGATCCGTTTTGCTAGCACACATTGCCCAGATATTTCTATATTGGAACACAAAAGCTCTTCCTTGTAGTCAATACCCACGGAACTTGGTCTTCTCATATTCTCTCCTGTATCAGAAAAGCGAGCGAGGCAGATTTTCTTCATATTCAAACTCTTTGGGGATGACCAGTGCACCCAGGCAAGCAACAAAACGATCAAAATTCACCGGATTGTTGCTAGCCACGAGAGTGTAGAAGTTGCCGCTGTTCAAAGTAATCGAGCAATGCTGGAAGTATCCCTGGAGGATAGCCGCCATATCGTCAAGAGTGACCTGGTTTTGACTCATAGTAACAAGGACGTCCTTTCCTTTCGCGGCGACCTCACTACTACTGAAGTACCGCGCTTTGAATCCGTAATCCTTCTGTAACTCACGTCTCTCATATTCGTCTATGTCTGCATGTCGGAACTTCTCAACGAAAACGAAAATACCGTCCTCCTTCAGAGACTGGACGACAAACCCAACTTGTTCGTCGCGATTTGGCGAGTACATCTGAAACGTCGTATCTTCGACGATGATGTCGAATCCGGAAGCAAACTTGGCAAGGTCATCGCGAGAATTCACCACTTCGTCCGTCAGACGGTGGAAAGGCCCATGGAAGAAGGTGGCGTGGGCGGATCTCCGTTAATCGCAAAATTGAGTGCGCTCATCTCATTAGGGCTGCAGCAGAGGGCTTCCACGCTCCCTTCAGAAAATTCGGCGACAGAGCGTGCCATGCTACTGTCACCGGTACCGACAGAGCGATACAGAAGTGGACGGCTAGGCACTTGCTGGCTGTAGTGAATAACTGCATTTCCCAGCCGGCAGTTTTCCTCAATCCGATAGGGAATACTGGCATAATAGTGGTTTACGAAAAGCGAAGATTGCTTAATGGTATTAAAGACCTCCAGGAACTGAGCGAAACGCTCGCCATTTTGCTCCAGCAATGCTTTGTCGAACAATCTTTTGTCGACTTCTGGGTTCTTGATTGTCCGCCCGGTCTGACCCCGGGCTGTGGATTCGAACCAGTTGAGAAGTTGGTTTATGCGGGGAGCAGAGTTGCACTCGTCGCAGAACGAGGTGAAGTCTCGCTTCGTTGTGGTAGGAAGTACTTGTGAGGCGATGGCTGCCATATCCAAAGAGAGTATCTAGAAACAAAGATGAGGGCGTTTCTGAAAAGGGTCATAAACTGGAAGCTATTGATGGGGACACTGTCCTTTATGAACTTTGGCCTGGTGCGGCGGCGGGGGGTCAGTCTATATCATAAATGAAGTATCCATGTTCTCGACCAGGGCTGTACTCTGTATACTCTTGCAGTTGACAATGTTTTACTCGTGGAAGACAGATCGGCGTTTGGGCCTCTATCCTGCAGGCTCTCTATCCACTTTTACTAAGCTATTGAGAAATGGCATGGGCTTCATGCACGATACCTCACAGGCCTAGATCAATCACGAAGCTGATACACCCCGCATTTTCCCCTGCGCTGCGAGCGAAGCCAATTCATACGTATAGTGAACCATTGCGCAATACCTATGCAGGGGCTTAACGTTAGTCATCAGCAAACATACATGTTTCAGTGACAAATTGCAAGGTGTACTTACGTATTTTACCGAGCTCGCGAGAGGCACAAATGATTCCGAATGGACATATCTCAACAGGCGGCGTAGTTAAGTGGCCGTGAGCCACCTTTGGCATTGGTATGCGAGATCTCATGCAGGAACGTTCTCTATTGCTGACCTAGGAACGCTAACAGCTAGCTGAAGATACCAGAGTTTCTGGGAAGATATTAGGGCATAGGGAATTTAGATCCGTTTTTTGTCTTATGTAGCAGCCGCTCAGAATCTCAATCGCAAGAAAAAAGAACTTAATAAACCCGCTTTCCATACTGGACCCATGTCGATCAATTATAGTCTTGCACCAAACATAAGATCTTGGCCGAGCCTGAGGTGCGGGGAACAAGTATGCTGCATATGATCTATGGACATGTTGATTTCGTGCAGATGCTGTAGGTCGCCTGTCTCAGTTGCAGATTACTGTCTCTCAGTAGATGCGCTGATGCGGATACGACTCTCCAGGCTAAGCTTGACACCATAGACAGTTTCGAAAGACTGAGCAATTTCGCGGATTATAGCGCGCCGACCAAGGACTATGGAGGAGTGTTAGAAAGCAAAGGACAAGTAGTCAATAGTGTTTCATTTACATTGCATGATTCCAGATGCACCAGCATCTACCGAAAGAGCTGCGGTAAACTCTGCAGCATTGTCATAAGTAGTCCCTTCCATAACCTCATCACCCCGACTCCAAAAGCGGAAGGTGTTTGTCTAAGGATCAAAGATGTTGAAAAACGGACTGAAGATGGTCTCAATCAATGAGAATGTGACACCCTGTACCTGCTTGGCCCCAAGTTGGGCCTTGACCTGGATCATGAGTCTTTGGGGAATAGCTCGACAAGCTTGAGCTTGGTGTAAGCTAGGGCCCAGTCACTTCTAGGCACCGACTAAGACTTTCTGTCTATCGACCATGAGCTTGTAATTGCCCGAGTATGAGACTCGAATGAAATTCCGCCGTAGGTGGCAAAGTCGTGTGTGAAGGCCACATCGGGATTAAAATAGACGCCATGACATGCAGGAATAAAATCCGACTTGGAAGCAAGCGGCGATGACCCCCGAATACTGGAGGAGCCTTGGAAATCGGTAACGCTTAATAATACGGTACTCGCCCCTTGTTCCTTGCACCAGTTTGACTTCCCTGGGCCGTGGATCCACCGGTCCTCCCGAGCCCCGGGCCGCAACGCGATTGTGGGTTGCGTTCTGGTCGGTACATATACTTAATTTCCTATCACTTCGGAGGCGACGCGTGCCTTTTGCATTCTCTCCTCCATCCAGGATGCCACTAAATCTGCCATACCCGCAGCTCCGCGGCTTTTCGTCCAAGTTCGACAAGCTCGAGCTGTATTGGGGCCGGCCCATCCCCGCCCATAAGCGGCGATTGATCCCGACCTCGGGTAGCTATCCAAAGAGGTTCGATGTGGGCAGCACTCGCGCTGGCGTTAAGCCCGTCGGCAACATTCAGCCGGACTTGGTCATCGTCGCGTCAAATACCCCACCCCCAGCATTAGGTGCGCAGTCTTCACTAAGAATGAATTCCTGTGCTGCTTCTGTGACTGTCAGCCGCAAGCTTATACGCCGAACCAATGGTGCTGGACTACGATGAGTGACTATATTAACAAGTCGGTACGTTAGCTGGGTATGTCTAGCGGATCAACATCAAGTCTAAGGCGAGTACCGGTTTTCTTCGGCAGCGAGATGAGTGTCGCAGATAGATTAATTGACAGGTGACAAAACTGAGAGAGAGGGAGAGAAGAAGACAAAAAGAAGACAAAGAAAAGAAGATGGTTTATCAATTTTCCTTTCAGATGTAGGTACAGGTATATATCTAGGGACCCACATCGACTAGAACAAACAAGAGACCAAAAGTGAAGCAAGAAGTGAGCAAACCGCACCTTAGGCAAGCGTATCCTGACAGAGACATCTAAGGCATCACAACCAGTACTCATTTGTCCTCAAGAAAGAAGCACTTAAACTTTCCAGTATGAAGTGGGTCCTGACGGTGGATTACCAAGACCCCACTTCGGCATTAAAATCACTAGCGCCCGAACCGTCACTCAGGGATGACGTGCGTCGGGTCTCGGACTTCGCTCTCGGACTTCGTGGATTTGAAAGCCCCGCGCTTATTGTCAGGAGTACAGTTTTCTATGTCAAAGGTAGGGATAAGAATAATATAAAAAGGTACTGGTCGCACTGCGTGTTTCTGCATACTCAATATTTATCAAAATGTCTACTATTCTCGTTATAGGAGCCACTGGCAAACAAGGTGGCTCACTAATCAAAAATCTCCTTAGCAAGAATGCGCCTTTCCAAATTCTGGCCGTCACCCGCAACATTCAGTCTCCCTCCGCGCAAAAGTTGTTACAGCAGTCATCCAAGATCAGTCTCGTACAAGGCGATCTAGACCACCCCGCAGAGCTATTCAAGAATGCACGGGATCTGACCAGCGAGCCAATATGGGGTGTTTTCAGTGTCCAAGTACGAACAGCCCATTTCATATCCATTTCTTCTACTCTCAGTAGGAAGCATTATGCTAACAACCGATTACTGAAGGTTGCAATTGGAAACGGCGCTTCGGAAGAGCCCCAAGGAAAATCAATCATTGACGAATCAATCAAACACGGCGTCAAGCATTTCGTCTACAGCTCAGTTGATCGTGGCGGTGCCAAATCCACAGACAACCCAACCCAAGTCCCGCACTTCATCAACAAACACAATATAGAGAAACACCTATTGGAAAATACGAAGGATGGCAATATGGATTGGACGATTCTACGCCCGACTGCTTTCTACGATAATCTCACGCCAGACTTCTTCGGCAAAATCTTTACCACGGCTTACGAAATGGTCCTCAAGGGGCAACCGTTGCAGATGATTGGGGTGAGCGATATCGGCGCTGTTGCGGCAGAGGTCTTTATGAATGTGGATGCGTATAAAGGACGTGCTATCTCACTGGCAGGTGACGAATTGACGTATGCTCAGTTTAAGCACATCTTTGAGAAGAGGACCGGGCAGACGCTGCCTACTACTTGGAGACCACTCGCTGCGTTGTTCATGGCGGTGGTCAAAGATATGGGGTATATGTATAAGTGGTTTCATGATGAGGGATTTGGCGCTGATGTGGAAGAGGTCAAGAAGATCCATCCTGGTCTCAAGGACTTTGAGACTTGGCTGGAAACTGAGAGTGCGTTTGTGAAACAATAAACGGCACTGTTATTTGGTCCACTGGACGAAGTGTGGCTTTGATCAGAAGAGTATTTAATATTGATATTGACGTCTTAATAAGCAAGTTAATGTATTTCTGTGCCTCGTGACATGTACCAGGGGAGATCCAACGGAGCGAAATAGTAGAGACATAGCAAAGCAAAACAGATGGCAGAAATTACACGATGAAAAAAAAAATATAAACGCTGCTTCGGTTCGCAAAAAACAATATCAATGCACGTTACGATGCATGACCCAGGAAGGTAGTTTAGATATCGATGAGTGGGCCTCAACAAAGCTAGAAACCTTCCTGATTCAGTTTCCAATCTTTCAAATCAAATGTCCCAGCACGAAGCGATGAAAATTCTCCGTTCCAAACGAATGTTTTCCCGCTGACCCGACCTCTACCATCGAGATCAATAATGCAATCTTGGAGCTCATAGGCACCACTCTCATAAGCGGTCTCATAAGCGATCAGACTATCTCGTTCCTTGCTCGTCCGAACCTCAAACGCCATGCCGCGAATGACGTCTTTTGGCGATCCACGCACTAGAGCCGGGTATTCTCCCCACATCTTGCAGTCCCAGCCAACGATTTTCGCCGAGTGGAGTTCATGCCAGCCTGGGTTTTCTAGGATTTTGGCGAGCTTGGGACGGTCCATGAGGCTACCGTAGAAGAAGTAATATTCCATTTTGAAGGTTGTTCTAGTTTGTATTTAGGTGGTTTGGAAGGTGAGTTAGAACTGGGGAGTGTGGATGTAGTGACTCAGAATGGGATTAAACCTCAGGGCCCGATGCTCAAAAGGGTCTTATGATGGATAATGATACAATGGAATGGTCGTTACTGAGTCAAAAATGTAACTTTTTTTTTTGCTGCATTTCGCATAGTATCGTGAGGATACCAAGGTTCGACTTCACCTGACAATACCTTGCCGATCCTCGGAATAACAGTCGACGCGACCGGGAAGCCGATAAGTCATCCCACGTGTAGGAACGATCTATCGATCTGAAATCTTTTAATAATTTAAAATTGTGGGTACACTGGTAAAGACAAGATAAACTGGACCATGGTAGATGTCAATCAAAACAAGAGAAACAAGATTGCATGTCGATCGCAACAAAAATTTCACTTCGCCGATCGCTCAGATGGCAGCCGCATGGTTGCCACTTGATTTTTGCCCAGCCACCCCGAGATCATATGTTTTTCCCCCCCGAACAGAAATAGAAATTTAGTGAAAGAACTGGTGAGTTAGAGCGACAGGACCCTGCCACAGATCATTCCCAGGCCACCGATGCCCTCCCTGATGGAGGGTACGTACGCGTCTGCGTAAGACCGCGCTCCCCACCTCCCCAAAATAGTATAAATGATCGTCGTCCGGGATGAGGTCATTGGGAATGAACCGTTGTCGGGGCTCGTCGTCAACGTTGTTGCTATGCTTAAGCGTAATCACACGAGAGAGTGCGGAGAAGGAATTTATGTATATGCATGTCAGAAAATGCGCAGGGCCAAGGCCAAGTATACGTATGCCCAAGAACGTAATGTTAATCGGTGGCTGAAACCGAAAAGGGACCGGAACCCAAAATGTCTGTGGATCCACACAGTATATTAAACTGGAGACTGGTCCCTGGGATCGTCGACTCATACTTAAAGACTCCAGACCCTGTTCTGATCTCTGATCTCTGTGTTCTATATTTCCTACAAGGCCAGGCCTCCATCCACATTCGTTCAAGCAACTACTACCACTCCACCAACATGTTGCCCTCCTCTCTCCGCCTGTGCTTCCTAGCCGCAACCCTCTTCCTCATCAACATGACAGCGGCCTTCCCCCTTATCAGCCGCGAAGTCGAATGGTCCTTCACGCTTTTCCCGACCTCCTCTTGCAACGGAACCGGCGACCCCCACGCCGGCTCCGGGAGTACAGGCTGTCGCGCAGACCTCAACAGCGTCGCCTCCGCCTACACCCTCCACTCCGTCGCCGAGGGCTGTCGCATCGAATTCTTCGATAACACAATGTGCGACGAGACCGAGCTCTCCGATGTCGCTGGCCAGATCACTTCCACCAACACCTGCCGGATGGCCGGTCCCCGACGCCGGTACGGCTCCTACCAGGTGACCTGCGAGTGAATGCATACGATACACTTCTACGGACACACATGAATAGTGTCATTTAAAAGATCAAGCTGGCCTTGGATGCATTGCGCGATTACAAGCAATTCTTTTTTTTTTTTTTTGGCTTCGTTGTTTACGTCAGACATTCATTGATCCCTCGGGCGCGGAATATAGAATTTTAATGATACCCTTTAGACAAATGAAACGAATTAACGATCTTCATTCCATCATCGTGTCTGCGCTTTTCTCCATATTACGCTCTCAGCGCTGGAGACCTGTCTTGAGGATGTCGATCACTGTGGTCTGTGTGTTCAGGGATGCGCCATCTCTCTCACCGGCACTGGAGGTCTATGCGGCCAGGAGATAGCGCGATAGGGGCAGGGATTGCTCCGTACGCGTATACTTTCCCCTCATTTTTATCCCCTCGATTTGATGTACAGATCAAATCAACTACTTGTATGCACGGATCGCCCCCTGTAAGCTTACTGCAGGGTCGGCCGTTTGAAACGGGGACACGCAAGGGCGGGCAACCTGATACATGTACACCGGGGGCTAGTACCCGGGCGTGCAGGGATGATTGGTCCCTGAGAATAGCCAAACGCTTAATTTACTAGGGTTCCCGCACTTAATGTGAATCAGGCTATGTTGCATTGTGGTTGGGTTGGGCTGGATTGCTTCATTTGCAGCTTGGTCCTTGCATTTTATAAACTCTTTGCAAAGGGTCTGATATTGACTTGAGAATTACGGCGATAGGCCATACGTCCGTTCAGATCTCCATTTTTAAACAACTACAACCAGTGGCGCTCGGAATTGGGAAAAAGGTGGTGAAAAACGAGAGGCCAAAGTAGGGCGAAAACAATGTATGAAACAGTATACTCGTGTCGGCTATTCCATACTTCATGGCACTGAATGCACATTTATGACCCTTGTTGTAGCACCAATCGTATGCCCCAAGTCCTGAAGACTTTTACGGTACCATATCGGGAAACTTTCCCGAAGATCAAATGCAGCCCTCTGTCGTTTCTTGTGCTTTTGGGGCGGCACGTCTACCTGTCCTAGTAGCTTCGTCGGTCGCTACCCTAAAACTATCATTCATAGAATTGTTTAAAGCGTTAAACGCTCGAATGATCGGGCAATTCATACTTGGTCGTTGTGCTCAATCGCCAGTCCTCCGAAATTGGACGGATATATATACACTTTCCGGCATACGGGGCTTAGCCTCTCAGATATACTATAGAGAACTATCCTTAAAGAAATTCGTGTACAATTTTCTTTTGTTCAATAAGATCTGCTAATCCCTAGGAGATAAGCCAGGGACTTTCCCGAAGTGGAATACCCGTACTACATCGCCGGAAACGGTCGACGCATAGCGACGTCGTGGCATCACTATTCATATGGACCTTCCGCAAATTTTCACCTATTCACCTTCGAGCCCAACATGACTGCCAAAATCGAAGCATTGGAAGGCGACGAAATTCCCCCGGCGCCCGTCTCATTCTTCGATTCATCTTTGAAGGAGACGCGACAGCGGGTATTCTACCAATGGGCGCGCACCCGTGAGTAAAGTTAATGCAGAGAATGCAAGGGATACTAACCCGACTCCAGTATTCATCCTCTGCCTCTTCATCTTTGTCGTTCTTTCTCTCTTCTGGGGCTCCCAATACAGCACTGAAGCCAAATACCCAGCACTGAATGTCTTTGTCGTTGACTTTGATGGCCAAGTCGATCCCTATCGCACCAATGACACCATCGTCGGCCCTGCAGTGACATATGTCACCAAGAAAATCCTGGCCTCCGACAATCGTCACCTTGGATACACGATCAAATCGCCCGCCGACTTCAACAATGATCCCTGGGCCGTCCGTCAAGCCGTCTACGACGAGGACGCCTTTGCCGCCGTAATCGTCAACCCAAACGCGACGACCCTGCTCCGTGCCGCTGTCTCCAACGGCAACACCAGCTACGATCCCTTCGGTGCAATTGAAACAATCATCATCTCTGGCCGCGACCAAATCACCTACTACATGTACATCGACCCGGACTTGTCAATCCTACAGGGTATGGTTACAGCGGAGTTCGGCCCACGGTGGGTCCAGCACCTAATCTCACAGTCGACGACCAATCTATCAACCGTCCCCCCGCAAGTGATCAACCCGGGAATTGGCTTTACGAACGTCGATCTCCGCCCCTTCACGCCGGCCGTTTCCGAGCCTGCCGTGACGATCGGCTTGATCTACCTGATCATCATTGCATTCTTCAATTTCCCGTTCTTGATGCCGATCCATGCGCAGTTCATGAAGCCGGGCAGTCATCCCCCGCTGAAGGTGGCGCACTGGATCGTCTGGCGTATAGCATCGGCTCTTGTGACGTACTTCTTCCTCTCGCTGTCCTACTCGCTTGTGTCTCTGGCTTTCCGGATTCCGTTTAGTAACTCGCCAGTCCCGGATACGCTATCTGCGAATAATCCGAATACATACGGTCGTGGCTCATTTGTTGTCTTTTGGATGTTGAATTGGGTGGGTATGGCGGCGTTGGGACTGCCGTGCGAGAATATGGCCATGGTCTTAGGCTTCCCGTGGAGTTCGCTCTTCCTTATCTTTTGGGTTATTACCAATGTTGCTACTGCGTTCTATCCTATTGAGTTGGCATCTGCGTTTTATCGCTGGGGTTTGGCTTGGCCTTTGCATCGCAGTAAGTTTTCGTTCTCCGGTCTGATTGGGGCTGGGCTGACTTTGACACAGTTGTTGAGGCGTTGCGTACGATCTTGTTTGGTACACATTCGCGTATCGGATTGGACTTTGCGGTTCTTTTCGTTTGGGTCGCTGTTTCTTTGGCCCTTTATCCCTTTGCGACTTATATCATGCGGTGGAAGATGAAGCGCGGACTTTGAGATTGTTACTAATATACTGATTGAATAGACGCCCATGCTCGGGTGTGAAAAGTTTTAATGGAATGCTTGATATTGATAGGGTTGCGGTATAGATCCAAAATGACGTAGTGAGCTAGTCCTTGTACACTTTCGTCTTGTTCCAGGTACATCTATGTGCAAGCATTTACATTCTGAATAATCCCAAAGGAGACGCTCTAGATCAACCATTAAAGCCACAAGTAAAACTCCGGAATCAAATGTGTAAACCCGGATATTTGGAACGGTACAGCCGGTCTGATGTCTCCATGACATATCTCACTGCCCAGTTGCCGGATATTCCCAGGTTTATTTCCTGAGATTGCCCAGTTATTCACACATTGCGTGGGACAAGGCTGTATCTGAGACTCCATTATCCTCCGAAATGAACACAAGAGCACACGATCATGGGAGCTCCGGCATCAATATCCGAGACTGGTAGAGTCCCGTGGTCCCTGACAGTCAGGGACAAACCAAAGCGAAGCACAACCACCAATTCGTGTGCTGTTCCCCATGTGCTCGATCCTGACCTTCTCATTTGCTGAATCAATTTAATGCACGATCCCAATATGTACCTGCTCAGCCCTACAGATTTGCTGCAGGTGTCAGGTACCTGTAGGGCAGGCTTGTTTGGGCTGTAGTCGTCATGCCCTTTCCGATGACCATCTCTCTTCCTTCTTGCTTTTCTCCTTTTCTTCTCTCGTTCTGATTCATCTCTCATCTCAGACACGATCGGCTTTGAACCTCAAATTTCTGCGCTATGGAAGCTCCTCGTGAAACCGTCGCGATGGAAGCTGATCCCTTCAATGACCAAGCTCGTGCTGAGGAAGCTCGCGAACGTCGTTACCGTGCCCTGGCAAAGATCGACGAAGCTCCCTTCGGCTGGCAGCATCTCCGCGCCATCGTTGTTGCAGGCGTCGGTTTCTTTACTGACAGTTATGACATCTTCGCCATCAATCTGGCTGTCGGCATGCTGGGTGTCGTCTACTGGCAGGGCGAACACAAAGGCAAGATCCCCTCCGCTGCCGACACTGCTATCAAGGTCTCGACTTCTGGTGGAACTGTCATCGGTCAGTTGTTTTTCGGTTGGCTTGCGGATCGTATTGGCCGCAAGCGCATGTATGGCATTGAGTTGATGGTCATTATCATGGCTACGCTTGCTCAAGCTCTGTCGTCTGCCTCTGTTGCTGTCTCCATCGCTGGTCTTCTCGTCTTCTGGCGTGTCATCATGGGAATTGGCATCGGTGGTGATTATCCTCTTTCTTCGGTTATTACCTCTGAGTAAGTTGTGCGAGGCCCAAGAGGAATATAAGCGACTGACTTCCTGAATAGGTTTGCGACTACCAAATGGCGTGGTGCCATGATGGGTGCCGTCTTCGCCATGCAAGGATTTGGACAATTCGCTGCTGCTATCATTGCTTTGATTGTCACTGCTGGCTTCAAGGAATCCCTGGAGTCTGCCAAAGATGTTGGTCACTGCACCGGTGCCTGTCAGATGGCAGTTGACAAGATGTGGCGAGTGATCATCGGATTCGGAGCAGTACCTGCCTGTTTCGCCCTTTACTACCGCCTCACTATTCCCGAGTCTCCCCGATTCACTTTCGACGTCCAACATGATCTTGTAAAGGCCGATGAAGATGTCAATGCCTATCTCGGGGGCCGAAGTGAAGGCCATCCTGATGAGATTGATCGTGCCCGCATCCTGCACGGTAACACATTTGCACCTCCTAAGGCGGGTTTGCGAGACTTCGTTCACCACTTCAGTCAGTGGGAGCATGGCAAGGTTCTCCTTGGTACTGCTGGATCGTGGTTCTTCCTGGACGTCGGTAAGTTTGACTCCACGGGTATGAATTTGACATAGGCTAACTCTTTGTAGCCTTCTATGGCCTGGGTCTCAACAACTCCATTATTCTCTCGGCTATTGGCTGGACTGGAGGCAAGAATGTCTACGAGGTCTTTTATCGCAACGCAGTGGGCAACCTGATCCTGATCTGTGCCGGCGCAATCCCCGGTTACTGGGTCACCGTTGCAACTGTGGACACCCTCGGCCGCAAGCCCATTCAGCTAATGGGATTCGGAATGCTCACAATCCTATTCATCATCATCGGATTTGCCTACAATAAATTGATCCACACCCACAACGGCCTTCTCGCGCTGTATGTCATTGCCCAGTTCTTTTTCAACTTCGGACCCAATGCCACTACATTCATTGTACCTGGCGAATGCTTCCCTACCCGCTATCGATCTACCTCGCACGGAATCAGTGCTGCGACTGGTAAGGTCGGAGCAATCATCGCACAGTGTGTTTTCGGTCCCCTCGTTCACCACGGCGCAAAGAAGCCCGACGATTCGCCTTGGCTCAACCACGTTATGCAGATCTTCTCCCTGTTCATGCTCTGTGGCTTTGCTACTTCTTGGTTGATCCCCGAGACCAAGCGTCAGACTTTGGAGGTTCTCTCTGGTGAGCCGGACTCATCTGCTCCCGTCAGCCCGTATGTCTTCGCCAAGGACGAGGGCAAAGATGACCACCTGACTCCACATGCCATCACTACCTCGACTGTTCACGTTGGCTAGAGTTGTCGGCGACGATACGCTAGAGAGTGAAGTGGTGCCTGATCACTACTCTTGAAAGTGTATCTTTGTCCCTTTTGAAACCTGCAGTCCCTACATGACTGGCTTATTGACTGCTAATCGTCGGTCTTGTGCTGAGATCTGCGAGTTCTATGATTTTTCCCTGCTGCTTCTCAGCAAAAATAGTCACTAATACAAATTGTATTGCTGGTGAAAATTTTCAAACAACGTAGATGTTATTTACTGTAGTTTGGACGCATGATGTAACAGACCGGCTCATATCTACGTATTATATCCTTCGGAGGATTATGAAGCTGTAATCTCGTCCCAGGAAATGAGAGACTTTCCTACTTTAGCTTTTGAGGTTTCACGTGCTCGTACACTCAGTGAGAAAAGTGATTCATTTTCTGGCTTCTTTTTTTCTCTCTCTCTCTCTTTTCTGGCAACAATCACTTTGGATTCCAATGATCCCCATTTCATTTTCCGACATCTTTGTTTATTGACTGGACTATCTCGAGGCTCACTACGTGACCTCGTTCCAAACTACACATGGCACGTGTGTGTCATTCACAATTCCAACGAGAGAAAGAAACCATTGCTGCGCGGAAGTCTCATCGCATGCAAGACATGTCCAACACTGCCAACATGCCACCAGATCCAGCGATTCTCGCTTCAGTGAGTGGATGCGCAAAGACTGAAGTACCTCGACTGGCCAACCGAGTTTCCAATAAGCAGGTCGACAGTCAAGAAGACAAAAAGGAGATACCCTCCCTGGCCACAATACGCATCAACACGTCAACAACTGACGCGGAATCGAACAACACCATCCAAGTCTCACGCGTAACGACCTCGCTTGCAACGGAGAAAGAAGACCTCGTCGGAGCATTGAAACTCATCGCAGAATCCATCGCCCAACAACGCCAAGTTGCCGCCCGGTCGATTATACATCACTGGCTCAGCTGGGTTGTGATGGGGATAGTCTTCGCCGGCATCTTCTTCGTTATGTACAACGATCCCTCCGATTGCGGCCGTATAATCTTGACCTGCACCGGGGCTCTGATGGTCGGGCTCCTTCTTACAAGAAATTCTGTGGCCGGGTATCTCGATCTAGCCGAAAACACTGGAACATGGAAGTGGCTGTACGGTCCAGATGAAAGTGAGAATATTCGGAGTGCAGAAAAGTGGAGAAATTATCGCCCGCCGAAGAAACACCAGCTTGCCATTGAGAATGCTTACGATATTGTTGTGATCGTTCGATACCAAAGCGCTGTCATTGCTACCCTCGTTCTCAGAGTCGTGCGCTGTGACCAACCAAATTCCAAGTCGGATATTCAGAGCACCGCATCGCAACGACCGATAGGACAGAACCATGCTGCTTTCATCCGCGCATTGACCGTCGCATATCGGTACAGATACCTTGGACTTGGAGGTGCTCTTCTTCGTGTTGCTGTTATGATGCGTGAAAAAAACAACTGGAAATCGATCGAATTCGCTGATCGACACGCAATGTCGCCGCAGGTGCTCCCTAAGCACTTCATCTTCTCTTCTAGCGGGCTAGCCAGGGCGTGGGTGGATCGTCTTCGGGATATGGTTTTAGAGTACCAACAAGGCTCCGCCGAATTTCCTTGGCTCCTGGATGAGGACCATAAGGCCCGCGATGGAAGGTTGCCCCCGTACCTACAGCTCGACGTTCAATTTGAGAAATTGAAAGCGGCCCAGATTTCGGGGGAGCTGTTGTCGTCGTATTCCAACTATCCTAGTGAGCACTGGTGAAGGCTTCCAAGTGCTCTTGAGAAATACTGCTTAACATTCTGATGAGTGCCTAGCTGTTCAGCGGGGGTAAAATGTATCAACGTGCCAAAAACCCATTCAATGCTCGCTCTTTTGTTTCGTCCTAATTTTTCTAGAAATTCCACTGCTTTCTGGTCGCTTCAAGTCCCTCGACATAGTTTCCGAATAATGCAACCTCAAATGTAGTGACAAACCCATGCTCAGCTTTGTCGATATGACGGTTATAGTAGCCATGTTTTAGCTAAATTCGATACGATATACTCTTAAAATAATATTACACGAACTTATATACCTTCGTATTCGTCTTGTCTTTTATAGCCGATATTAAGAGGCTATTTTACGGTGTTAAAAAAGGTATATTCCGACCTAGTAGATTCGTAGATAAAGCTTAGTATAAGTCGAATCGATAAATACGACTTTCTTACAGCTTATCCTTAGGTACACCATCGCGGCCTATTAGCGTAATATTCCTATTATGGTTACTTCTTTGCCCGGTCGGTTTACTGGTGCTTTGGTCTTTTATAGGAATGTTGGGGCTTGGGGCAAGCTTGCTGTTTGGAGGCTTCTATGGGGGGTTTTGAGTGGTGCTGCGCTTGTTTGGGAATTGTATTTATAGATGGAGGGGTCTAGGTGAGGGAGTCAGTACTACAGCTATATAATATTGAATGTAATCAATCTATCCCACTCCATAAGTGTTTACGTGGATGAACGAATTGATTAATTCCGGATACTAGCAGTGTGTTAATGCCAAGGGAGAACTGGATGCTAAGATTCATCCTTAGAGCAAGCAACATGCATCGACGTGGATACCACCGACGTAGTCCAAGCATTTCCAAAACCAAGCAGCCAATACAACAGCCTCAAAAGGAGCCGAATACCCGGCAAGCCAGAAAAGAACGTGTAAGCACTGCACGCCAAGAGACACCAGACCATAACCCGCGACCGACCAATTTCCGACCCCCCAAGCCGAGAATCCCCGGACCAGCTTTTCTGGCTCAATCCTGGGGAACTGGAGAAACGCGACCCATAACATCAAGAACTTTTATCCATGCCCCGAGAACACCACACCACAACCGGCTAATTTGGTGCTGACCTTGGTCGTGCGGTTGCTGAATGGTAGGCTTGCCGGCAATAGGAGGACCCGTCCGAAGCCGATTCGCGTAGGCTTGAGCTTGGCTGCGGGAGGGGCAGTGTGGCGTGTGGATAGAGGCAGGGGGTTATCAGGCTAAACCGGGTGAATTCAGCCCGTGGCTTGGGGGGTGGGGATTTTGGGCTGGTTTGGGCTGGTTAAACCGGGTGTTTTGGGTTGTGGCTTGGGGTTACTTGTGAAGGTATGTGTACCTATATTATATACAACCTTGACATTATTTCAGGCAATATAATATGGCAAATAAAGAGAGTGATGCATGATGAATGAAGCATCTCCAGATTTCGAAACGCGCGGGGTCCGGGGGTCTCCATATGAAGATTGTGGGGCTAATCCTTCTCTTGTCCGAGTTGATGTCAAGAGAATACCCGATGTTAAGCCGGCTGAATGGTCTGCTGAAGCAATTTATATGGGATGCCAGTTCTGGATGCTGGATCGAATCGCGAGATCCAGCCAGCATACTTTCAAGCCACACTATGTGTATACTGTACAGCACTTCCATTTAGCCAACCGTGTCTCGGCCTCTAAATATCCACGGCTAAATCCTCGACTCGCATCGCGCACGGCCCATCGATGTTGCAACTCTCGTGCCGTCTCATCGAAAGGCCGGGTAGTTGGGCCACGCCCAAGAACGAACGCGCCACGAAGCTTAGTCGCCAATGGGCTGATACCTCCATTTTGTTTTCCCCATGGGGCTAAGGTCCCGGGGGATAGTTGGCCCTCATTATCCGTAGTACCCGGTCGAATAAATAACATGCAGATCCCCATGCAGACAACGTGCAGGCCATTCTTCTCTGCTTCTTTGTCACTCAACCCGAATCCGTTTTCCCACGTGGTGCGGATATTATCCTGTTTTATATAACTTCCGTCGGCCTTTTGATTCATCATGGCTCCCCTTCCTCAGGGCGAGTCGGCCATCTCGGCCAAGCGCGCTGAGCTGTCCGGAAAGGGCGGCTTCAAGGGTCTTATCAGTAACAAGAAGACTACCTCTATTGGGCTGTTCGCGTCGCTGGGTGGTTTGGTGTATGGATGTAAGTAGATGATGCTTCGGTGACAGAGTTGGGAATAGTATCTGACCGCGATGCAGACAACCAGGGAATGTTCGCCCAGGTTTTGACAATGAAGTCGTTCCAGATAGCTGTACGTCAATTCCTGGATTTGCAGCCCTGCATCTGCTAACAGAAGTTTCTCGCGCAGACCCATAACTATGCTGCACAAACGGGTATCGAGCAGGGAATGCTGACATCTATTTTGGAACTTGGTGCCTGGGTGGGAACCCTTTTCAACGGATATCTCGCCGACGCACTAGGCCGTCGTGTCACAGTTCTCGTCGCCGTGGTAGTATTCTGCGTCGGTGTCATTGTTCAAGCGTGCACGGTAAACAAGGACTTCGTACTCGGCGGACGATTCGTGACTGGTTTGGGTGTTGGTAGCTTGAGTATGATTGTGCCGCTGTACAATGCCGAGTTAGTGAGTAGGCCTCAGGAATCACGGAATCGAAAGCGAAAGCTGACAACTGCAAGGCACCACCAGAAATCCGAGGATCCCTCGTCGCCGTGCAGCAACTCGCCATCACCTTTGGAATTATGATCAGCTTCTGGGTATGTATACTGACAACCTCTGTCGTGAGATCTTCAGCCCTGACGTTTCCAGATCGGTTATGGAACAAATTATATTGGCGGAACTGGTGAAACACAATCAGATGCTGCATGGCTGGTCCCAGTCTGCATCCAAATCCTCCCAGCTCTTGTACTGGCTGCTGGCATGATGATGTTCATGCCTCAGTCGCCGCGTCACCTGATGAATACCGGCCGCGAGGAAGAGTGCCTTACGACCCTGGCTCGCTTGCGTGGCACATCTGAGGATGATCTCCTTGTTCGAATTGAACATCTTGAGATCAAGAGTTTGTATCTTTTTGAACGTGAGGTAGCTGCTGAGAAGTACCCCAATTATCAGGATGGGTCCTTCTCCAGTCGTTTCAAGATCGGTTTCTACGACTATCTCTCCTTGGTCACCAACAAGTCCCTCTTTAAGCGTACTGCTACTGCTGTATGTTTGCCCTTCAACGTGGGTATGTCTTGACTCGTGCTGATGGTATCATAGTGCATGATCATGGTGTTTCAACAGTGGAATGGTAGGACAACCAAGGCTCTCCCCTTTGAACTTGTTACTGATGTCATATCGTTTAGGCATCAACGCTATCAACTACTACGCGTAAGTCCTTGACAATCCGAAGATGGGACGGGACACCATGGATCCCACATTCCTTGAAGAATGACAGTGCAGCAGTGCTAACATCATGAAGACCCTATATCTTCAAAGATATGGGTCTAGGCGGCAATACCGTTTCGCTGCTTGCAACCGGTGTAGTTGGCATCGTGGAATTCCTCTTCACAATCCCTGCCGTCCTTTGGGTCGATCAGATTGGACGTAAAAAGATCCTCATCGCTGGAGCGATCGGAATGGCCTCGTGTCACTTCATCGTCGCCGGTATCATTGGAGCCTACCAGCACACATTCGACACGCATAAAGCTGCTGGCTGGGTTGCGATAGTCTTCGTTTGGATTTTCGTCATCAACTTTGCCTATTCCTGGGGTATGTCTGGATTTCTTCGCTGCGGTGGAACATTGCTGACCGTCATCTCACCGCAGGACCTGTCGCTTGGATTGTCACTTCTGAGGTATTTCCGCTCAGCATGCGTGCCAAGGGTGTTAGTCTTGGTGGAAGCAGTAACTGGGTAAGTTGCACAGCATATGCACATGTTCGTCGGAGCTAACGGTGTACCCCGTAGTTGAACAACTTCGCTGTTGGTACCGCTACATCTCCATTCCTGGAGAAGAGTAATTTTGGGGCGTTCATTTTCTTTGGATGCATCACTAGTATTGCTGTGGTGTACGTCATTTTCTTAGTCCCCGAGACCAAAGGTCGAACTCTTGAGGAGATGGACGAATTATTCGGGACGACTGGTGTGGCGGCTGCGGATAATGAACGCAAGGTTCGGATCGAGAGGGAAATTGGCCTCCTTGCTCTCGTGGGCATGGAGCCTGCAGACGAGAAGCGTGAGATCGCAGAGAGCAGGGCAGAGTTCTCAAACCACGAAGAAGACGTCGTCGCCGACTTGAAGAATTGAGCGGCCGTCAAAGTTTTATACTGGCTGTAGGGCTGATCGACATGTTCGCTCTCCAAACCGAGAACCGAACGCTGTCAGGGTTTGATCGACAGTAAGTCGACATGATACCCGCATAAATAGTTGTGCTTTACATGTGAACTCTCAATCTTAGCCGTTTATACTTTATGTGAAGTACTACTCCCTGACTATTCTTTTGTGCATGCGTGATACATATCACATGCGGCCATATAATGATCTGTCAGACCAGAAAACAGTCAAGCTAGGCAAACCTTTTCCGGGGTCACTTTCTATGTATAGCAGTGGAGACTGGGCTCGCTCCGACCAGTCAGATCGATCGTCAGGCACTATTGTCTTACTTGACCCTGCAATAGATTAACTCTGGATCCTGGCAATTTGTTTGTTTCGATTCTTTTTATTCGAGCCATCCCATCATCGCAATTTTCTCTTTCTTCCACCTACTTAGATCCAGTTCCTCAAACCAGCACCTCAGCTACACCCGCATCCACATCCACACCTACAACCAAAATGTCCACCACCACAACCTCAGTCAGCGCAACCAACACTGCCAGCTGCGGCGGCAGCGTCTGGCAAATCCCAACAACAGACGCCGCCTGCGCCGCCATCATCAGCGGCAACGTCACCGACGTGATGGACCAGTGCTGCAAGGACGCTTCCCCCCGCAAGTACGACAACGACTGCGGCATCTACTGCCTCGCCCAAGGCCAGGATATCGGCACCCTCCAGTCCTGCATCACCAGCAAAAGCGGCAACTACCACGACGTCTTCTGTAACACTTCTCGTCAGAATGCGACCGCCACTGCTGCTGCCACTAAGACTTCTTCTACATCCTCCGGCACTACCGGTACTTCAACTTCGACTTCGACCCACAATGCTGCTGTTGCGAACCAACCCGTGTCCAAGTCTGGGCTTGGCCTTGTGGCTTTGATGTTTGCGTCGGCTTTCATGGCAGCATTTTCTTAAATTAGTTTTTGTGCTTCGATGGCTTTGGATGACTTGTGCTGATTTTTCATGAGCGGGTCAGCGACCGAGCTTTGCATCCTGTGGGCTTGGCTTCATTTTTCTGGTGTATAACTAGCATTGCGCATACATAATGAATTGTTACTGGGTATCAGTAGTATTTTTCACCTGGCACTAATCGTTCAAATTTGTAGAAGATCATCAAGGCATTGGCCAATGAACGCTTTGGATATTTCCAAGGTTGAGCGTCCTGAATCCGGGGAACCCTTGTATAAATTGCGGCTTTGGAGAGAACTTCTCTTGCCGCACTTCAAGTATCAGTGTACTTTGTACTTTCCTGTTAGTTGAAGATTGAATAATGACGATTGAATAACCAAAGCGTTAACTTCACAGCATGAAAACTATATATCCCTAATCCGCCAGATTTCCCCTGAATTCGCCTAAGGTGCTTGAAGTAGGCTATTCAGTGCAATATAATTCATAATAAATGTACGCGTTCATCGATAAAACCAAATTTGTCAGTGTTGAAACTCAGCGAAGGAAAAGGAACATCTGGAGACCCAGTGACGTCATGAATCCCCGCTGTGCTTACGGATCACACAGTTCGCCTTTGCGAACCCCTCTAGGCCATTCACGCAAAGTATCACTTGTAAACAAACAAAAATCTGAACGCAATGGCTACACAAACTGTCATCGCAACTGGCACATCGTCGGGCTTAGTAAGAACCCAACTCAGCAATCAATCAGCCAACCTCTTAACCAAATTCCACGACAGGGATTCGAAGCTATCAAACAGCTACTGGAAGAGAAGCAGCAGTCTTATAACTTCATACTTGGTGCCCGGGACACGGCAGGAACACAGGCCGCATATGATGCCTTGAAGTTCGACACTGCAAAGCACTCTGTTGATATCTTGCCCCTCGATCTCTCTGATCTGCGTAGTGTCCAATCATTTGCGAAGCAAGCTCTGAGTCAGTTGGGCCAAAAAAAGCTTGACTCTCTGTTCCTTGTTGCTGGCACGCTGGACAGTGCTGATGGGCCTGGTCCTCATGGTTCGCAGTGGTGTGAATCATATGTGGTGAACCACTTGGGTATGTTGCTCTTCGATCTATCATCCGGGTTCGTTTCAACGGTCGAACTCCTGCTAACTTACGAAAAAAATGCAGCTCAGCACTATTTGATTCATCTCCTGGCTGACACCCTGGCTGCCTCGCAATCGCGCCTTGCTATTGTATCTTCCGGTGCAATCCGTGGTGTGAGAGGAAATGATCCCTGTAAGTCAAGCCCAAGATCCCCAAAATCCCTCACCTGAGAGCAAATATTAATGGCGGATTTCCTTTTTCAGCCACACTCGATGTAGATCTAAGAGCAGGCTCCGGTGCAAGCGCACGAGTGGTCTACAGTGCCTCAAAGTTCGCCCAGCTTCTAGGCGCCCACTACTGGCGTCGCCAGCTTCCAACTTGCACGGTTGTAGCTGTATCACCTGGTCTGATTCCCAACACTAAGCTTGCGCAACACCCAAGCTTAAGATTGACCATGGACATGCCCGACGCCAAGAGCGTGCCAGAGGGTAAGTGAATGCAAATCTGAATTGCTGGTTGATACAAAATAGCTAACGGTTTACAGGTGCCCAAAATATTCTCCGCGCTCTCAAGACTCAGGATCTGCCCAGTGATCCTCAGCAGATTTTTCTGACGAGCTGGGGTGAGTGGTGGCCGACGGATGTTTATGCCACCAGTCTTGATCACGCTTTGCAGGATAAATGGTGCTTGAGCAAGGCGGATATTGAGAATACCGAACCTGTCTTCAAGGAGTAAAACTGCATCACAAACGTTTGATCTGCTGAGACACTTCGATAATTGTGCAGTTTGTTCAGATGGGGCCGAAATGTAACTAAAACCAGGTACCTATACATACACAATGATTCAATCTTGAGACTTAACCCATTTTTCCGTCACACTATATCCCGGCGAATCAACGTTCTCTTCGGCGGAAGATCTACGCTCGTTGGATCTCCTGGCTTCCGGTTAGGGTAATTCTCCGGTGACAACTCCGCATGTAAAACAATATGAACCCCGCAAATGAAGGTAAGCCCGAAATAAATGACGCACGATATAAAACAATGCCTCTCCAGTTAATACTGAAGAGAGACAAGGCTGAAGAACAATGTTGCTCAACAAACTATCATTGGCCTTGCTGCCTTTCGGTACCAATGCCGCCATATTGAAGCCGCGACTTGATGATGGAGTAGCAGGTACACCTCCAATGGGGTCAGTACCTAGCTGGATTAATTGTATTTGGAATAGCTAAACTAACACCACTACAGATGGAACACCTACAATCACTATTCGTGTTCCCCGAATGAGAAAATTGTACGTTCAAACGCGAAAGCCTTGGTTGACCTCGGCTTGAAGAAACTCGGTTACCGCTACGTGACAACTGATTGCGGGTGGACGGTTGCTAATCGCCTAGCAAATGGATCTTTAACTTGGAATGAAACGCTGTTTCCAAGCGGATTTCCTGCTCTTGGAGAGTACATCCATGGCTTGGGTTTGCTATTTGGTGTCTATGAGGATGCCGGTATTAAAACTTGTACAACGGGGATTGAGCAGGCTGGCAGTCTGGGTATGCATATTCCGGACGAATTTTAAGTTCTCTGGGGCTCGCTAATACCACTGTGCAGATCATGAGGAACAGGATGCTGCGACTTTCATGTCCTGGAATGTCGACTCGCTGAAATGTATAGGACCAGTACCTTACAAACAACGTCCGATAGACTGACCGTGGAGTAGATGACAACTGCTATTCTGACGAAACCACTGGATACCCAAACACAAACTACGCGCCTAGCATTTCGCCGCGCCTCAGGTACGCAAACATGACTAAAGCGCTGGCTGCCCAGAGCCGCAAAGTCCTCTTCCAAATCTGCGAATGGGGTCTCGACTTTCCCGCACTCTGGGCACCATCCCTGGGTCACACATGGCGTATCGGCAACGACATCATTCCAGCATGGCGAAGTATCTTCCGAACACTCAACCAAGCAGTACCGCAGACATCCTTCGCAGGACGTGGCCAATGGCCCGACCTCGATATGCTGGAAGTTGGAAACAACGTCTTCACAACACCTGAAGAGCAAACCCACTTCTCAATGTGGGCTATTCTGAAAAGTCCGCTCGTGATCGGGGCTGCGTTGAAGGATGACTTGACGCAGATCAGCGGTGCCTCGCTTTCGGTTCTCTCGAACAAAGATGTTATTGCCTTTAACCAGGATTCTCTTGGCCAAAGTGCGAGTCTTCGGCGTCGTTGGACCGAACAGGCATATGAGGTGTGGAGTGGGCCCTTGTCCGGAGGCAGAACTGTTGTTGCGTTGATTAACTGGGCCAATGAAGCGCGGGATTTGACCTTGAACCTTCCGGATGTTGGCCTTCAGACTGCAGGAACTGCGAAGGACATCTGGAAGGGCAAGACCGTCAGCAATGTGAAGACATCCTATTCTAGCTCCGTTGAGGCTCACGGTGTGATGCTTCTGGAGTTGCGGGATACTACCCCAGCGGGTGTGTACCCAAGCTCGAAATTTGGAATTCGGAACGGGTGAGTAGCTGCACTGCGCTGAAGTTGCAGCTTTGACACTGTTAAATTGGTATTAGTTACTGACTTCAGCAACTACAGTAACACAATTACATTCAATTCCATCTATGCGAACACGACTAGCACCAATCATACCGTCTCTATCGTGTTTTCTAGTGCAGCAACTACGACTGGAAGCCTTCAATTACAGTCATCTTCAGATACAAAATCAATCAGCATTCCAGTCGGCAAGTCTGCCAAAAGCGTCTCCTCACCCCTTTCTCTTGTGGCAGGATCATTGAACGAGATTACAATTCAGTCCACCACCTCAATCGATTCCATTCGCATCGAGTCTCCGTCCAGCACATACTACCCCTGTACTTCGTTTACCCTGAGCGGTTCCGCAGCCCTTGCAAAATGTGGTACAGGCTTCTGTCTTCCAGTCGGATCCAAGATTGGATACATCGACGGAAAATCGACCGCTCGCGCCAGCGTCCACGCAACTGTATCTACACTCGGCACCACCAACGCAACGTCGAAATATCTGGAAGTTGACTTCATCAACAATGACATTGCTCTAGCGACTAGTTGGGGCTTCGGGTCGAACACAAGAAACATGACAATCACTCTGAACGGTGGAGACCCCGTCCGACTGGAAGTCCCTTTGACTGGTCGTCACAGTGAGCTCTTTGGGCCGGGATTGGGTTGGTGGGATAGCTCGACAATGGGGATCGTAGTTGACGGTTGGAAGAATGGTGATAATGAGGTTATCATTGGCAACGTGGCGGCTGGGAATGTGTTCCAGTCTTATGGTGCGGACTTCGTGGGTCTTCGGCTTTATAATTGATGATCTCGTGCCGGATGATTGGAACCTTGTGGATTCAACAGTTTCATAAGCAAACACAGCAGCATAAACTACATCTTGATCAATTGTATATCTTTCGAAATCGAAGATAAAATTGAGACACACCGGTGAGCCCACGCGCCCTCAAGGCTGCTTATAATTCAGTGATGTTCCCTACAGCACGAACAATTTCATACCCCTTTTTACGGATCCCAAGCAAAAATATATGAAATTCACATTCAAGTCGGTTTTAGGATGTGGTATACTCTAAATGTACGTATATGGGATACATATAGTGCCCTGAAACGAAGGAACGGAGTGAAAGGGGGTATTAACCGCACCCGGGTAGAAGGAAGAGTTGTCTCAGCAGTGTGCGACTCACCACTATTAAGGGATCAACCAGGAAATATTGTTGTGATACAAGGCTAGTGCAGATCAGGAACGAAGCCGCATCATCAGAAATAATTCCTCCACAATGTATACGAAGAACCGAGTTGATTTCCAATCAACTTAGACCTCACGTTATACATAGTCTCTAGTACTCCCTTAGAAGTAACAGAACAATTAATCATTCTTCAGGATTACAACAAATACATTAAAATAAAATAAAGCGGTGTGTATCATGGATCTCAGTCAGAATCGCAGACTTTTGAACGGAGCACCCGGGCTTCCAAGAAAGGGACAGGCGAGCAAAACGACCGCGGCAGCTCTAACGAAGAGTATGAACGGGTCAGAGTCCCCTCATGTACGAGCAGGAGATCCGGAACGATGGGGTATATTATTTCCTGTGATGCTTTCATGATTAAATGATCGCCGCCAGGAGGAGATAAAGAGGTATGCACTCGGAAGGCTGGAGGGGAGCTGATAGCGAGACCGCAGATAACGTCGTGGAGCCACCAATTCCTTCCGAAGGCGGCGCGTATTGGCCAACCCATGATATCAAATCACGTCATCAATCAGCGATTAACGGCCTTCGAATCCCAGCGGCCCTTAGAAATTCTAGATATGGAGGTTTTAGGGTTATAGATACGACGTTGCGTTCAATGGCGTCAGTAGAACGGCCGTAGCCCCGACAGAAGGCAGGCAGCGGAGCGCTTTGAGGCGAGTCTGTCGGGACGAAAAATAAATTGTAATATTCGCATTTCCAGTTGACCACTGACTCGTATTCAGCATTTCAGCAAATATCCTCTGAGACCACAACTGAAGGGACTTTACCTGTCAGGGAACAGACTATGGGTTATAGAAGGGAGGGGGTTGTCGCAAAGCGACTAGGTAATTCAATCGGAGTTAAGGGGCTACGAGGTTTTACTAAAAGCCTTTTCTGCCTTAATTTACATTCGCGTCCGTGAGAAAGTTTATGATGTATTTTTATCCAAAAAACAGATAGTACTAAACACCAGGCTCAATTACTAACCTCAAGTATTTGCACATCTTGTCAAAAATGCCGCCTCCTCCTATTTTAAGCCTAGTATGAACTGTCATAATCGATCCGGTGTGCTCAGTTCTTATCTCTAACGGTCCTAAACAAAGCAACCTCAGTCGCGGGACATACCTGTAGCATAGGCGATGTTGGATGTTCATTGGCGGCTCTTTTTGCCATCCCTGGATAGCATTGCCTGACGTAAGACCTTTTCCTCATTCATATATGCTCTTCCCGACCAACCCAGACTAGCTTGAAGCTGTCATGTCATGGTTCAAGCTTTTAAATCCGTCTAGCAGGAGACATTCATTTCTTCTTGCCATGTTGTACAGCATATAACTTACGTTAACTAGGGGACATGTGTCGTTGGCATCTAACTTCGCAGTATTTCGCCTGCCATTGTCTGGAAAAGGATAGCATAATGTAGAGCTAGACCCTGAAACCTTGCTTTGCGTTGTACCAGTCAATTATTTACAATATCCCGAAAGCGGTAAAATAACCAAGACATTGGCTGGTAAAATGCTTTATCGCTGTGGCTAAAGTCTAAAATGTACCGGGAGCGGGAAAATCCGATTTAACCTACAGAGCTGATGTGACGTTCTGCTTGCGTTAAAGAACCGAGTAGGTGAACATCGCGAGAGCTTGATCTTAGAAGCATTTAAATTTGAACTGCAGCGCCACTTCTTCGCAGTAAGAACCGACTTTTTCAATCTGCCTTATACTTTCTTTTCTATCATCCCTTCCAAGAGGAAGTCAGCCCTGCATAATGCCATCTGCGTTCGACGATCTCTCAATAGAAGATGAACCCACTCAGAATGCCGACTATCTATCCACGGCTTGGAAACTAGAAGACGCCCGAGCTACTAAAAATTACATCCACAAGCGACGAGCAACGATACCGAACTTCAAGCGGCTAGAAAATGCTCTCTGGAGGGCATGGACACAACAGGAGCAGAAGATCCCATGTTTTTCACCGGTACTGCTTCGATGGTAAGAATCAATGACCAAGTTTGAACGCAATCGATAATAATTTCTCTTACCTTTATAGGGACAAAGAAAGCGATACAACTTGGCTCTTCGGGCCCCACAAATCCTTCTCCGCCGAGCTATCGGGCGCTTCTCCTCGATTAGAATCAAGCGCTTTCACACTCTCTGGGTCTTCTGAGAAGGATTTTACTTCTGTGGAAACCGGTGATCAACTTCTTAGCAAAAAGAGCATATTACTCTCTCCACAGCGTCGTCAAATACAAATATCACTCGAAGACAAGGTACGTCTTTATTTTGAAACATCTCCTGACCGTAAACTAAAGCTCTTCCAAATATGTAGTCTGGCGTATCTCGAAAACATCGTTCCCGCGAACTTTCTAACCGAGTCCGCTTTAACGACGAGGTTCAACAAGTCCTATATATTCCAGAAACCGTTTACAGCTATACCAATTTCCTACCTATTTATGAGGCGCAAGAAAGTATCACGATAGATGCGGAGATCTATCATTTGCGAATGTTTCTGGATTATCAGTCGCGGGATCAACACCATGTTGCCACTGCCACCAACGCATTCCAAGCTACAGAGGGTTCTTACCACCCCCCTTTCCTCTCAGTATCTGACTTCTACATCGATGATGACGCTGCGCTTCAATAGATTCTGCTAGCAGCCGAATTCCAGAGTGAAGTCTAACGTCGAAGGCTGCAGACTTAGTTCTATTTCGACCATGTCGGGCAATAAAAGCACAAAAGTTGAGTAGGAATCACTGAGATATAACGGAAAAGTCACTTATGCCAGGCTTTACATTGACTATAGTTCATATTCGAATGTACCGATCTATCATCTTAGCACCCAATTGTGACAACAGTGAAGCCCAGATCAGTCCATTGTATCCCTGCACCACCCCTTCCAATTCTCATAATTCAGCGCCTTCGGCGATGTACTTTCTACGGGGTGGAAATGGTGTCACAAAAATTGATACCAACGTTGAGCATGTAACACCAACACCATGTGAACCCCCGTCCACACAAGATATTTATCTGAGCCATGTTGATCGCATTACTTCAATAGTGGGACTGGGTTAAATTTAGTCAGATCTAGTCCAAAGTTCGTTTCTCAATCGGCCACATTAATTATCAAGTAGTGACGGTTATCTCATGATTAGGAGGCTGAGAAGGGGCGGTCACGTCTTACTGAGGACCCGTCGTGGAGGTTTTCAATCAATAGCAAGGCGTAGCTTTCTCGAGTACAGCAATGTGATGTATCGTAAACAGACCAAGTAAACTTTCTCAGTATTAGCCAGGGGAAATTTTCCAAGGGTGACTTTGGCCAAACTTGGAATAGGGAACATACACGGGGTGATTCCAGGAGCTGCTTTTCTCGCAAAATATCGGACACATTTTCCATTGCGGTCGACCTAAAGGAAAGGAGTAGTGCTTCAACTTGAAACATTTTATCGAGTAAATGCCTATACGGATTGCCACTGAGGCAGCGGGTAATGGCAAAGGCATCTGGCACAACTCAGTATTAGCTGAGTCGAGTCGTTCATTGAAAATTCAGTCTTCGTGAGAAGAGTACATAGTAAATATAACCTTTACAGTACCCGGAGAGATTGACCAGCTTCATCTTTCTGCCTCCCACTCTTTACTTTGTTCAACTGTTCCATCGAACGGCACCAGCCTCACCTTTTTACGTTCGGTAAATATATTCTTGCAGACACAAAATGCCTCTTAATACTGCCGAGGCCGTTATTCGGATGTGTCTCGTCATTCTCTTCCTTATAGTGTCAACACCAGGGTCATTTTATATTTTGTGAAACGCAAATATAGTCAAGCATGTGGAAGCTGTGTTTCAAAATAATACACCAATAATGAAAGTTGCCACCTATAACCCCCGAATTCCACGTTAGCTTCACTTCTGACGGGCAACCTCTACTGCAGTAATTCCCATTTCTCATATGATTTTGAAGGATACCGTTGTTCAAAAATATCTCCGAGGTTCTCAATGGATTCCCCGATGTCTGGGTCAAAACTGCGAAAATCGTAGACGGTTGCATCCTGGTCTGGTACAAACCGATCCCGTAGGTCAAAGAAAAGCTGATAGATTGCAGAGATTTTCCATCTCGTGCCTCGCAAAGCTCTCACGATGTCCAAGATAAACGATCCAAAGGGCGCATAGTAAAGTATGTTGCCATACACGTCACCGTCCCCTACTTGGTGAGGTCTGTCTCGGATATTGTCGGTCACATCCCGAATAAATTGGTCAATCTCCGGAACGACCTGATACGCAGCCTGCGGCTGGGGATTATGAGCGCGAACGGCGAGCAGCATCCATCGCAAGGCAAAGTCTGCAAGTACATGGTTCGGCTCAATGATTCTGCTGGCAAATCCCCAGCGCGCCAGGAATTTCTCCAGCTTCCCTCCCCCAAACTCTCGTAGAAATCTGAATCTCTGACGACCAAGGTCATAATGAACACCAGGAAGCCACTCTTGCCTCGTGATGCCGAAATTTTCCCAGTCTGATTTGTGCCTATTCTCATTTCGGCTAACCAAACAAGGTTGGAATGCATAGAGCCGGTCATGGAGTGACACAGCGTGGTATACATTCTCGACTGCTGTGGAAATATTTTGATCGTAAAAGGCTGGCCACTCCAGGCCCATACCTCCAGTAAAATCCGGTAATCCCAGGCTACCAACAGTGTCGAAGAGTCCCATGAATTTTATGGGTGGAATGAACCTTGGCGCCCTGGGATTGGCTTCATCACCGATAAATGGCCAGGATTTGGACTGCCTGAAGAGTTTTGATTGGGGAGAATGTGGTTTGTCAATAGGATAATGGGAACGATAGATATCGTATACAGCTTCGCAAAGTAGGTGGGTTTGCTGCATATCAATAGCCCCGTCTACATTTACTGGTTTGATAACCCCGCAGTTGTTAATCATACCAGCAACAGCTCTCACCAAGTAGGCACCTCGAGAGAGGCCGAACATCCAGATTTCATGATCTGGATATGTATAATTTTTGACAATGAATTCATAAACTTCAATGCACTGACGGGCAATGTCCTGCGCGGTGATACCATTGAAGACGTAACTATACAGGGTAAGCAATTGTCATGATCATGCTGATATACATAGAAGGTTAGAAGGGGTACATACTCTAAAAGCGAGCTCCCAAGGCCCACGCCTTCAACGTAGCAAACCCGATCAGAGACTTGGTGCACAGCAGTATCATCTTGGAACTTGCCCCAAATTCTTTCGGCCAACTTATAAATATTAGTTTCAGTGCCCGTCTCCCGACCACACCAAGTGCCGTCACAGAGGATGATAAGAGGCTTTGTGGGCTTCTCGGCAGGAACAGCGCGCCTCAGAGTCGTTGACATTTCTAGCTGTGAGGGCTCACCAGACATAAGGATCTGTTCTAGTACAATTGCATCTTGGCTTGTTGGTGAGGTATAAATATTATATCGAGTTTATTGCAAGTGTCATGGTCTAGGCCCCGACCGGATATATCGGACGGGCGCCGTTTGCGGATAATAACCAGGGTCAGATGGGACGACGATCAAGCCGCTGAAGTAAGTTTGACCTTATTTCGTTCTTGGCACAGCAACGAATCACGAGTAGGTCACAAGTCTAGGCATGCTTGTAATGTTTACAAATCCGCGGGATTTTGTGGATGGAGCCGCAGCCTAGGTGGTGACGATGGCGCTTACTCCGACTCACAGTCTCCTTATTCTAGATCTAGGCTAGGGATTCCGGGGGGCGACCATCGTCGGGCGACGGCCGATCGGAGCGGGAGCACGCACCGAGGACGAATCAGCGACGAGAGAACTGTCCCCAGGGGCTCGTTGCCATTAACAATCGGGTATAAGGGTGACCAACCCCATGGGATAGGCCGACGGAAGAACCAAGCACCCCGGCCTCCACCATTACGCCTCCTTTTCATGTGGTCATGGCAAGCTTTAATTATATTAATTACATTGTCTCCTGATTCCTCGTCCTGGACATTAGACGTCCCTATTCGCGGAGGTATCGCGTACTATATGCTGAATTAGGGGCCTTAACGTGTGCGCTTCCAGCTGGCAAGGCTTGCAAGGCATTAACTACCTCGACCAATACTCTGAACCCATACTGATTGTGGACGTTAAAAATGATGCGCATGACGTCGATGCGCCGAACGCGGAGCAGTTTAAGCTTAAGGCTAGTGGATACTCCAGGCTCATATGGCGGGATCTTTCGACCGTCTGGACCTCCGACCATCTAGACCGAAGTAAGCTTTCGGAACAAAGTAGTGGGCAAAATCAGGCTGTGTATTAAAAAAAATGCGAACGTCGCTGGCTGGGAATTAGCAGTACGGCACGGCCAAAGGGAGTTGTTCATAAAAGGATGCATTAATCCTGATAAACAGGATCAGGATTGCTATTTTAGTCAGTACTATGGAAATACAGAATGATCGCTGGTGCTTGAGCGGTCTATACCGGGATTTAAAATTGATTGTATGTGACACCTACCATCACTTCCCCACCCTAAAGCCAACAACCAACCTATGCCTCTGTCCTCCCGCATCCTACCATGTCCCCACCGCAATCAACACCAAAACACACGAACCTGTCTCACCCATCAAAGCCACGCTCACAGTTGAAGAGCTTCACCGCCGTTTCCACAATCAACCGTCACTATTTCAGCTCGAGAATAGGGTAAGAAACCGCCTAATCGAACCCGCAACAAACCTGCATCTGCAAGAGAGTTGTTGTCCAGATTCTTAAACCCGGCATACCGGCGTTCTCACGGTTCCTAGCAGAAATGCAGCCAAACTCCGACAGTTGCTGCCCGTCCCATTCACAAATATTCTAGCAATTATTTGCTTTACGAAAATGCTCTCTGCAAATTCGCTAGCACCAAGATCCCTAGCAGAACTATATATGATGTCGCAGATTATCATACAATTTAGCTTGTTCATTCAGCCTTAGTGAGGGGCCCTTTCGGTCCAAAGCGCACAACATATGTGCTGGATAATTATCTCGACTATGTGTTGCAGAGTGAAGCAATATGCGATAGGTTGCACAACACGCTTCCGGGTTATGTCACTTGACGTTACATTCCATGATACTTACTATGTTGTTACTCACTTCCACTATGTAATAGCGATGGGTGCTGTGTTTGCATTACTCCGTGGTTGATACTTCCGAATGCCTAAAATATTATGTTTAGGTTACGATCAATTTCATTTCTGAATTTAATTTGTTGGTGTAAATTTAACATTCTTCCCTAAGGGCTCATCCTCTAGATACAAAATACGTAGAGAACGGATGTAGACACGGTGTATTGAATTCCAATCTGCACGAGAATCGCGCTATCCTCCGGGCCGCAGGACCGCGAAACCGAGACTGTCCCCTCAGCATGTTCGTATTCCGGCAATGGCTCCGTGTCATGTTGGCCAATTAGCTAAAATGTGCGGTGTTACAAATCATCCTATTGGACAATTAACTCTGCTAATCGAGGTGTTGAAGCTATTAGAGGAGATAAGTAGCAAGATAGAGCATATAAATTGAGCATCTGCTTCGCGAGGACGCCTTATTATGAGGGTCACAAAAACCCTCACGAGACAAAGAATAAGTAATCAAAGTCACCCTGGGACAATATGATTCCCAAAACAGACAAGGACAGCGAGGCAATGAATAAGGCTCGAAATCTCCGAGGCGTTTGCTGGGGAGAAGAATATCAGCGGATGATAAGTGGCATGTTGTATGTTGTTTATCTTTTCTGGCTCCGTCCAAAGACTAACTATTGCCTCGCCTCCTGAGCGTAGATATACTCCCCTAGCACCAGATCTCATAGAGGGTCGGTCGCGAGCAAGGCAGCTCACTGGAGAGTTCAACGCATCTCTTTACGGAGATGTCACATCAGAAAAGACCTCTCACCGGAGAGAAATCATCCTCAAGAATCTTTTCGGTCGCACGGGGCACAGTATCTACATTGAACCTCCTCTCTTTGTCGACTATGGATGTAATATCAGTGTAGGCGAGAGCTTTTATGCCAACTTCCAGTACGTGCCATATCCCGACTGGAAATATCACTAAAGTCTCCGCTGTCTAGCCTTACCATTCTCGACTGTGGGTTGGTCTCGATTGGGAACAATGTGGAAATCGGCCCGAATGTCAGTATCATCACCGGGGAGCACCACACCATGATTGAAGAGCGGAGAGCACATCGAGGATATGAATTTACAAGGGGTGTTGTTATTGGAGATGACTGCTGGATCGGTGCTGGTGTTATCATTTTGGCCGGTGTTACTATTGGCTCGGGCTGCTCGATTGGCGCCGGCTCTGTCGTGAAGGCACAAATTCCGCCTTTTAGTATTGCAGTTGGAGTTCCTGCGCGGGTGATCCGTTCAGCTCAACAAGAGTCAACTGTTGAGTAGCTTGAGATATTAAATATTCAGCTTTTTAGCTCTCTCTGCGACCCTCTTGCAATCCGTGGCTCGTTGTACAACCGGAACCCGTGAACTCGCGTGTGCTGGTGAGCCGATTGTGGCCTACCCGAACAAATGTGGAGGATTTCGCCGCATTTTCAGCCGCGTTTTGTGTCAATCTCTCTACAACTCTCCACTTGATGATGAATGGGCGGTAGGATAGACTAGTGACGCGTTTCAAGGGCCTGCGATGCATATAAGTGCCGCAAAGTCCGCTGCAATGGCTAGTCCCGATGCAAGCAGTGTATGCACGTCGGCCTACGTTGTACTTATGCTTCAATACCAACATCACGATCTCGTAAGCGAGCACTAGCTAGGGGTTCCGTCATCGCCGAGTGGAGGACACTCAGTTGTCAATCAAGTCAAGAATGCCAACCGGAAGGGACACTCTCCTCACGCGTGGTATCCGTATCCATACCGACCTCGATTGTCTCGCACCCCAATTCGAGCTTCTTCCACGAGTTCTTACACGAATACAAACGATATGTGTACCAATGAGTCCGGTCATCCCAGCAAGCGAGGTCCAAGACATGATATCGAAGATGGATTACAGCCGTGACGCCGCCTCATTCGTGTATATTTTTGCTGCGGTAACGCTCAACCTGACACGAGGTGAGCCCGTACAAGAGGCACCCGCGACACGCGAGCGCATCGCGACATTGCTAACCGTTACGGGTACGATAACTGCCTGACGAGGCTGTGCGGCCTCTGATTGGCTAGATATGTCGAGAAATCGTTTTTACCAAGAAAGAATTGTTTCATCCTCAACTGGTAAACTTCGCATTTCTTCTATCCTACCACGCTCATCTACTGTTGTTCGCCCACAAATCCCATCGCCTGTTTTCGTTCGTCGCGGGTATAGTCTTCCTGAGTATATCCCGTATCTTTCGAGAACGTAGGCTCAGCATTGCCCGCTGACAACCAAATCGACTCCTTATCATGGCATATGGGAGTGGTAACAAGTGAGGTGTACGAGAATTGGTTCTGTTTAGCGAAGTGCGTGAGTCCAGCTCCCCTAAGCGTTCGATCGACCTGCAGGGCAGACGAGGTATTGACTTTCCCGCGTTGTTCTGCTGGAACTTGAACTTGCAGACCGCCGCGTCTCCAGTCATCGTAGTTTGCGACGCAAATTTCGTTGCAGCCGTCGACTTGATTGATTCCATCTTCGACTTGGCCACTCCATGCCAGGCACTCTGCACTTGCTCAATAAGGTCTAGATGCTTGTCAATCCAATAGCACCATAGCGTGCGCAATCCCCATTGCTTGATGTATCGGGGAGCCTTGGGCTTCCCGAGCGCCCTGCCCGGGGGAGGGTTCTGGACGTATTGCCTCATGTATTCGCGGTCGAACTCATCGGAGATTAACTCGATATCCTGACTGGGCTTCGTCCATTTATCGCTGAGGGCTTTGAGGTAGTCGAAGACTTTGGCACTCTGGTCCTGTGTTAGTGGGAGAAGGTCACGGCTAGGTAGAAATAAGAGATCTTACAATCATGATCTGGTCTGCCAGAGCCTTCTCGGTGGGGCTTTTTGGAATACTGGCTTATTTGCCCTTCGGGAATGGCCTTCTTCCGGCCGTTAGGCTTGTAATGGTAGAGCACCAGTAGGTCTTGTTAGTGCTGTTCCCAGGACGTCCGCCGTTTGCTCGACCCAGTTCTTGTTGGGCCGTTGTTTCTACACCATGTCATTCCGCCACTGGGACCTGTACGGCGTCTGTTAGTCCATGTCCGACCATTTGCTTACTTCTAATAAAGTGACACATACCTCCGAATACTGCATTGCACCAAGTGGAATCAGGGCGCGTCTAGTCTTTAGGGAGGGGCAAGTTTGATCTTCAGCCGCGCGTACTTAAGAGACAAGAAAGAGCAAGCCGCCTCATCAGACATGCACCAGTAGCAATCCCCATTCACCGGACAAATATTCCGATTAATGCACACTAACAGGTTGGGCCTCGGCATCCTTGCGGATGTAAGTTTCTCGCACTTGACACCCTGCATATCGAGACACATTCCACGCCCCAATGCCATACTCCTGCGGGGCCTTCTGTACGCCTCGTCCCCCGCCTCCAATGATCAGATTCCCCGGTCGATATTCGGGATTGGTTTGCAACCGTCGAATGGCTGATACGTGGACCTGTGCATCAGGGGGGATGTCGCGCGTTTCTCCTCGTGGCAGCGGCCACCTAATAGGTTTCCAGGTCCCATCGGCCCGTAGGTCCATGCGCCGGAACGGCATCCACTCCATCAATTTCCAGGATAGGACCGAGCTCAATGGTAGACCGTTACCAATTTTCAGGCAGTCGTGAAGCTGTCCACCAGTGCTTGAGAGCCGCAAGGCCTCTTCAAACTGCGGATCAGCCACGAACTCGCGCTTTTGGGCCTTCCTTTCTGTTCTATCGCTGGTATCTTGCTCCTCTCCGCTGGACATGCCACCAGCTAGCTTCCTAGCTTCTAGAGATCCATCCCAGCAGTGGAATTGCTTTAGCTTCGCCCGCTTGAACCGAAGGCCCGCTCGTTGGGCTTCCTGCACCATCCAGACTAGCGGAGCGTGGCTTAATGCCCACTCCTCGCTGTCGTCAAGCATCCACCCCCCACCGATGTCAGCGTGCGCCCCGGGAAACCAAACCTCCTCAATGTCCTGCGGCGAATCTCGGTCATCTTCATCGGAACTGGGATCGTTGTCGCCACCAAAATGAGTGGATGTGGCCTCGGAGGGGCATGATTCACTTTCGGTTGCTGCTGAAGTTGTTGGACCAGCGGAGTCACCTGCCTCATGATGCGGCCTGGCACGATATTGTCGTCGCTCGCATGCGTGACTGGGGTCATTAGCCGACCCCCGACGTTTAGTCGCGTGGGTTGGCCGGTAAGTCGAATATTCCGGACCCGGTTTCTGCTGCGCAGTGTTCCCCGGTGCTCCATCTGGGGCTTGAACGTCATTTGTATGATCATTAGGCCAGCTATGGTGACGTGTGTGGATTCCATGTCGCTGGAGATGCTGCCGGAGTCGCGTGTGTCGGGACGCCCCTCTAGGTTTGACCTCGGAGATCAGATCCTGGCGGAACTTGGCCCGACGCTCGTCGATACCCACTGCGTGCCGGATGACCCTTGCTGATGTCTTAGCGGTATATGGAAACTTGCTGCGTTGCAACCACGGGTTTTCAAATCGGGGGATGCTGTTCACGGTGTCAAACAGACCGAGGAACTGAATCTGCGTGACCGGCCGGCTGAATGTCTCCCGGAAGGCCGTCATGTATTCGAAGTGATTCTCTTTCCCCTTGTCGTTCGATGTAGACTCGCTGCGCCGTTGCTGCCACTTGGCGAATGTCTTCCACGCAAATCGCACCAGCTCCTCATTGCCCATTTCCACTAGGCCCACAGAGTCTAGCATCTCAGCCAGAAAGCGTGCGACGTAGGCGCCTCGGCTGAAGCCAAAAAAGTACAACTCATCTCCCGGAGAGTAATATCGCATAAGAAACTTGTAGCCGCCCATGACATGGTCGGCAAAGGTCGAACCAACGGCGGCATCTTTGACTTTGAGATAGGCCGATTTTAGCTTCTCCAGCCGGCCCTTGCTCGAGAGCGACTGCGAGCTCACATAGGTCCCAATGCCGGGTTGGTAGTAATGGCACTGCTCGCAATCACTTCGGTCCAGCATCTTCACGCGATGAGTGTTACAGCAAATACCCACAGGGTTGTTGGTCACTTACCCGAAAGATCTTTAACACGTTGCTGTCCGACTCATCGCCTTGGAATTTGTTCCCCGTGCCATCAAAGCAGAGTATAAACTGTTTGGGGGTCTTGCTAAGTTCGGATTGCACCATATCGGTTGTTTTGATTCTTCTTCTTTTTTATGAAAATCTGTTTGATCGTGGGATGCACGGGGAAAGGTCAGACCTCGTCGCGCATGTCAGACCTCAGGAGCGAAATATATCCACTAATGGTACTTGTACGGGTTAGACACAGAAACTTAGGTGGACAGACAATCTGAGATGGTATGGAATACACTCTGTGCATGATCTCTTTGACGTCAACTGAGCTCACCAGTGGATGTGAGCCACGGTTTGATGGTCCGACGGACTGACAAAGTTAGTCCCAGCCATGCTCGGTGTGAGGAATGAAGTAACGACGTACCTATAATAAGGTAACGTATTCCATGCGAGTGATGCACGCAAGCGGTTGTCAGTCAGATACGCAGAGTAAATGTAATGAACGACAACCTTATATCTCAACAACAACGTCCCTATTTGATTTCATATTCACTCGATAGCTGTTGCTAAGACTTTTTAACGATATATATCAATTTTAAGGCGATCAAATTGCGCAATTATAAAAATTTTCTAAACTCTAGTGAGGCTAGATATCACATGAAAACCATTCAATCCACAAGGAAACGCCTGTATAGACCACTGTTGTCGAGATATCAAGATGTAATTTAACCCATTTACTATGTGTATCTGACTGAGTCACTCGCATTGTGAAATACGTTAGGGAGTGTAGCTCGGATCCCTCGAAGGTTACCGGGGCTTCCGCGCGGTACAAATTAAGGTTGAAATAAGGTTGTGCCACTGCCATGGCTTCACTCAATAAACTTAGAAGGACCGCGTTCCATGTTTTGCCTGTCGATCAGTATGTAACTACTCTGCATGCGTATAGGGATTATCGGGTGATGTCAATTTGACATCCTACAGACAATGTAGCGGTTGTGGTCGAGGCAACGCAGGACGGGTGGGCCGTCTGGGGCTGAGGCGGTTTGCAGAGCTAAAAATGGAATAAAGCCTAGTTATTTCACCCTAATCTTACTGCTTCGATCGAACATGCTTCAGAAAAGGTCTTACCAGAATAACGTTATTCGCGACACAGCCTCAGCAATCTAGTCACAGACACCTACCAAGATGAAACTGGACACCAAAACAATCAGCAAGGCGGGTTCCTCACATGTCTCTGAAACTAGAGAGCAGAGGGAGGCCCCGAGAGCAGAGCACCCAGAAAGGATGGAAAATGAACCAGCTGCAAAGTCATCGTCCAAATTCAAGGAAGCCAGAGAAGTCATTCACGCCGCTCGCCGTCCTCTCCCCACAGAGACCGGCGACGGAAGCTACATCGAGGATGAACCCAGCAGCGGCCTTTGGAAGGACCTACGCAGTCTTGGAATTAAGGATGCGAGCACGCTCGCGTCTTTCCTCGAGAACAAAGTGACTGGCCAGCACATAGATGACAAGACGATGCTCATGGAGCGTGTTATCCAGGCGAGTTTTATGCGCAGTCCTACAGATCCAACACTGACCTGCTGACTTTCTTTCTTGCAGCTGGTTAGCAGACTCCCAGATGGGTCCAAAAGCCGGACAAAGCTCACAAACGTGTTTCTCAACGAACTCTGGGACTCTCTCCCTCACCCCCCACTGGCGTAAGTATCCTGACTATCTTGACGCAGAGCCGATATGGCCGCGATTGGTACGTGTCTTGGACTGAAGTAAGTGCAGATATGTTGGAGAGAAGTACGCATACCGGAGTGCAAATGGCGCTCATAATAATCCTACGCTTCCCTTGCTAGGAGCAGCACGGACGGAATATGCTCGCACCATCCGCCCTGAGACGATTCGGCTGCCCAATCTCCCAGACCCGGGGCTGATCTTTGATAGCTTGTTCGCTCGAGAGGAATTCACGCCTCATCCGAACAAGGTCTCGAGCATCTTCTTCACCTGGGCTTCGCTGGTGATCCATGGTATGAACAGTTCATCACGTAGAGCCCAACAAATGATAACCCCAGACAGACATATTCCAAACAGACCGCAAAGATGAAAATATCAACAACACTTCCTCCTACCTGGATTTATCCATTCTGTATGGAGACATTGAAGAAGAGCAGAATAAGATCCGAACGTTCAACGACGGCAAGTTGAAACCGGACTGCTTTTCGGAGCCTCGATTACAGGCGCTACCAGCGGCATGTGGCGTGATTCTAGTTATGCTGAACCGGTTCCACAATGATGTCGTGGGCCAGCTCGCGCAGATAAACGAAAGTGGTCGGTTTACGAAGCCACAAGACGATCAGCTATCGGCGGCAGAGGCCAAGAAAGCGTGGGCCAAGTACGACAACGATCTGTTCCAAACCGGGAGGCTCATTACCTGTGGCCTCTATATCAACATCACCCTCTACGACTACCTTCGTACTATTGTTAACTTGAACCGCACTAACAGTACCTGGTGCTTGGATCCCCGTGTTCGGATGGGCGAGACTGAGGTGACCCCTTCTGGACTCGGGAACCAATGCTCCGTAGAATTTAACCTAGCATACCGCTGGCACAGTACTATTAGCCAGGAGGATGAGCAGTGGACAGAAGAGGCATACGAGCACTTGGTCGGGAAGCCCGGAGATGAGGCATCCGTGGATGAACTTCTTAGTGCCCTGGGCGAGTACGGAAGAAACCTAAATCCTGACCCTTCCAAACGGACATTCGCCCAGCTAGAGCGACAGGCAGATGGGAAATTTAGAGACGAGGAGCTGGTGATGATTTTGACAGATGCGATCGAGAGTGTGTCCGGATCCTTCGGGGCGCGCAATGTGCCTAAGGTGTTGCGGGCGGTAGAGATTCTCGGCATAGAACAGGCACGGCGATGGAATGTCGGATCCCTGAACGAATTCCGCAAATTCTTTGACTTGAAGCCGTATCGAAGCTTCGAGGAAATCAATTCTGACCCGGAAATTGCAGATTGCCTTCGGCACCTGTACGAAAAGCCCGACTATGTGGAGCTATATCCTGGCATCGTGGCGGAAGAGGCTAAGGAGCCTATGGTCCCCGGGGTGGGAATTGCGCCAGGATACACTGTTTCACGCGCCGTATTATCGGACGCGGTCGCCTTAGTTCGAGGAGATAGGTTTTACACCGTATTATATTCTGGCACCACTTGGAAGGAACGAAGCTGATTGTGCCTAGGTGGATTACAATGCTAGGAACCTGACCAACTGGGGCTTTACTGAATCTCACTACGATCTGGACGTTAACCAAGGCTGTGTGTTTTACAAGCTAGCCTTACGTGCATTCCCAAATTGGTTCAAATCCGATTCGATATATGCCCACTACCCTATGACTATCCCTGCCGAGAATCAAGTTATCATGGAAAGTCTGGGGCGGGAGCAGGATTACTCCTGGGATCGCCCTGCTTTCATACCGCCCCGGACGACTATCTTTGAGTACTCCAACGTTCGTCACATCCTCAGTGATCAGGAGGCTTTCCATTCCACCTGGGGCGAGGCGACTGGCTACATCTTCGGCGATGGAGGTTACGATTTTATGCTTTCCGGCGATACTTTCTTCCATGCTGGTCAGCGACAGAATATGTGCAAGTCGCTATATGTTGGCCAGTGGCATAAGCACGTCAAAGAGTTCTACATTGCGACGACGGAGCGGCTCTTGAAGGAGAAGTCTTGCCGACTGGGGCGGGCAAATCAGGTTGATATCACGCGCGAGTGAGTATCCATTCCCCTGAGGACTTATGGTTTCCTAACCAGTACATAGTGTCGGAAATCTGGCACATGTTCACTTTGCTGCAAATATCTTCTCGCTCCCCCTTAAATCAGAAAAGCATCCCGATGGAATCTTCACAGAGCACGAGATGTACCAGATCATGGCTGTCATCTTCACGGCAATTTTCTTTGACGTTGATCCAGCCAAGTCGTTTGGCCTGCGTCACAAGGCACGAGCCGCTGCCCAAAAGCTTGGTAAAATTGTCGAGGCGAATGTGAAGAATACGCAGTCGTCTAGGATGCTCTCATACTTTTTTGACAGCTTCAGCACCAATCCCTATCCGCTTGTGGAGTATGGCATACATATGATCCAGCGCCTCCTGGAAACCGGGTTGGGTCCATCCGAGATTACCTATTCCCAGATACTGCCCACAGCGGTCGCCATGGTGCCCAATCAAGCTCAGGTCTTCACGCAGATCATCGACTACTATCTTTCCGACGAAGGCCAAAAGCACCTTGTCCCTATTAACCGCATTGCCAAGGAAGACTCCCTTGAATCAGATGACAAGCTCTTGCGGTACTGCATGGAGGCGATCCGTCTTCATGGAATATTTGGCTCGTATCGTGAAGCGAAGACCAACGTCACTTTGAAGGATCAAGGCCGCCGCTTGAATATCAAACCGGCCGAGAAGGTGTTTGTTAGTTTTGTGAGCTCTACACATACGCGCACAACTCTGGTGCATACTGACTGATTTCAGGTGGATGCAAATCGGGACCCGGATGCTTTCCCAGATCCAGATAGCGTCCGTCTCGACCGCCCTATGGAGTCCTATATTCATTATGGTGTAGGCCCCCACACCTGTCTGGGCAAAGAGGCCAGCAAGGTTGCTTTAACAGCCATGCTTCGCGTGGTGGGGCGGCTGGAAAATCTTCGCCGGGCCCCTGGACCCCAAGGCCAGTTGAAGAAAATCCCCCGCCCGAACAACTTCTACAGCTATATGTTGGAGGACGAAACGGGATTTTATGCTTTCCCGATGAGTACGTTGCGGAAGGATTCAATTAGTAGTAACCTTGCTGACTTTCAATTTGTAGCGTTCAAAGTACACTTTGATGGCCCGGTCTCAAACTCGACAGATGATACTGGTGCTTATTGAGACGATTGTCCTTCGCGCCAACGAGGAACGAAGTCCTATGTCAATAGTGAACTATAGCACTGGGGCCTTCTTGTCGGGCAAAGTAGCATCGATCTAGGGAATAGGCATTGACTGGTTATTCGGATCTTCTGAACTTTTGTACAAGCCACTATTTATGATAGTTATTAGTTAAAAGTTCGCTAGCTTCTCAAAGACTACACACGTAGCTCTCTTATTTTTTTTCCGGTTGATTGAATTACTTTTAGAGCAAGCCAAACCTTGTAGACCTAGAAATTCACAACTCTCTTTGGTACCTTTCCAAACAAATTTCGTAGTCCGTAGACTTGATCATGTACCAGTAAACCCATATTCTGATTTGCAAAGATTGTCAAAGTGCTCGAACCAGCCTTCATCCCATAGAGATACATGCAATGTACAAAGAAACGGGTATAAGTTATTTCACTCTCCACCTCTGTATGCCACCTCTCTTCTGACTCCACAATTACTCCCAGTGTGCCATTTGCATCTCTTATACTGCACCCAGGGAGCCCAGGTAAAAGGAAGCATGCAAATCAGTAGGCGATTCACATATCTTGGGGATCGCTAGTTTCCCCGCTCCGCCCTCATCCGAGGATGAACCGCTAGAAAAAGTTCTTACACTCTCTAGTTAGTAAGGTTGTTCCTTACATCCATAACAGCCCTAGGAACGAAAGTAAGTCGAACGGATCTCTTGACGCCTTTGTTCAAGTACAGTTGACCCACAAAATGATAGTACGCCCGTCGGTAATATAGTCTTCAATCAGCTTTCGGATAATATCCTGTGGACTGGGCATGCCTATGAAGCCCAGTAGACTAACTATAAACAGCATATGCAGGCTGGTTCCCGGTCAGATTTGTAGCCTTCCCGAGGTCCCCTAGACCATGGGGCTAGCTGATGTTCTCATCTCCAATTGCGAGTCAATCCGGGGTGTCCCCCACAATCAGCACTAAGCTCCAAGAGGATCACCCGGGCACTGCGTACAAATATGGAGTCACCGGGTTGTCATAAGTCCCCCAATGCAGTAAATATTCTCCTCGGTCACTGAAACCCATTGAAAGCTTCAAATATCTACATCCATCCACCATAGACCACCCAAATCCGAGGCGACAAACCCCCACAATGGCTGACACATACGGTTCCTGTGACCCCGCATTCACCCGCGTCCGCGATCTTCTGCAAGAAAGACTCGTCACAGGAGAAGAACTCGGTGCCTCAATCTGTGTCAATATTGATGGAAAGAACATCGTCGATATTTGGGGCGGTCATGCCGACGCCGCCAAGTCCCGCCCATGGGAAAAAGACACTTTGACCGTTGTCTGGTCATGCAGCAAAGTAGTCACTGCCCTGGCAGCTCTGACCCTCGTTGACCGCGGCCTGCTGGACGTGGAAGAGAGAGTATCAAAGTACTGGCCGGAGTTTGCCGCCAACGGCAAGGAAGACGTCAGAGTGTGGCACATCCTCAGCCACTCCTCTGGCGTTCCCCAATGGGACAAACCAATCACAATGGAGTTCATGTACGACACGAAAGCTTCGACTGATGCGCTCGCTCAGCAGGCTCCTTGGTTCAAGGCTGGTGAGGTGTCGGCCTACCAACTGGTGAACCATGGACATTTGATCGGTGAATTGGTGCGGCGCGTTAGCGGCAAGCCGTTGAAGCAGTTTATTGCCGATGAGATTGCTGGTCCGTTGGGCGCGGACTTCAGACTCGGTGTGCCAGAGGAAGACTGGCCGCGTACTGCGGATATCATTGCTCCTGCTGTGGATATGCCAGAGGGCCTCGACCCGCAAAGCGTTTTGGCCAGAGCGTTCATCAATCTTACCCCGAAGGCTGAAGACTCTATGACCCCGGGCTTCAGGGGTACTGAGGCTGGCGGCGTGAATGGGTTTGGAAATGCGCGTTCGCTCGCTCGGATTGGTTCAATTGTGTCCTTGAAAGGAACAGTCGATGGGAAGCAGTATCTTGCGCCTAAGACTATTGACCAGATGATCCAGGAACGAATTCGTGGTATCGATCTGGTGTTGTACCTGAACCTCAGAATCGGTCTTGGAGTCGGCCTTCCGGTGCCGGAGAGCGTCACCTTCATCCCCGAAGGAAATATCTGCTTCTGGGGAGGTTGGGGGGGATCTTTCCTGGCCATGGATCTAGATCGCCGGATGACCATCGCTTATGCCATGAATAAAATGGGGCCAGGCATTTTGGGCAACGAGAACTGCAAGGCTTACATCGACGCGATTTATGAAATCATGGCAACCAAGGAGCCTTCTGCATCCCTATGATGTACATACTGTAGTAGGGGAACTGCTGACTGCATGAAGTGGCGGTCTATCGGATTATTCAGCATTTTGTGATGTATAAGACTTCCTCTGCGTAGCATAGCAATACAGAGACGCCTTCTCTTCTAGACCACCCCTATGTGTTTTCCCCTCCTATAGTCCCACTACCCCTAGTGGCCGACCTGTTCGCAGACAGACAGGCAGAGGCGGGTCTCCCTACGTGTTCCCCTTTCCAATACGTATTTTTATTCTGCACAAGTTCAACAGATGATTTTGGATATATAACGAAACGAAACCCCCGAGATCATGTCAAACGGTACAGCAATGTCCGAGGTAGACCGTGTGGCCTTGGCTCATTTCATTGCGATCTCCCTATCCGGTTCGATCTAGATCTTCGAGAAGCCTCGGGTCTCCACGGCGGTAGCGGGTTCGGGTCGACCATTTCCAATTCCTGCAGACTCTCCAAGCTCATTGTTTTTAAGGCCTCCGCGAGCGGGATCCGGGCGTGCGATCCGAGGTGGTATCTTCATTTCTGGGCACGGGAAATGCCACTCCGTATTGGGTGCCACTGCGGAAAAGGGTTGAATCACATCCCGCACTGCTTTCGAGCGATTACGAATCCCTTCCCGCATTTACATCTCAAGGGGAAGGAAGAAAATGATTACATTAATGGGGAGGTATATCTGGTCGTGAAGATGAGAGTGAGAGAGCTGGCCAAAACAACACTGTTGCCATCTGATATAGACGTCGCCAAAACCAGCAAATGGGTTGGATGATTTTGGGTCGAGATGGGAAACCCACAATCCCATATGGGGCCCCATATTGGTCGACAAATAGCGCAAACATAGGAAGACTCGTGACTGCATAATTTATGCATCTCTAGGCTGTATTTCCTTTTTATCTTACAGGCAGATACTCCGCGGGATAATGCAATTGTAGGATGAGGCATCTAGTGCAGACATGGATGGTTCCATTGTCTTCCAGAGCGAATTGATCTTTACTTCGACGACACAAGACTCAATCTTTACTGGACAGACAGAGGAGAGCTGCCTTTTGGAAATTCCTTGAATGAGCTGTCGTTTCACTCTTCAGTTTTGACTTCAGGTGGTCAGACCCAGCATCGGATCCTCGCACGAAACTTTCATGAGCCAATGGGGCTAGTAGTTAACTCCATGCAAAGGTGTGCCTATGTGGCTGAGCTAGGAGGGAGCGTGTACAAGTGCGATTTAGTCGGAGGTGGCAAAGAAAGTATGTATCATGATGAAGGTTGGGCGTTGAGTGGGATTACTAGATCCCGTTTGTGATGGTATTCATCGTTTGTTCCAAGGTTTTGATATAGAGTACGGGACCATTATTATAATATGATAGTAAATGCATCCATATCTCGGCGTACGCTTCTGGAATTACTAGCAATTGTAGAAGATGGGCCTGTTTGGCCAACCTTGGAGAGTAGATCTTGTTGGCGGAGAACCTGATCGAGAAGTATATTCGCAGTGTTTTGTCCTGATCCACACCGCTGCGGCGAAGAATTTCGTTCTGGTTGACTATGGCTGTGCTCCCCATCTCTGCGATCTCTATCTTTCTTCCGTGGCACCGAACAACCATCTCGAAGATCATGGGCTTTTGGTTGAACCTAGGTATAAAGCGCCTCTTCTCAGTCCTCGAACTTTTCCCTTTGGCATCTCCCTGATTCAAGTTCGGTTTGGATTTCACTTGAAATGGTTGAGCGAGTTGATCACGTGCTTTTGTTTGGTCCCACGTATAAAGCGCCTTTGCCTGGTCTTCCACTTCTTCTCTTTCACATTCTCTCAAACTGATGGCATCCTCCACCAGGACCAGGAACCCTCAACGCCCTCAGCACCCTTTGCACCTTCATTATTAAACCTTGCAGCGACCTTTCACAGGTAACCAGGTTTTGTCCTCACATACACAAAAGGCGCTTTCTTCTGACAATAACAGTTCAACTCCAAAAATGCATCAGCATTGAAACGCATCACGTGAGTTTCCATGCACACACGTCTTCCACCACAGATGAGAGGTTTTGTCAACTCGAGTCCATCTTGACCTTAACCATTTATGCTTTGTGGGTTCCCCATTAGCTCAATTCATCAAGCAATTATCAAAACAAGGATCCTGACCATCTTCTAGGAGCTAGGATCTTTCGAAGGATTAACACACCCACTCCTTCCATTACTTTTAGCAAAGTCGTCGCTCCTTCGCAGGAGATATTTTCACCAGCTGATCATTCGTATCGCCTTGGCCAATGAATGAATGTATGGAACTCGGAAAAGTTTGTCATATTCTGGATCTGGGACGGGGCCAATGCAAGCCTCTCCACTGGTAGGCATATTGAAAGCCGCATTGCCGTGCCAGGAACGATGCTTTTGAGAGTACTCGGAGACTCGATAGAATGATCTCTATACTACATCTGGATTCGAGCATTGGCGATCCAAACCGACATGTGGCGTCTCCCATCTCCCCGTTCCAACAGATCATCGACGTCTTTGGAACGTCTTTCGTCTGGCTGGTCTCCGCCAGCTTTTTTTATTAGTCAACCAAACACATGCGCTGATTCCTACTTACATTTTCTATGTACACATGTGTTGTCTCATTGCAAACAGAGCAGGCATTATTTCCTTCCATCTGACGTAGCCTGCACTGGAGGTCTGTCGTGTTGGGAGTTTCGTTGTGATGAAAGCAACGGCAC